GAGTCCTGAGTCCTCTTTACCCAAGGGAGGAGCAGCCTGTCGGCTGAGTGCAACCCTGGCTCTCTGTCCCCTTATTTAGCAGCAGGGGGGTTGTATGGTCAGCTTCCTGCCTGGGCTGTTTCCTGCCTACCTTTATTTTAGTCAAGGGCTCTGGCTTCTGCTGCAGGGTCCCCAGGAGGAATGACAGAAGGTGTTGGCTGATGGCGCAGATTCCCCTTTAGCAGCTGAGCCAGCGAGATTGGATCTACTCATTGATACGAATAGACCGGAGTTCACAAAGTGATGTTTTCTCCTAACCCTCATTCAGGAGGCCCTGCCCCTGACCAAAAAGTAGCAGGGATGGGATGGAGTGAGCAGAGCTGCGGTCTGCTTTGCTGTGATGTGTAAAGGCCAGCTGGTCCTAACCAGAGAGAAGACATTCCTCTCAAAGCACCTTTCCTTGCCAAAGGAGAGAGCTGTGGTCTGGCAGGAAGGAGAACCGTCCAGGGCAGCCCTTCTGGTGGTGTGGGGAGGATGCCCTCTGGGAACCTGTGTTTTCACTGCTTACCTAATAACAGGATAATTCAGGTGAACTTGAAAAACAGGTTTAGCTTGTGTGCAGGTGACATTGTGGAGGAAATGGTGAATTAGCAGTTGGGCTGGGCAGTGACTGCAGGGGTCACTGGGACTCACCCCCACTAGGATTTTGTCCGTTGTGGGCCTGTTAACAGAGGGATGTGCCAAAGCAGGAAGTGTTGCCTACCATTGGGCCTGTGTAGGTAGCAGGGTGTGCTTGTGTGCTAGTCAGGTGGTGTGACAAGAACCACTTCTCCAAGGAAAAAAGAGAAGCACTGTGGGGAAGGGGCTTGGACCACTGGTTCTCACAAGCCCTGCTGCTCAGGCAGGGTGAGGGTTAGGGCTGAAGAGCAGGCCAGGCCCAGTCCATTGGATTCTGGAGTCACAGGCAGTGTATGTGTATGCAAATAGAATCGTGGATGAGATCCCTGCAGCATAAGTCCTGGTAGCCCCCTCTTCCTCACCTGCCTCTAGGCTCGACACAAACGATGTGGGCGGGGAGGGCAGGCCTCCTACTGCACAGGTCCTGCCTCCGTGTCCCAGCGTCCAGTGGTGCAGTGACAGTGTTGGGACCGTGAGTGCTGTGTGTGCAGAGTCAAGTTGACGCTGATACAGGCTGCTCTGGGGTGCATTGTAAGGGGACCTCTCCCCTTCCGTTCACCTTTGTCCTCATGTGTTGCTTTTTCCCAGTGCCTCCAGGAGTTGCCAGGCTTAGTGTGAAAATACGTTGCTGCCTGGTGGCATCTCCCTCCTGTGCCATTCTGGACAGGGTCATGAGGAAGGGGCAGTTTGCTGGTTTTTCTTTGTGTTGTGCCCAAAGCCTTCATTTTGAATTTTTCATTTTGGCAATCTCTTGGTTCTCCAAGACTTTGTATAACTTGTTGATGCCAGTGTGGTTTGTGTTTGGTGATTGGGTCGCCCACCCTCCACGCTACTCTTTAAATAGTCTTCCGTTTCTTGTCTTGTGTGTTTTCCTCCAAGTTCTGTTTGTTTGAGGCTTTTCAAAGAGGCGGCAGCTTCACTTTATGGAGGGCCTTCAGGTGCCACAATCCATATGTTTTTTTTTTTTTTTCTTTTTTAAAGATTTATTTATTTATTTGAAAGGCAGAGTTACAGAGAGGCAGATGGAGAGGGAGAGAGGTCTTCCATCCGCTGGTTCACTCCCCAGATGGCCACAATGGCCAGAGCTGTGCTGATCAGGAGCCAGGAGCATCCTCTGAGTCTCCCACGTGGGTTTAGGGGCCCAAAGACTTGGGCCATCTTCCATTGTTTTCCCAGGCCATAGCAGAGAGCTGGATGGGAAGTGGAGCAGCCAGGACTCGAACCGGCAGACATACAGGATGCTGGTACTGCAGGCGGCAGCTTTACCCACTGTGTGTGTGGACAGATCTGTGGGGCCTTAGACCTCTGTTTTCTTCTGGAAGCTCCTTCAGCCCAGTGTTTCTCCCTGCACCCTGCAGGACTGAGGACATGCCCTTGGCCCGGCCCTATCTCCAGTATCCCAGGCACACCAGCCGCCGCTTCTTCCCTCCAGGTGTGTCTAGTCCGCTCATTAGCACAGTAAAGGTTTCCTTACATCTCAAAACTCCTGTGGTTCTTTTTGGATAGATGATGCGGTTCCCAACCAGACAGAACAGCAGTATCCAGGGCACAGACGCCAAGGTGAAGGGGCCCTGCTGTCTGGGGGGCTGGTGGCATCAGATCAGCAAAGGGCACTTGGGCAGGACAGGGAGGCTGTCCTTGTGGGGTGCTCAGCAGCGGCTGGGAGGCTGGTGTTACGACACAGTAGGCTAGAGCTGCTGCTTGTGACACTGGCATTCCCTATCAGAGCGCCAGGTTGAGCCCTGGCTGCCCTGCTTCTAATCTAGCTACCTGCTAACGCACCTGGGAAAGCAGCAGAAGATGGCCCGTGTGCTTGATGTCCTGCCACCCATGTGGAAGACCAGTATATAAATCTATTTAAAACAAAAACAACCAAAAAAAAAAAAAAAAACAGCTGTAATTAAAGACATGTCAGGAGTCTGGCCATCTGAGGTGCAGTGTGTGCCGTGTGTCCAGCTGTCTCCTTCAGAGAGCCTCTGTTGCACACAGGGGCAAGTGCCGTAGGCAGTCCTGGCCTGGGCACTGGAGGGGCATCCCAAAGTACAGAGCCTCAAGGAGTGTGGCGAGGTCTCCAGCAGCAGTTCAGCAGTTAGGCGCCAGGGAGTGTCTGGGCCTTGCCTGCGCTCCTGTTGGAAACTGTGTCCAGTGCAGCAGTGTTGGAAGTGAGGCCTTTTGGGAGGAGCCTAGGTCAAGGTCCTGCCCTTATGAGTTCATTGGTGCCGCTGTGTAGGAGGGCTTGTAGGAGTGGGTTCGTGTCCTCTGAGGTCAGAAGGTGATCCTGACTTCAGTCTCCAGAGCTGTAAGCAGTATCATCTGCTGATGGAGATGCCCAGGCGGTGTCAGGACCCTCTGTCCTGTACCTGCTAGTCAGCACACAGTGAAGGCTGCATTCTTAGAGTGCTTTTTAAATTTGGAGTTAAACTGAAAGTGCCTACTGGGTGGTACGACCAGGGCCCCCTGGGCAGTGCAGTGGCTGGGAAGGTCCTCAGGTGTCTCGGGCTGGGCTCTGATGATTCTGATTCTGTATCCCTGTGTTGGTGTCCTGCTAGTGGACCCTGAGGGCCATGTGTGGGTCAGACATGGTACATGTCCCTATGTGATGCCCAGGGCTTCTTGTCTTGTTCTGTGAGTGCTGCCTGTAGATTGTATGCATAGCTCCTTGGCCTGTGCTCCTGAGACTTGCCGTGGGCAATCTTCTCTGGCCCCGGGGGGTGGGGGGTGGGGGGTGTTGGCTGCTTGTCTGGAGTTTTGTGGGGAAGAGGTGTTAGGTGATGCTGTGTCAGATCCTTCCGCATGCCCTGGGAAGCACGACTTCAGGTGGTGAATGTTCTCCCCGTGCTGCGTGGCCGGGGGAGTCAGGGAGTCCCTTGCAGCATCTCTGCTTTCCTGGATGAGTGGGCTTGGGAACTGCCTCCCGAGATGCCGACATCCCTTTTCCCCAGCCGTGGGGAGCCTGAATGGATAGGTAGGCAGGGTTCCTTTTCTGTTGCTCGTGTCCTGCCCTGTGAATTGAAGCACAGTGATGGGAGGTGTGTGTATCCTCAAGGGATTGGTCCCTAACTGTGCTGCTGGGCCCATGACTCGCCCCACAGAAACAGACCCAGCACCCTTTGTCTTCCCAGGTCTCTGGCTGTTGTAGCTTCCACGTGTGCACGACCATGGGGAATATCTTTGCAAACCTCTTCAAAGGCCTTTTTGGCAAAAAGGAAATGCGCATTCTGATGGTGGGCCTGGATGCTGCAGGGAAGACGACGATTCTGTACAAGCTGAAGCTCGGTGAGATCGTGACCACCATCCCCACCATAGGTGAGAAGCTAGGCCCTGGGCGCAGGTTTGGGGGGAAGCCCAAAGCGGGACTGTGGCTGGGGTCTGGGTTGGGCCCTGGTCTTCCAGGAGACACTTTTGCAACTCTGCTCCCAGGTTTCAACGTGGAGACTGTTGAATACAAGAACATCAGCTTCACCGTGTGGGACGTGGGTGGCCAGGACAAGATTCGGCCACTGTGGCGCCACTACTTCCAGAACACCCAAGGTGAGAGGAGGGCCTGACCTCCAGAGCATGAGTCCAGGGCAGCATGGAGGCCAGGAGGAGCCAAGCCCTGCAGCCACAGTGGCCAGCGGTGACCTTCAGGAGCGGGGTATGTGGGGGTGTTTTTGGCATTGTGTCGTGCCGGCTGTGTTGCAGGCTTGATCTTTGTGGTGGATAGCAATGACAGAGAGCGAGTGAACGAGGCCCGGGAGGAGCTCATGAGGATGCTGGCTGAGGATGAGCTGCGAGACGCAGTCCTCCTGGTGTTTGCCAACAAGCAGGTAGGCAGGCACCCAGCCCAGCCTTCAGGGCTGTGCCCTCAGTGGGGTGGACGGGGAGGGCTTGAGGTAATCTGGGGCTTTTGCTCTGGGGCTGGGCAGTTTTGCAGCCCCTTCTGCTGACTGCTGCTTTTCCCCAGGACCTCCCAAATGCAATGAACGCAGCTGAAATCACAGACAAGCTGGGGCTGCACTCCCTACGCCACAGGAACTGGTACATTCAGGCCACCTGCGCCACCAGCGGGGACGGGCTCTATGAAGGACTGGACTGGCTGTCCAATCAGCTCCGGAACCAGAAGTGAATGAGAATCCCCCTTCCCCACCTCCTCCTCTCCACCCTCCGCTTTCCTCTCATGTGGCAAACGTGCGACTCTGTGGTCCTGAGTGCCAGAAGCTGTCTCCATGGGTGGGTCACAGTGTGCATCGCACCCTGCTGTCCCTGTGCAGACGCAGCCTGCAGCCAGGTTCTTATTTAATGTAAATAGTTTCTGTTTCCACTGAGGCAGTTTCTGGTACTCCTATGCAATATTACTCAGCTTTTTTTTTTTTTTTTTTTTTAATTGTAAAAAAAAAATCAACTCACTGTTTAGTACTGAGAAGGGATTTGGGCACATTGACACCTGCCCTCCAGGAGTCCGTGGCTGTGTTAAGAGCTAGATGTACCTCTGGGTGTTAGATCTGCTGAGATCCATTTAGTGGTTGGTTTTAATCCGAACTCAGTGCATTTTTAAAAACAGTTTAAAATACAAGATGAGAACACTTGAACACACAGCAGGGAGACTGCCTAGTGTGGGGTTTGCAGTAACAGCCCGAGTGCTGGTCCATTGGATCGTCTGCTCCCCTTTGGGGACAAAACCACCCCATGATGCACTCTGCATGGCTGTCTCTGGGTCACCCTGCATTCCATAGCGTTGTGCTTGTGCTCCTGCTCACATGGTCACCTGGGGGAGGGGGCTGGGAGGCCAGGGCATCTAACTTTTCCCTCAGGCCCCCCTTGGTGAAGCACGCGGCCAGAGTAGGAGCCTGTCGTTCCTGGCACCCACTCGCTCACGCACTTGCTCAGACACGTTGGCGGGATGTGTGGGGTCTCACCAGCAGGAGCGCGTGCAAGCTGAGAGGGTTGGCCCGTTCTACAGCCACAGCCCCCGGAAGCACCCCCACCTCCATGTGTGAAGTAGCTTTCTCTCCCTCAGCCTGCAAGGGTCCGATTTGCCATCGAAAAAGACCTCTACTTTTTTTCTTTTGTATTTTGATAAACACTGAAGAAGCTGGAGCTGTTAAATTTATCTTGGGGAAAACCTCAGAACTGTTTTATTTGGTGTCGTGGAACCTCTTACTGCTTTCAATACACGATTAGTGATCAACTGTTTTGTATACTTGTTTTCAGTTTTCATTTCGACAAGCACTGTAATTATAGCTATTAGAAATAAAATCTCTTAACTATTCCCTGGCTCTCCAGTGTTTCAGTGCCTCAACCACCAGTCTGTCCCCTGGGGAGGGGCCGAGTGACCCAGGAAATGGTGCTGTATGTAGGCTTCACGTGGTGCTCTGCAGCCCAGCCTAGCTCAGGTCAGGTCTGTCCTGCGTTTAACCCCACCACCTGGGACAGAGGCTGCCAGCTGTTCCTGCCTGCAGCCCCCACCCCCAGGCAGAAAACAGCATGGAGCCTCCCTCAGCTCCTCTGATACCTTGCCCTCTGTGGGCCACCGCCCTGGCCAGGTGTCCCTGCCTGCCTTCACCTGAGCACAGTCTCAGCTCTGGCTGGCCACCTGCAGGGTGAGGACCTGCAGAGGGTTAGGGGTGTGGTCTGGATCTTAACCCCATCCTCACAGGAAAGGTTTCCTGTGTGCACAAGCACACACACGGGAGCACAGGCTGGGCTGTCTGTCCACACCTACAAGTGCCAGCACCTTCATGTCCCCAGAAGCAGTCCTGCCCAACAGCACCTCCACAGGTGAGCAGGCAGGCAGGTGGGCCCTGGGGGCCTTTGGCTCCCTGCAGGCCCCCCACTCCCAAGCTGCCCCGACACTGTCGTCCCTCTGGGGGGGTCCTCCCAAGGTTCTACCCTGGCCACGTGGGAGCACGAGGGGCTCCCTTAGGGTGTTAGCGGTCACCAGGGCCCTGGACAGGAAGGACAGGTGCTGGGGCCACCTTCCATTCTGTGATGATACACTCTGCTTTTAATATAAACTGAAGTACAAAACTGATGTAAAGAAAAATAGAAGTAGCCACACTCAGCCATAGCTACAGCCTCGGGAGGGCCGGCCTGGGGAGGCTGCAGAGGGAGACAGGACAGAGAAGAGACCTGTCCTGGAATACAGGCTCCCCTGTGCTGGGAGGGCCGGGGGCTGAGGCAGGGCCACAGGGACACCCTGGGCTCGCAGTCTCCCTTCACTGGGACCTGGAGGAAGTTCACAAAACAGGACCCCTGCTCCTGAAGCCCAGCAGGCAAGGCTAGGGTCCCTCTGCCTCGACCTGGACAGGAAGGGCACCCTGAGGGGGGTGCCCCCGGGACCTGCACAGGCCTCCAAGGCAGGGTCTCAGGCATCAGAGTCTCTGGCGTGCCGCTGGCGGGAAGGGCTCCTCCCACTGTCCCTGCTGTCACACCGCCTCTTCTTGCAGCAGGGGGAGTTGCAGTCACGCTGGCGGGGTTCAGGCCTGGGCAGACAGGGATGGTCACTCAGAAAGGACCCAGCGTGGGGCAGCTGCCCATCTAGCCCAGCTCCAGTCCCCCTCCCCCTGGGCTGCCCTACCGAGCAGGGGATGGGGACGAGGAAGAGGAAGTGGCCCCTCTCCTGTGCTCCTTGTCTTTCTTCTTTTGTTTCTTGTGTTTCTTCTTTTTCTTTCTCTTCTTCTCTTTCTTGCTTTTCCTGTGGCTCTCAGAGCTGCAAGGGGGGTGCAGAAAGGGCCTCAGCCCCAGCCCTCGGGAGACAGGAGACAGCAAGCACAGGCGGCCAGTTCTGTCCCGGCCAGGGGAGGAAGATGGACACGCTTGTGCTGTCCAGGGCGGCAGCCACCAACGTAGCGGCCTCTTCATGCTTGGTCCTGGTCAGCCCCTCAGCCAAACAGACCACATCTCAAAGTGCTGGGCGGTCACGTGTGGCCAGCAGCCGCACCCTCACTGTGGCAGAAAAACTCCCCAGCAGATCCAGCAGTGACTCAGCTCTGCCTCCCCCCAAGCTAGCCAGGGCCAGGCGCCATTGCCTGCGCCTCACCCCAGCTCAGCAGCTGTCCTGACCCCAACCCCTCTCGGCAGGCACATTCAGCCTGGAGATGGAGACCGGCCCTGCTCGCCCGCCGAGGGCAGCCCAAAGAGGGGCTCAAGGCCAACCAATCCTGGCCCTTTCGTGGGTGCCGTCTCTGAGCACACGTCTGTGGGAAGAAATCCCGAGCTGCACCCCCGCCCCTACTACACACACACACCCCTGGAACTCCGGCTCACGAATGCCCCTTACTCAGGCTCCGCCTTGTCCTCGGCGCGCGGTTTCCTCCTGGCTGAGGCCGGCGAGGTCCCCCGCCCGCCATTCTCCACGCGGTGGTGCTGCGGGGGAAGCGGCGCTTTGGCGAGGGCGCGCAGGTTGACCCCACGCCTCGGGGAGACCCGCCCTGGGCGTCCCCCATCCCCCCCCCCCCCGCCCCGAGGACCCCAGCGCGTTCGGGCTGGGGCAAAGAGGTTACCGTGAACACCGACAGCCCCAGCTTGGCAGCCTCTTTGTCCTCCCGGGACAGCGCCACTCGGCCCGCGGAGCCACTGCGGGGACACGGAGGTGAGGACGCCCCTGGATCACCGCCCGGACCCTGCTCCCCGCTGGGCACCCGGCTCCTCCTCCCCGGGACTGCCGCACCTGGCGCTGCCCAGCCCCAGCAGCCGATCCACGCCCTTCTCCTCCGGGTCGCCGGCTTCCCGCTTGCAGATCTCCACGAAGTCCTGCGGGGTGCGCACAGGGCCGGGAGAGAGGGCCCGGCGCCGCCCGGCCCCCGCCCCCGCGACCCCCGTTTCGGCCCCCAGCTCAGCCCCCGCCTGCGGTTACCTCTTTGCTCAGGCCGGTGGGCTGCTTCTTCACGTTCTTGTAGCCTCTGCGAGAGGGCCGGGGCACCGTCAGGGCGCCGTCGACCGCCCCCGCCCTCCGCCCGCGCCCTCCGCCGCCCCCGGGGACACTCACAGCGCGGCCAGCAGCGCCTCGCGCTCCGCCTCCCGCACGGCCGCCAGCTCCTCCTCGCGGCTGGGTCCTGCGCGCGGCTCCCGGCCCTTGGCGTACCAGGTGAGGTCGCGGCCCTTCTGCCAGCGGCCCACCGGCGCCATCAGCGAGTTGCCCAGGTAGTTCTCCCGCTGCTTGTCGGTCTTCACGTCCTCCCAGTTGAACTGGTCCTGCCCGCCGCGCACCCCGCCGCGGCTGGACCCGAACATGGCTACAGTGCCGCCGCACGGGCCCCGATGACTGTCGCCGGCTTCTGGCCTGTCGCCGCGCCTAGCCGCGCCGCGACGTCACGCCTGCGCCGGGCCCCGGGGCGTCGCGCCTGCCAGCGCGTCACGCCCCGGCCCGGCCCCGCGCGCCTGCGCACCACCGCCCACCTCGCAGCGAGCACCGACGCAGGCACCGCCCGACTGGGCCCCCGCGCCTGCGCAGTGCCCCGTCGCCGAGCGGGCGCTGGAGGGGCTGTGGAGCCCGGGTGGGCGCGGGGCCGCTGCCTGAAGTCCCCGCCGATCGCTGCGATACAGACCCAGGAGGACCAGGTTCCGGGTGCGGCTCCGGCGAGGGCCCCTGCCCCCCAGGCCGCGCTCTCCCCGCAGCCGCTGGGCGTCGCGGGAGGGGACAGCGGTTACCGGAGCGAGTTTGGTGGGTTCTTTTCCTCAGCTTAGTATGGAAATAAGCTGGAACAGCTTGCAAAGAAGTGGGAAGTTTGCTTCCCGTTTTGCAAGGCTTTCGGGAAGTGCACACGGTTTTAAGGCTTTGCTGTCTTCGTTGGGTCTTTCTGTGGGGGTGCCCATTGGACCGGGTTCCACATACTGCATGCCAATAGCAGGGGTCTCTCGGAGACAGCCTGATTCCCCGTAGGGGGCTCAGCTAAGTTGAAGCGGAGGCCGGCCTCGCAGCCATTCTGCACGAGGCGTTCCAGCAGCGTCTGGGGGCCCGCAGACCCCTAGCCCCCAGACAGGGTCAGGTGGCAGGCCAGCGGGCTGTGAGCAGCCCGGCGACTGCTCGGCCTGGCGCCGCGCTCCCGCCAGCTCGCTGCTGGCCGCGGCGCGGGGCACCCGCTTGCGGCTGCCGCCCCGCCCCGGCTGCTGCGGGTGTTTGGGGGAGTGAACCAGCAGATGGAGGGCTCCTGCTTTCTCTCTCTGTCGCCCTCCGCTCCGCCCCGTTCTATCACATAAAAAATTAAGAGATTTATTTATTTATTTATTTGAGAGGCAGCGTTACAGACAGAGGGAGACACAAAGAGGTCTTCCATCCACTGGTTCACTCCCCAAATGTCCACAACGGCTGGAGCTGCGCGGATCAGGAGCCAGGAGTTTCTTCAGGGTCTCCCACGTGGGTGCAAGGGCCCGAGCACTTGAGCCATCTTCCACTGCTCTCGTAGGCCGCAGCAGAGTTGGACTGAAGAGGAGCAGCTGGGACTCGAACCGATAGCCATATGGAATGTTGCTGTCACAGGCAGAGGCTTAACCTGTGCTTAACCACAGTGCTGGCCCCATAAACTCGTTTAAGTGTGTGCCTTAAACTGCTGTAACGTTACTAACAAGAGAGTCCAGAGCAACCAAGAAGCTGCTCAGAGCTGGCCCTGGGTCGCTGTCGTCACTCTGAGCCTGTGACTCAGTGTCAGGGAAGACAAGTCAGTGCACTTCTGGAATTCTCAAGTAATTGGGTTGCTGCCCCCTACAAGGGAGCCCTGTGTGGAGTGCATGGCTCCCTGCGGGCATGTGGGGAGTGAACACACACACTCTTGCTTGCTCTCAAATAAATCAGGAAAAATCAATAAAAATACCAGCTCCCCCCCACCACCACCAACTTTGAGTGCATTCACAGGCCAGGTACACCCCAGCCCCTGCACAGCACTGTGTTTGTTCTTCCTAGACTGGATCGCACTGAAGTCGTCTCCTCAAGTGTAGTAGCAGGTGGTGGGTCGCAGGTGCAGCCCTCGTTTATGCCATTAGGGACCACAGGGGTGGGGTGTTCCAGGTCCAGGTTAGATTCCAGCTTGGGACACCTGTGTCCCGTGTCAAGAGCGCCTGGTTCTGGTACTGGCTCTGCTGCTCTGATCCAGCTCACTGCTAATGTGCACCCTGGGAAGTAGCAGGTGACGGCTTAACTGCCTGGGCCCCTGCCACCCACAGGGGAGACCTAGGTTGAGTTCTAGACTCCTCTGCCTGGCTGTGTGGATGTAACAGGTGGAAGGTCCCTGCCTGTCTCTGTTGTTCTGCATTTCAAGTAAAATGAAAATAAATTTCAAATTTTAAAACTCTGTAGTAGCATCAACAGGACTGGAGAAGACATCAAGGAGCTGGCTGCCTGCTTGATTCTGGGCGTTGTGGCTTCCTCCAGACCCTCCCATTCTTTGTGTCCCAATGGGTAACCACCCAGGACCTTGACTGCTCTGACCAGTCCACCTGCAGGATTTTCCCAGCAGGCTTGAGCCCAAGCTGGGGCCTTGAACGTTCCTAGACACCGAAAAAGTCCCTGTAAGACACCTGTCCTAGCCCGAGCCAAGGAGAACCTCGTATAACGTGTACGTCCTGGCTCTGCTGCCGGCATGGCTCAGTGGGACATCGTTCTCACACTGTGGAACCATCAGCCTGGCACTTGGTGCTTCTTTCTTTGGGATCCCCTCCAGCCCCATCTCAGGACGGTCTGGGATGCCCCCTTAGGGGAATTTCTATGTTTCCACCTGGACTATCCATCCATGGACTCAGCTTGGCAAAGCAAACACTGTCCAGAACCAAGCGGTAAATTTGCTTATAAATCAGTCTGTTATTTTTAAAGTAGCCTGAACAAACAGCTTCACATCTTGTTCATCCCTTTATTCTGACTATTGATTAAGCGTTTACCAGGCACGATGCCAGGTGCAGGGACAAGCCATGAGCTTGCAGCCTGGTTGGGAGGACATGTACTGTGTCTCAGGGAGACTGGAGCATCTGAGGCACAGGTGGCTCAGCCACAGGGACAGAGGACCAGGGAGATGGGAGAGCAGAGTCAGTGTTGAGCTTACTTGCCCAACAAGCCACTGGCCACAGGGCAGATGTCACCTGGGCGGCACATTCCTGGGTGTGCTGAGCAGATGTCAATCTGGATGACAGCTTAGCTGGACTGAGAAGGGGGGGAAGTCAGCAGGGGGAGAGGAGCCCAGAAGTCCATCCCAGCTGGACACTGGAAGGCACCGTGATCTTGCAGGGAGTGCAGACAGGGCTGGGCATCCATCCTAGAAAATGACAGAAAGGGGACTGGAGGGAAGTCACTTCTGTAGCAACCCCACAGAGCAGCTGCAGGTGGGATGGACATGCCTAGGCGAGGCCAGAGGGGACAGTCAACAAGTTCAGACAGGCTGGTCCCCAGGACACACGCATGGATGCTGGGAGTCCTGGTAAGGCACAGGACAAGGAGCTGCAAGCCTTCTCTGGGTCTGGTGATGGGTTGGGTGTGCAGGAAGTGGGCGCAGCATGATGCGAACCACAGGAACACAGGGCAGCAGCTGGCTGCACACACTGCCTGCACTGGCGCTCCCCAGGTAGCCTCATTAGGGAAGGCCCAGGGTGGGTGGGGAGGCGGCTGAGGCCCGTGCTCTGGAACATCCAGCTACAGAGGACCACCGTGCTCAGTCTGGAGACCAGTAGCCCTGGGTGCTCAGAGGCTGGGGTCAAGGGTACTCTCTGACTGGCTGCCATGGGCGCCAGGCCCTCAGTCACTGTGAACACTCACAGGCTCTGTCCTACATGGAGCCAAGACCTGCCCCCCACTCTGCACCTGGGAGCCCCACCTGGCTCTGAGCCAGTGCTTTTCAGAGGTCTGGCACACACCAAGGAAGACGCTGACACATGTGGTGGCTTGGAAACGCATCATATACAGACAGGCACCCTGCGGTCCTCATCACACAGGCAGACAGCTCTGAGTCACATTTCACTTCTGGGTCCAAAACCGTCTGTAACGCTCCACATCAAAGTCATCGGCCAGCTCTGGGTCCTCCTCCTTGGGTCGGAGCTGAGCCCCACGCTTGTGGAGCCGGGCCCGGCGCTGCTCGGGAGACAGGGTGTCCAGGTCCAGGGGCATCTGTGGGGAGCAGAGGCCAAGGTGTGTCTACCTTCCTCTGACCCTAGCTTGTTTTTATTTTAGTGAGAGAGAGAGACAGAGAGAAAGGTCTTCCTTTTACCATTCGTTCACCCTCCAATGGCCGCTGCGCCCATCTGAAGCCAGGAGCCAGGTGCTTCTCCTGGTCTCCCACGTGGGTGCAGGGCCCAAGTACTTGGGCCATCCTCCACTGCACTCCTGGGCCACAGCAGAGAGCTGGCCTGGAAGAGGGGCAACTAGGGCTAGAACCTGGGGTGCCAGCGCTGCAAAGCGGAGGATTAGCCTATTGAGCCGCGGCGCCGGCCCCTAGCTTGTTTTTAAAAGCTTCTTTATTTGAGAGAGAGAGAGAGAGAGGCAATCAGAGAGCTCCCACCTGCTACTCACGCCCCAGATGCCTGCAATAGCTAGGGCAGGGCCAGGGACGAAGTTAAGAGCCAGTATCCCATGCGGGTGGCAAGACCCAGGTCTGTGCGCCATCACCCGCTGCCTCCCAGAGTCTGCACTGGCCGGAAGCTGCACCCAGGAGCTACAGCGGGAATTCGCCCAAGTCTTCAGATCGGGATGTGGGTGTCCCAGCCACCATAACTGCTGGGCCAAATGCTCGCTGCCCCTGCACTCGATTTTTCTGTTCTTTCTTTCCCTTCAATAACTTTATTCTTTTAAAGACCTTTTTCTGCTTGTTTCCCTCAGATTTGATTTTTTTAAATACACAACTCACTGATCCGATCTGATTTTGCTGCCTGGAGTGGACCTGCCTGCTACCACGTGGTGCGGTGGCCACAGCTCCAAGTCTGTCCCGAGATGACCGGCCGGGGCAGGCGGCTTACCAGCAGCATGCGGCGCGGCTCCCTGTAGCGGATGTGGATGGTGGAGCCATCTTGCTTGACCAGCAGCACGGGGTAGAGGCGCGCGTAGGCCTGGCGACGCAGGCGAGAGAGAGAGGCCCTGCTGCTGTCCGCCCACCAGGGGGACACGTGCAGGCCACGGGGCCTGGGGGCAGCCGTCTTCATGGCAGTGCGCCACAGCAGGCTGCACACAAACGCAGCCGCTGGTCAGCCAGCTGTGTGACAGCCTGGTGACCCGTTAGGGGCGGGAAATACTGCAGACTCGTGAGGAAGACACAGGCCATGGCCGGGCAGCTGACCTCGGGCACCACCACAGGGCGGCCAGGCCTACGGACGGGGAGGCAGCCCTGTACTGATGGTGCTCCAGGGCCCTGACGGCCGTGCTTACCCCAGCGGGCTGCCCGCAGCTGCCATTCCTCCTCAGAGCCCCGGGGACACGCGCAGGGGTCAGCCGCCGGCCCTGCTCTCCACCTGCTGGGCAAGGGAAGAGTTCTTTGCAAAAGTACTCCTCCCACCCACTTGGCCCTGAGGAAGCCCCAGAGAACCTAGCCGCTGCCGGAAAGGCACACAGAGCGGCCTTTAGGATGCAATGGGCTGCGAATCCCACGGTCGGAACAGGCGGGTCCTGACGTCAGCCAGCGCACGCCGCGGGGAGGCCGCACGGGGCGCACTCGGTCCCGCTGGTCTTCACCGAGTCCCGGGACGGAGGACTCCTCCGGCTGCCTGCAGGAGGGACGCGGGGCGCACTCGGTCCCGCTGGTCTTCACCGAGCCCCGGGACGGAGGGCTCCTCCGGCTGCCTGCGGGAGGGGCGCGGGGCGCGGGGCGCGGGGCGCGGGGCGCGGGGCGCGGGGCGCGGGGCGCGGGGCGCAGGGCAGTGCCGCCGCGACCGCGATTCTCGCCAGAGTCCCCGCGGATGGCAGGGGGCCCGGGGAGAGCGGCTGTGCCGCGGCTCCCTCTACGCGACCCCCGGGACTGCTTCCGGGCAGCCCCAGGCGCTCACCTGCCCGCCGCTGTCACCGTGGACCAACTTCGCTGGTCAGCAGTTCGGATCCCGCTGGCCACGAGAGGGTCGCGGCCCGCGTCGCGCGGCGCTGACGTCCAGCTGGGCGGGGAAGGCGCGGCGGTGACGCACACCCGAGGGCGGGGCCGCGCGGCGCCGGGAGTCTCTGGGGGCGGTGTGGGCGGTGCCGGAAGTCTGTGGGCGGTGCGTGCGGCGCCGGAAGTCTCTGGGGGGCGGCGCGAGCTGTGTTCTGCTTGTTGCTCCGGGGCTGGGGAGGCGGGCCGGCTGTGGAGTTCAGGTGTGTCCCTGAGGTGTGGCAGAGGTGGGCGGGCGGCCGAGGCGGGCTGCAGCCACGTGTGTCCCTGAGGTGTGGCGGAGGCGGGCGGGCATTGCTCAGCGGGTTCCTGCGGGGCGGCCAAGACCGCGGGTGTGCGTGGGGGTGCTCAGGTGTGTGTGCGGGACAGGGGGCGCTCAGGTGTGTGTGCAGGGGAGGGGGGCGCTCATCTGTGTGTGTGCAGGGCAGGGTGTGTGTGTGGGCAGGGGAGGGGGCGCTCAGGTGTGTGTGTGTGCGAGGGAGGGGGCGCTCAGGTGTGGGGAGGCAGGGGCGCTCAGGTGTGGGGAGGCAGGGGGGCTCAGGTGTGTGTATGCAGGGCAGGGGGCGTTCAGGTGTGTGTGGGGGCAGGGGCGCTCAGGTGTGTATGCGGGGCAGGGGCCGCTCAGGGGTGTGGGGGGGGCAGGGGGCGCTCAGGGGTGTGGGGGGGGGCGGGGGGCTCAGGTGTGTGTGTGCAGGGCAGGGGGCGTTCAGGTGTGTGTGCAGGGCGAGCGGCGGATGAGGGTGGCCCTGGGACTCTCCTAGCCATAATGTCCTGCTCATCCACTTGGTGCTGTGGCCCATGCGTCTCTGTTTCACACCGCTGACGTGGCATTTCCTCCACCCGGCTTGTGCTGGAGCCGCCCCCAGGCAGTGGCAGGGGGCCTCGCCGGGAGGTGGCGCGGCTTGGGACCCCAAAGAAATTACTACCACGTGGGAAATAGCCCACCTGAGGCCATCTGCATGCAGCCACTGCCAGACCAGGGTCGTTCAGAACAAAGCCTGGGAGGGGCTCACTCCGTGGTGACCGGCAGAGCGCCTCCTCCCTTACAGACTGGTGGTTTCCGTGGTGAGAAGCGGGCAGGGAGGGGCTTGGGTCCCCGCCGCAGCTGGGCTACTGCTAAAGGTCCTGTGAGATTGTGTGAGCTGGAGGGCGTTTGGGGGAGGCTGAGCTGCTGATGGCGGGACTCTTCAGAGTGAAGCAGTTCAAGCAGGGCAGGGCGGTCAAGGCAAGCTACAAGGAGAGACCTGGGGGCCAGCTTGTCATGTAGGTGAGCGGTCAGCGTGGATCCAAGGCTTTGTCCTTGCTCCAGCACCACCTGCTCACCAAAGGATGGACTCAAACGTGCAGGAGGCAAAAGGAAGCAGAAAGGGGAGTGTTTATGAATACTGGGTCTCTATTAATACTGGAGGCAGCTGTTCAGTTCCTTTATAGCTGGCATGCAAAGGAGGCACAGTCTAAATACAGCAATGCAGGGAAGAGTTGGTGGGCATGGGGTTTGCTGAGCAGGTAAGTTAGGGGAAGGTGGTTCCATAGTTGAAACTGTTAGGAAGTTACAAATTAGCCTGTGTGTGATTGAGGGTCTAGAACTAAAGTTTCTTTGAAAAGGAACCTCTGGCTGGGGCTGGGGCTCACTAGGCTAATCCTCTAGTCCCAGTCGGGGCGCCGGATTCTGTCCTGGTTGCCCCTCTTCCAGGCCAGCTCTCTGCTGTGGCCTGGGAAGGCAGTGGAGGATGGCCCAAGTGCTTGGGCCCTGCACCCACATGGGAGACCAGGAGGAAGCTCCTGGCTTCAGATTGGTGCTGCACACTGGCTGTAGCGACCATTTGGGGGGGTGAACCAACGGCAAAAGGGAAACCTTTCTCTCTGTCTCTCTCTCACTGTCTAACTCTGCCTGTCCAAAAAAAAAAAAGAAAGAAAGAAAGAAAAGGAACCTCACAGGCGGGAGGTGCTGTGGAGCCAGCATCCCATATGGACACTGGTTCGAGTCCTGGGTCCAGGCTGCTCCATTTACGATCCAGCTCCCTGTAATGCACCTGGGAAAACAGTGGAAGATGGCTCAGATCCTTGGGCCCCTGCACCCACGTGGTAGACCTGGAAAAAGCTCCTGGATCCTGGCTGTTGGGACCGTTTGGGAAGTGAACCAGCAGAGAGAAGATCTCTCTGTTTCTCCTTTTGTTTCTCTGTAACTCTGCCTTTCAAATAAATAAATCTTTATAAAAGGAAAAGAAGGGGCTGGTGCTGTGGTGTAGTAGGTAAAGCCTCTGCCTGCAGTGCCGGCATCCCACATGAGGAGTCTCAGCTGCTCCACTGACGATCCAGCTCTCTGCTGTGGCCTGGGAAAGCAGTGGAGGATGGCCCAAGTGCTTGGATCCTGCACCCACATGGGGGACCCGGAAGAAGCTCCCAGCTTCTGATAAGCCCAGCTCTGGCCCTTGCAGCTATTTGGAGAGTGAACCAGTGGATGGAAGACATCTCTGTCTATCTTTGTGTCTGCCTCTCTGTAACTCTGCTTTTCAAAGAAGTGAATAAATCTTTAAAAAGGAAAAGAAAAGGGATGTCACAGCCTTGGAGGCCACCTTAGAAGCAGCCCAGCACTTTACACTGGGGAGTCCTGCCCATATGCCAAAGGCTCCGTGTAGCTGGGCTCAGCCTTCCCCTAAGGGGACGGGGTCTGTCAGGCACCAGGTGGGCTGCCCTGTCTGATAACACTAGGTGATAAAACCTTGGGAGAAATTCTACCTAATTCACACTCAGCACATCCTTTGTCCAGGAAGAGGGAGGACAGGGCCACTCCTTCAGCAACCCCATTCTGAGTGTAAACTGGGCACCCTCTCAGCTCCTGTGCGTTCTGACAGACGCCCCACCGCATCACATCTTGCTGCCCTGCTCGCCACTCCTCTGTCTCACGTCTGAGTTCCTTTCTTGTGTGAAAACAGGAATCTGCCCACTCATCTCCACCGAGCGAGTTTGTCATCTTTTTTCTTAGCCCCCTGTGCGGTTGGGGACGAGGCCCTGGCATCATGGCTGTGCTGTACTTACGCCAAGCTAAGCTCCTGGGAAAGCACACCACTGGTGCACTGCTGTCAACTAGATGTCCGGGTGTGTCAGAGCTGTTGTTGCTGGGAAGCGCTAACTTAGGCACCTGTTCCCAGCCAAAAGGGGTGTTCCACCTAGGCATGGGGTATATTTAAGGGTTTAAGAAATTTGGTTCAGGTCAGGGCTGGTTTTTTTCCAAGTGTTTTGAGCAACAAGCTAGATACATTTGTAAAATCAAAGCTCTGGGAGCTAACACTTCTGCGATGAAAGAGTGTGCGGGCCCGCCGCACCAGTCGAACGGAACCTGAAGGAGGGAGTGGGAGTGAAAAGAGGGACAAGGGCGCAGAGAATGGAGCCAAGACAAAGAGCTGATCAAGGCTCGTTTAGAGTCTCAGTGGTATTTATACATAACCAGCTGCAGAACAAAGAAGCACCAAAGATAACAAAATATGTAAGCAACTTATGGGGGCCTCCTGCAGCATAGATAATGTTAACAGAGTGTTCTTGAGTAACGTGCTCCTTCAGGATGGGAGTATGTGACTTTCTTATCCCAGGAATTCCACAGCCCTAGATTAGCCTTGACCTGTCCAAAGGCTGCCTACGAAAGGGATCACTGAGAGGTAATCTCATGGACAAAAGACCAAAGAAAGCAAAGGGCTTCAGGAGGAGAAGTACATGCAGGCTTGACAGAGCCCCAATCCTTTGTCTTTCTCTGCTTTTCCACCCTAAGTTAGCAAGGCAGTTTGGGGGGCCACCCTATTATCTTGGGCCTGCAGGGATTAACAAGTTGTAACTGCAAGGTAAGATGGTTTTAGGGTAGAGGAACTAGTAAATAACAACCTGGAGGTAATTTTCAGGAGTCTAAGGTATGCGACCAGGCTTCTATGGCAGGTGGGGAAAGGGTTTGTAAAGTCTGTACTGGTTTGCTTAGACCCAGCTGGCCCTCTGATAACGAGCAGGAGGGGGGTCTCTAACTGGCTCCTTAATGGCAAGCAAGGAGGGGGAGGGGGGTCTGTAACATTCCCTCCAACTGGCCCTTTAATTGCCAGGAGAGAATTTGTAACAGTAACAGATGCTAGCCAGAAAGAACACGGTCTGGGACAAGTTCCTGTAGTGACCAGCAGCATGGAAGATAGCAGTTAGAAAAATGCTCAAGGGACCTAAAAACCAGGCTGGGTTATGATGACAGTCTGGGGGAAGGACGCATGAGTGATTGCAGTGAGCCTGCGCCGCGCTGGCTGTAGAAAAGAGGCAGGACGGCCTTAACGTGTGGTGGTTGGCACTGTAAGCAGACTTCCATGCCTGCTGATTGAATGGAGGTCTCAGCATACACTTAGGAAGGCAGAGCAGGTTTTGTGTAGCTTGGCCTAAAGCTGTTAAAAGATTTATTACTTATTTGAAAGGCAGAGTGACAGAGAGGGAGAGAGTGAGATCTTCCATCTGCTGGTTCACTCCTCAAATGGCTGCAACAGCTGTGGCTGAACCAGGCCAGGAGCCTGGAACTCCTTCCCAGTCTCCCATATGGGTGCAGGAACCCAAGTACTTGGGCCATCTTTGGCTGCTTTCCCAGGTGCCTTAGCAGAGAGGGAGCTGGAGCAGAAGTGGAGCAGCTGTGACTCTTAACAGAGACTCACGTGGGACGCTGGTGTTGCAGGCAGTGGCTCAGCCTGTGCCGCTCTGCTAAGGCCCTCTTCACATTCCAGCTACTATTCCTGAGACTGGTGCTCTGACTTGTTTGCCTAAGAATTTCAGGAGCCTGACCTCCCACCACTACCCTTTATCCTTTGAAAGTCACCCTCAGTCCGGCATTGTGGTACACTGGGTTCCATCCATATTACTGCTGGTTTGATTCCTGACTGCTCCACTTCTGATCCAGCTCCCTGCGATGGCCGGGGAAAGCAGTGGAGGATGACCCAAGTGCGTGGGCCCCTGCACCTACGTGGGAGTCCAGGATGGAGTTCCAGGCTCCTGGCCTAACCCTGGCCGTGCAGCCACTGGGTGGTAAACCAGCCAGATGAAAGAACTCCGTCTCTCTTTGTGTATCTGCCTCTGTCGCTCCCCCTCTTCGTGGAGGAACGACACTAAGCCCTGCCTAGGCTTCATATCCGAGTCACGGCACCATTATGTCGCTCCCCCTCTTCGTGGAGGAACGACACAGGACCCTGCGCTGTTCTTTCGTCTGCTCGGCCCTCCCCGGGTTTGCTGCTGGTTCTTCCCGGGTTGGCTACTATCCCTTCCACCTCCGTGGAAGGGCGGTTCCCCCTGGCCGCTTTCCCCACTTCCACAGGGGAGCGGCACACCGCCGGCCGGCTTTCTCGGGGACTGCACAGGTGTTCCTTCAGCTAGATGTTCCCCTTAGATGTTCCTGGTGCATGCCGTCTCTCTCCTCCTTTATAGTCCTCCTCCGCCAATCCCAACTCGGCTGCCCACACGCCGAGTACGCTGCTCTCCAATCAGGAGCAAGTCCTACAGTTTATTGGTTGAACTGGAGGCAGCTGTGCGGAAGCTGTTTACTTCTCTCCCAGCGCCATATTGTGGGAGAGCAGATGCATAGAATAAGTCTTAATTCCAGTAACTCAGTCCAGTCCGGGCTGCTCCCCACATGCCTCTCTCTGTAACTTTGCCTTTCAAATAAATAAAATAAATCTTAAAAAAAAAATAAGTCCTGTCTTGCAATTTGTGGCAAGAGTCATTTGGGACCACAGGGCCCACCTTCCTTTGGGCGACCCCTGTGAAAGCCTCAGGGTCTCCTTCTCTGGTGCCATAGTGGCAGGTGTGTTCTGGCAACACCCGCACAGCCAGGGCTCCATCCAGGCCTCCCGTGTTGGGGCGGGAACCCGAATACTTGAACCATCGTCCTCTGCCTTCTCAGGCGCATCAGGAGCTGGATTGGAAGTGAAGGAGGGATATGGGACGCAGGCATCCCTGGCAGTGACTTACCCTGCTTTGCTGTGGTGCCTGCCAGGACAACTTGCAGCTGTGTGTGTGGGTCACAAAACAGTCAGGACTCTGGTTTTTCCATGCGGACACAGTGCAGGATGAGGGGAACTCAGGGGCCCTGTAGTCTACCCCTTCCCTGGCTCCTACAGTCTCACATGCCTGTGCCTTTGTATTGTGTCCCAAGCTGACCGGAGTGGGTGGCGTTACCTGTAAGGGCTATGATTTTGTGAAACATGTATGTGGTATTGATCGCTGTTTCCTGGCATACAACTTCCAAAATCTTGTATCTTCCGAGTGATGACTCTTCATCAGTTGGGCAGGCATTTAGTACAGCAGTTAGGATGTGGCTTGGGATGCCTGTATTCCACAAGGGAACGGCTCTGTTTCTGTTTGCAGCTTCCTGGTAACGCACATACATACCAGGAGGCAGCAGTGACAGCTCAGATACTTGTTCCCTGCTACCCACATGGGAGACCTGGATGGATTCCAGTCTCCCGGCTTTAGCCTGACCCGGTCTTGGCTGTTGTACACATCTGGGGAGTGAACCGTTGTTTGTAAGATCTTTATCTCTTTTTTTTTTTTTCTCTGCCCTTCAAATAAGATGAAAATAAATATGCCTTCTTTTAAATGTCTCTTTATGCTGGCGAGCCAGTCGCTGACTGGCAGTCATGGTGAGTCTCAAAGCCAGGCACTCTGATATGGGATACAGGTACCCCAAGCAGTGCCTTTGCTGCTGTGCCAAAGGCCCACCCTCCCTGTTCCGTGTTTGGATGCTGGTGAGCCAGCCTGCTGAGCTGTTTTCCGGGTAGTGTGGAGCCTCTAGAACTCCCTCTGATGCACTGCTTCTTCAGGGGTGACACTGCCTGGGCTGGGGCCAGGGCGTCTGCTTCTGTGTTTCTGCCAGTGGGAATGGCTTGGTGGGCCAGCTGCTGTGGGCGCTGGGACATTTTCAGCCACAGTAGGTGCTAAGTCCAGGTGCATGCCACGTCCCTGAACAGTGCCTGCACCACATTTGGGACAGGAGCACACATGGCTGAATCAACTTCCTGGGCTCTACCAGGTACTGCACAAGACGCGCTGTCCCAACCCCGTTCTCGGATCTGTTGGCTTCCCTGCGGCCCCAGACTCACGCTCCCTGTCTGAGGAATTCCATCTGGCAGCGTCTCCGCTGGGGATATAGGATGGTTGTGGATTCTAGATGTTTTCTTGCCCCGTTAAGGGGTGGTGGTGGAACACAGGCTCGTTCCAGCTATAGTTGCTCCTCTAACTGCCATTCTTCACTTCCAGCTGAGCCTCTGCTGCAGGAGGGCACTGGGGAGTGAACCAGCAGATAGAAAACATCCATCTCTGACCCTCTGCCTTTCAAAGAAAAAAGGGGGCCGCCCCATTGCGTAGTGGATTGAGCAGCTGCCTGTGATACCAGCATGCCCTATGGGTGCTGGTTCTGGCTTTGGCTGCCCCACTTCCCATCTGGCTCCCTGCTGATGTGCCCAGGAAAGCAGTGGAAAATGAACCAAATGCTCGGGCCCCTGCTACCCACAGTGGGAGACCTGGAAGAAGCTCCTGGCATCGCCTGGCCCAGTCTTGGCGGTTGTGGCCATCTGGGGAGTAAACCAGTGGGTGGAAGATCTCTTGTCTCTCCCTCTTTCTGCCTGTAATCCTTTAAAATAAATAAATAAATCTTGAGAAGAAGAAAGCTGCATCAGGCTGGTCAAGGCGGGCACTAGTGCCCAGGGTTACCTATGGCTTTGAGCAAAGGTGTCACAGAGCCCCCATAGACCCTACCGGCCACTCTGGGGTCTCCCTGCAGCAGGCCTCTGCCCTTGCATGTTTCTTTGGGATCCTGCCAGCTGTGCCAGTTGTTCTGTCTAACCAAACCTGCAGCTTGAGAGGCCACACAAGTAATGGCATGGGAGTTCCCACAGGAGAGCCCAAACATTCTGAGATGGTAGAGGCGTGCAAAGAAGGCAGCACTAAGTACCAGGTACTCGGTCTGCAGCAATGCAGGGGCCGCTCAGAGAGCAGCACACTATGGAGATGGGCCATGAGGGGCTCCCCTTGGGCACTGTTGTGGTACCGTTGGGGCATGTGTTTTGTGAAAGGACTTAAGGCGTTGTCTCAGGGATAAGGACACTTTCTTTACCTGTTTTGGGCAACAAACCAAACACTTGATCAGTGCCTGTGAATGTTCAAGATAATTGCGATGTTGGCTAGGACCCAGAAAGAAAGTGGGGGACCTTGGAACCCTTACAAATGAACGTCTCTTCTGCCTTGCCCTGGCTCCCTAGGATGCACCCATGCTCTACCACAGACATGTGTTCCAGTGTTACTATTTGTTTTATTTGAAAGGCAGAGTTTAGAGAGAGAGAGACAAACAGAGAGAGAGGTCTTCCATCCGCTGGTTCACTCCCCAAATGTTCACAATGGCTAGGGCTGGGCCAGGCTGGAGCCAGGAGCCAGGAGCTTCTTCCAGGTTTCCTGTATGGTTGCAGGGACGCAAGCAATTGGGCCATTCTCCACTGCTGGTGACTGTCGCTCCCCCATTCGCGAAGAAACAACACTAAACCCTGTGCTGTTCTTTTGTCTGCTCGGCTCTTTCCCAGGTTAGCTGCCGGTCCCTCACTCGCGGAGGAACGACGCTGTCCTGGGTTAGCCTCCACGGAGGTGGAGGGGCGGCACCCCCTGCCGCTTTCCCCGCTACCGCGGAGGAGCAGCACACCGCCGGCCGGCTCTCTCGGGGGCTGCTCATATGTTCCTCAGGTGTTCCTGGTGCATGTTGTCTCTCTCCTCCTTTATAGTCCTCTTCCACCAATCCATGCTCTGCTGCCCATACGCCGAGCACGCTGCCCTCCTCCAATCAGGAGCAGGATCAGCTCCTGCGGCTTATCAGTCAAACTGATGAGGCAGCTGCGTAGAGGTTGTTTGCTCCCTCTCAGCACCATATTGTGGGAGAGCAGATGCATAGAATAAGTCTTAATTCCAGTAACTTAGTCTAGTCTCAGTTGCTCCCCACAGGTGACTATATGGGATTTTAGGTGTCGCAGGCAGCGACTTAACCCACTGCGCCACAGCAGCAGCCTCTCCTTGCTGTTTCTGAATAGCTTGTTTAGAGGAATGTCCTATCACTCATTTCAGGCCGACAGAAAGAGGACAGCCTTTCCTGGCTCGGCAGCCCCTGTAATCGTGTGCTGCCCCTAAGCCTGCGGCTCGTGCGCCTCCACTCGCCGCTGGACGGTAAGGTCCCTCCTTGGACCCGACTCTACCCGGGGTTTGCCTCTGCTCTCTGGGTGTCGCTGAAACATCTGTGAGGAGCAAGTGACATCCCAGGGTGGATGCAGGTTGAGCACAGGTGCTTGTCACAATTTCATGAGAGTGTCTAGTCTCCGAAGTCAGACTCCTTTGAAGCAATAAACTGGTCCCTGCCAGGTGAGATTACCTCAAGGGGCCTGCCAGGGTCAGGGAACTGTGTTGCAGGTCAGACGAGTAGAGCAGAGCCGTCCATCCCTCCGGCAGACGCTTTGCCCACTACTCCTGACGTCCTCATGGGAAACAGAATGGGATCCTCCCGCTCCAAAGCGTGGCAGCACACCGCTCCGTCAGGGACTCCGGCCAGCTCTAAAGCGTGGCAGCACACCCCTCCGTCAGGGACCCCGGCCAGCTACATGCTCACCCACTGTGGGTCACACGCTTGTGCGTTTCTGAGCTCCTGGGTATATTACACCAGGAGTAATGTAGAGCTCCAGTGGCCGCAGTGGGGATCGTTTGAACTTCCGAAGCTTGCTTTCCTCAGAAATAAGTTAGGAGAGCTTGGCTGTGTGGTCCAGCCTTCAGAATGGGATGCGTTTTTCAAGTGGTATCTGGAAGCTTCAAGCCGTGCTCAGCACGCAGAGGTTGCCTCCCTGCAAGGCACCATCTCCCAGCTTGCTGATGCAAACAGACAACTCAGAAAGGACATCAAGGACTTGGAAGCCAAGGTTCACTGCTCCCTGGAACGTCCTCCTCCCTCCTCGTGCACCACCTCTGCTTCGGAACCTTCCGATGACATGGCTAAACCCAAAGCCTCCTGTGTCCCCTGGACTAAAGATGAGCTCCGAACCATCGTCAGGGCCTTCCCAAAAGTCACTGAAGATCCTCAACGATTTGCTGATGAGTTCAGCGTCATAATCCGGGTCTATCAGCCCGATGTCACTCATCTCCTCCAGCTAGTCCGCATGCTTGTTGACGAAAGTCAAGCCAAGCACTGGATGGCTAAAGCTAACTGGGCCCACCTGGAGCTGAATAGCCAGCAGCAGACACCCCAGTCCCCGTCCCAGGCTCAAAGTCTGGCCAGGAGTCTCCATAGAGCTATCTTGGAGGCATTCCCTAAACGTGCAGATTGGAATAAGATTTATGCTTGTGTCCAAGAACCCAATGAGCCAGTTTATCAATACTACATTCGATTCGAGCTTGTCTTTAAGGAAAACTCTGCATTGCCTGTGAGTTCTGTTTCTTACAGCCCACTCTTTAACTCTGCATTTGTGGGTAACCTAACCCCAGAGCTGTCCCTGCTTGTTAAAAGATCTTCCATGGAATGGCTAACCATGTCCACTGAGTGTCTGGTAGGTCAGGTCAGTAAGTTAGCCCGCTCCCTGGAGTACACCAATGCACAGAAGTCTGCCGATACCCTCAGTCACTTGCTGCAGCAGCTGAAAGCTCCCCAGAGGGTTCCTCCTGGCCTCTGCCATTACTGTAAAAAACCAGGCCACTGGAAGAAAGATTGCTACAAGCTGAAGAGAGCTAAGCAGGCCCTCCCTCAAAACCCTCAATTTTGGGTAATGGATGTGTTTTCTGAGTCGGGGCCCCGGGGCATCACGGGAGCTCCTGTCAGTCCTAGGCTGTCGTGGGTCGAGAGCTCAGATTCAGAATGAGGCCCTGGCTGTCCTTGTGGACCTGGGAGCCACACTCCAGTGCCCAGCCCAGTGCCTTCCACCAGCCCTCACCTTGGAGCACAAATAGTGGTATGTACCCCTTTATCACATCCTGTGTCCTCATGGGAACCCCTCCTTTCTGCTTGGTGTTCAGCACCTATCTTTCTCCTAAAAGGAAGAAATAATTTTGGAATCTGACAAACCAGATTGAGTTGACTCAATTCTAGAAGCTCCTCACTCTCCTAGTTCCCACATTTGACTACAGAATGAGAAGGCTCTCTCGGCTTTCAACCCATTGCTGACTGTCAAACCTACAAGATCTCGTTGTCCCAAATGCCAGTCCTACCATGCCCTGATCCTGCCAGGAGAGAGACCTAATGGCTGTGGGTGCTGTTGGATCGAAGACCTCAGTGGTGACCTCCGACACGTCACCTCAGCCCTCACCTGCAGCGAATTCCCACTGGTGGTGACCTACACAGTGCCTGTTTCAGTGATTTGTCCACGAGGTCAGGCACGCCTTCTCCTTCACTAGGGACAGCCAGCAGGTGCCTGGACGCTTGATGCCTTTGCCTTCATCAGGGACGGTCGGCAGGAGCCTGAACGCTCGGCATCTTTGACTTCTCCAAGGACAGCCAGCAGGCGCCTGGACTCCCAGTGCCTTTGACTTCTCCAGGGACGGCCAGCAGGTGCCTGGACTCTCGGTGCCTTTGACTTCTCCAGGGACGGCCAGCAGGCACCTGGACGCTCAGCATCTTTGACTTCTCCAGGGACGGCCAGCAGGTGCCTGGACTCTCGGTGCCTTTGACTTCTCCAGGGACGGCCAGCAGGCACCTGGACGCTCAGCATCTTTGACTTCTCCAGGGACGGCCAGCAGGTGCCTGGACTCTCGGTGCCTTTGACTTCTCCAGGGATGGCCAGCAGGCGATTGGATGCTCGGTGCCTTTGACTTCTCCAGGGACGGACAGCAGGAGCCTGGACTCCCGGTGCCTTTGACTTCTCCAGGGACGGCCAGCAGGTGCCTGGACGCTCGGCATCTTTGACTTCTCCAGGGACGGCCAGCAGGCACCTGGACGCTCAGCATCTTTGACTTCTCCAGGGACGGCCAGCAGGTGCCTGGACTCTCGGTGCCTTTGACTTCTCCAGGGATGGCCAGCAGGCGATTGGATGCTCGGTGCCTTTGACTTCTCCAGGGACGGACAGCAGGAGCCTGGACTCCCGGTGCCTTTGACTTCTCCAGGGACGGCCAGCAGGTGCCTGGACGCTCGGCATCTTTGACTTCTCCAGGGACGGGCAGCAAGCGCCTGGACGCTTGGTGCCTTTGACTTCTCCAGGGACGGCCAGCAGGTGCCTGGACTCCCGGTGCCTTTGACTTCTCCAGGGACTGGCAGCAGGTGCTTGGACGCTTGGCACCTTTGACTTTTCCAGGGACGGGCAGCAGGTACCTGGACGCTTGGCACCTTTCACTTCACCAGGGACGGCCAGCAGGTGCCTGGACTCCCGGTGCCTTTGACTTCTCCAGTGATGGCCAGCAGTCGATTGGACGCTCACTGCCTTTGACTTCTCCAGGTACGGCCAGCAGGTGCCTGGACTCCTGGTGCCTTTGACTTCTCCAGGGACGGCCAGCAGGTGCCTGGACTCCCAGTGCCTTTGACTTCTCCAGTGATGGCCAGCAGGTTCCTGGACGCTTGGTGCCTTTGACTCCTCCAGTGATGGCCAGCAGGCACCTGGACGCTTGGTGCCTTTGATTTCTTCAGGGACGGCCAGCAGGCGCCTGGACGCTTGGTGCCTTTGACTTCTCGAGGAACGGCCAGCAGATGCCTGGACTCCTGGTGCCTTTGACTTCTCCAGGGACGGCCAGCAGTCGATTGGACGCTCGGTGCCTTTAACTTCTCCAGGGATGGCCAGCAGATGCCTGGACTCCCGGTGCCTTTGACTTCTCCGGGGATGGCCAGCAGGAGCCTGGACTCCTGGTGCCTTTGACTTCTCCAGGGACGGCCAGCAGTCGATTGGACGCTCGGTGCCTTTGACTTCTCCAGGGACAGCCAGCAGGAGCCTGGACTCCCGGTGCCTTTGACTTCTCCGGGGATGGCCAGCAGTCGATTGGACGCTCGGTGCCTTTGACTTCTCCGGGGATGGCCAGCAGATGCCTGGACTCCTGGTGCCTTTGACTTCTCCAGGGACGGCCAGCAGTCGATTGGACGCTCGGTGCCTTTAACTTCTCCAGGGATGGCCAGCAGATGCCTGGACTCCCGGTGCCTTTGACTTCTCCGGGGATGGCCAGCAGGAGCCTGGACTCCTGGTGCCTTTGACTTCTCCAGGGACGGCCAGCAGTCGATTGGACGCTTGGTGCCTTTGATTTCTCCAGGGACGGCCAGCAGGCGCCTGGACGCTCGGTGCCTTTAACTTCTCCAGGGATGGCCAGCAGGTGCCTGGATGCTTGGCACCTTTGACTTCTCCAGGGACGGCCAGCAGGTGCCTGGATTCCCAGTGCCTTTGACTTCTCCAGGGACGGCCAGCAGGTGCCTGGACTCCCGGTGCCTTTGACTTCTCCAGGGACGGCCAGCAGGCGCCTGGACGCTCGGTGCCTTTAACTTCTCCAGGGATGGCCAGCAGGTGCCTGGATGCTTGGCACCTTTGACTTCTCCAGGGACGGCCAGCAGGTGCCTGGACTCCCGGTGCCTTTGACTTCTCCAGGGACGGCCAGCAGGTGCCTGGACTCCCGGTGCCTTTGACTTCTCCAGGGATGGCCAGCAGGCGATTGGACGCTCGGTGTTTTGACTTCTCCAGGGACGGCCAGCAGGTGCCTGGATTCCCGGTGCCTTTGACTTCTCCAGGGATGGCCAGCAGGTGCCTGGACTCCCAGTGCCTTTGACTTCTCCAGGTACGGCCAGCAGGTGCCTGGACTCCTGGTGCCTTTGACTTCTCCAGGGACGGCCAGCAGGTGCCTGGACTCCCGGTGCCTTTGACTTCTCCAGTGATGGCCAGCAGGTGCCTGGACGCTTGGTGCCTTTGACTCCTCCAGTGATGGCCAGCAGGCACCTGGACGCTTGGTGCCTTTGATTTCTTCAGGGACGGCCAGCAGGCGCCTGGACGCTTGGTGCCTTTGACTTCTTGAGGAACGGCCAGCAGATGCCTGGACTCCTGGTGCCTTTGACTTCTCCAGGGACGGCCAGCAGTCGATTGGACGCTTGGCACCTTTGACTTCTCCAGGGACGGCCAGCAGGAGCCTGGACTCCCGGTGCCTTTGACTTCTCCAGGGACAGCCAGCAGTCGATTGGACGCTCGGTGCCTTTGACTTCTCCAGGGATGGCCAGCAGTCGATTGGACGCTCGGTGCCTTTGACTTCTCCAGGGACGGCCAGCAGGAGCCTGGACTCCCGGTGCCTTTGACTTCTCCAGGGACAGCCAGCAGTCGATTGGACGCTCGGTGCCTTTGACTTCTCCAGGGATGGCCAGCAGGAGCCTGGACTCCCGGTGCCTTTGACTTCTCCGGGGATGGCCAGCAGGAGCCTGGACTCCCGGTGCCTTTGACTTCTCCGGGGATGGCCAGCAGGAGCCTGGACTCCCGGTGCCTTTGACTTCTCCAGGGACGGCCAGCAGTCGATTGGACGCTCAGTGCCTTTGACTTCTCCAGGGATGGCCAGCAGGCACCTGGACGCTCAGTGCCTTTGACTTCTCCAGGGACGGCCAGCAGGAGCCTGGACTCCCGGTGCCTTTGACTTCTCCAGGGACGGCCAGCAGTCGATTGGACGCTTGGTGCCTTTGACTTCTCCAGGGACGGCCAGCAGGCGCCTGGACGCTCGGTGCCTTTAACTTCTCCAGGGACGGCCAGCAGGTGCCTGGATGCTTGGCACCTTTGACTTCTCCAGGGACGGCCAGCAGGTGCCTGGATTCCCAGTGCCTTTGACTTCTCCAGGGACGGCCAGCAGGTGCCTGGACTCCCGGTGCCTTTGACTTCTCCAGGGATGGCCAGCAGGCGATTGGACGCTCGGTGTTTTGACTTCTCCAGGGACGGCCAGCAGGTGCCTGGACTCCCGGTGCCTTTGACTTCTCCAGGGACGGCCGCTCCAGCACTTCATTGTGAAGGCAAACCTAGACGATGTTACCTTGCTTCCAGGTTTCCATTTCTGCAGGCGTGGGTGAGCTGCTCTGCTCCCTCACAGACTGGATATGAGGACAGTGTACACATTTTTTTTTTTTTTTTACAGGCAGAGTGGACAGAGAGAGAGAGAGAGAGAAAGGTCTTCCTTTGCCGTTGGTTCACCCTCCAATGGCTGGTGCACTGCGCTGATCCGAAGGCAGGAGCCAGGTACTTATCCTGGTCTCCCATGGGGTGCAGGGCCCAAGCACCTGGGCCATCCTCCACTGCACTCCCGGGCCACAGCAGAGAGCTGGCCTGGAAGAGGGGCAACTGACAGAATCCGGCGCCCTGACCGGGACTAGAACCTGGTGTGCCGGTGCTGCAAGTTGGAGGATTAGCCTCGTGAGCTGCGGCACTGGCCGACAGTATACACATTTTAAGAAGCTTTGCTGCCCAATGCCATAATTTTTCTAAGGAAAAGTTACTTGAAAGCCCAAGTAAGATATATTGGGCACAAAGTTTCAGAGAGCAGACTACACTTAGACCCAGCTTGGTGCAAGGTGTTGGGCGATTTTTAAAACCCTGAACTCTGCACCACTTTGTCTGCCTCTGGCGCAAGCCTCCTGCTAGAGTCCACCAAAGCTGGCGTCCCTGTTTGGGAAGCTGTTGAAGATGTGGCTTTTGACAAGGTAAAAAGGAGTTACTAGAGCTGCAGCTGCAGGATGCTCTGAGTGTAAACTCCCTTTTCCCCTCGGTTATGAAATGTATGGCAAGCATAGGAGTCTGTACTCAAAAGCATGGAGGTCACGTCGTCCCACAGAGTATGACAGCCAGCAGCTGGGTTGGGTGCTCGTGGGTGGTGTCCTCTGAGGCTGTCCCAGTTGCTGTCCTGTTGGTCAGATCCACTGAAGAAAGTCCTGGGATGTCCTTTGCCATCTTTGCTCGCACATCTGCCTGCTGGCCCCTCCTCCTCTGGGATCCTTCTGTTAGCTGTTCCCGTGCAGCTGTCTCCTCAGTCTTCCCTTCCTGGCTCTCCCTCCAGGGGATGCCACACAGCTTGTGACCCTTGAAGGCTCCACAGGGCTCTTCCCTAGGCAGTGCTGAGTTTCCTGGTTCTCAGGTGTCTGGGTCCTGCTCTGTCCACCTCCTTTGATGCTGTACCCAGCAGGCAGAGCTGTGGCCCTTGCTGGAGCTGCCACCCTGCCAGGGTTAGGCTGCTGCCGCTCTGGGGTCCTAGGGACTCAGCAGTGTTGTGGAGACAAGGGTTTCATCCCTTCCAGTGGAGATACGATATGAACCTCATGTAAAACCCTTAGTACAGCTATCTGCTGCCCTGGCCATTTCACAACTGGACTCTGGAGGTGGAATACTCTCCTGCTGCCAGTCTCTGCAAAGAACACTGCCCATGGTGGGGCAGCACCGTGGCAGATCAGGTAAAGCCACTGCCTGCAGTGCCAGCATCCCATATGGGCGCCGGTTCGAGACCCAGCTGTTCCACTTCCGATCCAGCTCTCTGCTATGGCCTGGGAAAGCAGTAGAGGATGGCCCAAGACCTTGGGCCCCTGTACCCGCGTGGGAGACCCAGAAGAAGCTCCTGGTTCCTGGCTTCAGGCTTCAGATTGGCACAGCTCCAGCAGTTGCAGCCATTTGGGGAGTGAACCAGCAGATGGAAGACCTCTCTCTCTGCCTCTCCTTCTTCCCTCTCTCTGTAACTCTTTCAAGTAAATAAATAAATCTTAAAAAAAAAAAAAGTCCCACTGATCACAGCTGCCATGGCCCAGCTGGAAATGTTTGCAAGTCTTAAAACAGCTACTAAAGATGTACAGAGTTGGACACGTGCAAGATGCTCACTCAGTGAGAAGAGTGGGTCCTTTCCAGGGTGCTGAGTTCTGAGCTCCCATTCTGGAAGCTCAGGGGCACGTGCTTGCCTCTCCCAGCTCTGATGAAGGCCCCGCGATGGCCCTAGTGTGCGAGATGCAGGGGCAGTGTCGGGCTTGCTGCTCACAGCCTGCTCTCAAGCCACGCTCCCTCAGACAGCATTTCTCCCACCGCAGGTGGGGCTCGGACGCTGGCTGGACGTCTTCCGGTTCAGCTCAGCTCTGCCACTGTCCACCTGCAGGGCGAGGGCTTGGTCCCCAGGGCTCCCCTGTGCTTCCACGCGGGTCACAGTCCCAGGTTTCCCTGTGCTCTGACGGTGGGGCTGTAAGTGGGGTTCCACAACCCCTTCCTTGGGTTTGTTAGTTTGCTCCGGCGGCTCGGTAACTCAGAGACACATTTCCTTTCCTTGCCTGGCTTACCAGAAAGGAGGTTACGAAGAGTGGGGTTGGGGTCACTTAGGGAGAGGGCGGGGGAGCACCTATGTCCTCTCCAGCCCTCTCTCCACTGCTGACCTTGTGGGCTTTGGGAGGCCTCCTCCTCAGGCCTGGTGGCAGGGCGGGGCACAGGGCGGGGCAGCCTCCTCAGTTCTCCTGGGCCTCTGCAGAATCTCTTGCTCCTGAAATGGGTGTTGTGGGCCACTGTCAGATGAGGGGTCGGTCCTCATGGCCAGTTCCAAAACAGGAAGGTGGGGCAAGAGCAGGAGGAGCTAGAGCAAAGTCTGAACTCCCCAACGCTAGTCTAGTCTCTTAGGACATGACAAGGGTTACTGGGCCATGAACCAGGTGCCATGGATGCAACCCAGAAGGGACACATGCATGTCTATCATGTCACACCTCTTACAGGTCACCACACTGGGGACCAGGTCTCCAGCAGAGGAACCCTTGGGGGGCAAACTTCCAAACCCTGACTCTGGCTTCCTGTCCTGGCCCCCCGAGCTCATGGCCTTCTCACTGCACAAAGGCATTCACAACTTGCGAACCTCAGCTCATTCAGAGTCCAACGTCTCATCTGATACTCAAGGCAAATGTCTTCCGGCTATGATCCAGGTTACCCCCTATAATAAGGGGGTCCTAAGCCCTCAGCAGAGCAGACTTTGAACACTGCTGCCCACTCGGTGCCTGGCTGACATTGCTGCTGGTTGCTCTACATTTCTGGGGTTCCTGCTGCAGCTCCTCTCATGGCTGCACCAGGCATTGTCCAGGAAGACTGGCAGCTCCGTCCCTGAGGAAGACTTCTGTCTCCCAGGGTTTTTTTTTTGGAAATCGTGATGGGAGTTGTCATGACGCCATAACTTTTTGCATTCTGCACACTGGCGAAACCTGCGTTGTGTGGTTGAGAAGCAGCAGTGTGAGCCACGCCTGTGCCCCTGTGGACCACGCTGGGTCAGCTGTGAAGTGCTGCCAGGGCTCACCCTTTGCACTCTGGACTGGCAGGGTGAGCCATGTGCGCCAGGGTGCAGAGAGCAGGGCTCTAAGGCACCCCCTCCCCACTGCTGCCAAGGCAGATGGGCCTGTGAGGTGGCCCTGGCTCTCTCCCACATGCCTCCTCTCATCAGTGCTGATCTTTGCCTAGGCAGGGTGCAGATTGTCCAGGTCCTGCTCTGTTTCCTTTTGCTCTCAACCTGAGCATTAGCAATTAAGTCACAAAACTGCAGCTGAATGCTTTGCAGTTCAGAGGTGTTTTCCACCAGTTTTTCTCCCTCCCTCCCTCCCTCCCTTCCTTCCTCCCTTCCTTCCTTCCTTCCTTCTTTCCTTTCTTTCTTTTGACAGGCAGAGTGAACAGTGAGAGAGAGAGAGAGAGAGAGACAGAAAGGTCTTCCTTTTCCGTTGGTTCACCCCTCAGTGGCCACTGTGGCTGGCGCACCGCGCTGATCCAAAGCCAGGAGCCAGGTGATTCTGGTCTCCCATGCGGGTGCAGGGCCCAAGCACTTGGGCCATCCTCCACTGCCCTCCCGGGCCACAGCAGAGAGCTGGACTGGAAGAGGAGCAACTGGGACAGAATCCGGCGCCCCGACTGGGACTAGAACCCCTGAGGTGCCGGCGCCACAGGCGGAGGATTAGCCTATTGAGCCGCGGCGCCGTCCTCCACCAGTTTTCTATAAAGCCCTAGGGCTTAGACATTTCAGTCTTTGCTGCTGGGGCTGGCGCTGTGGCATAGTGGATAAAAGCCAAATGGGTGCCAGTTCGAGTCCCAGCTGCTCCACTTCCAATCCAGCTCTCTGCTATGGCCAGGGAAAGTAGTGAAGATGGCCCAAGTCCTTGGGCCCCTGCACTCATGTGGGAGACCCAGAAGAAGCTGCTGGCTCCTAGCTTCAGATCGACAGAGTCTTTGCTACTGCATAACAAGGGTGGCCTTTAATCCTGGCAGAATCATCCCCTTCTGGGAAGTGACTGATGCTCCACACAGGCCTTTCCCAGACTGCTCCTCTATGCTCTGCCCACCTCTGCCCTCTGCCCATACCCTACTTGGTCTGTTTTGTGTTACTGTAACAGAATAGCTGAGGGCAGGGTAGCAGCGGATGTGGCCCAGGCCCTGGAGACTGCACAGGGCTGGCAGACAGCTCTGCAGTGGTGGAGTGGTCATATGGCAAGGCTTGCTACAGCAGCCCATGCCTGGGGACTTCCTTCCACCAGGCCCCACCTCTTTTTTTTCTACTTTTTTTTTATTATTATTATTTTAAGATCTGTTATTTATTTGAGAGGAACAGTTAGGTGGGGGGAGAGAAAGAGCAGTCTTCCAAATGCTGGTTCACTCCCCAGATGGCTGCAACAGCCAGTGCTGTGCCAAGCCAAAGCCAGGAGCCTGGAACTTCTTCCAGGTCCCCCACATGAGTGCAAGAGCCCAAGGACTTAGGCCATCTTCTGCTGGTTTCCCAGGCACAGTAGCAGGGAGCTGGATCGGAAGCAGAGCAGCTGGGACTCTAACCGGTGCCCGTATGGGATGCTGGCCCTGCAGGCAGTTTTACCCACTATGCCACGGCACCAGCCTCTAAGGCCCCCACCCGCCAAGGTTCTGCCAGCCCAGTACTGCCACACTGGGGACCACTGAAACCATATCCAAAGCATAGCCGACAGGGCTGCTGGACGTGACGTGACTTTCTTGGCAGAAGCAGCGTTTCCTTATAAGGTAAAACCACCTGTCTGCCTTTCTAGCCTTGGCCAGCTCTTCTGAACAGGCCTCTGAACTTCCTGACCCTCACTGTGTCCTTGTGAATTCTGAGCTTTCTGGTGTTGCCATTTTTTTTTTTTTTTGGACAGTCAGAGTGGACAGTGAGAGAGACAGAGAGAAAGGTCTTCCTTTTCCGTTGGTTCAGCCCCCAATAGCCGCTGCGGTCAGCGCACTGCGCTGATCCGAAGCCAGGAGCCAGATGCTTCTCCTGGTCTCCCATGCGGGTGCAGGGCCCAAGCACTTGGGCCATCCTCCACTGCACTCCCGGGCCACAGCAGAGAGCTGGCCTGGAAGAGGAGCTACTGGGACAGAATCTGGTGCCCCGACCGGGACTAGAACCCGGGGTGCCAGCACCGCCATTTTGAATCTTGCTGTACCCCACTGAGCTGACTGATCCAGTTCTGTCAGGGCGTGGCCTGGCTCTCTTGGCAGGCTGATCAGGGCTGGAGGTCACAGCTGCTCTGGGACAGAAACCTCAAGACCACGTTAGGGGAAAATACAACAAAGCCATTTTTCTGACGGGGACGTCTTGCCCACCCAAGTGAGCCTTGGGCACACGCAGGCCCTGTCAGGCTGGCCTTGCCAAGCAGCTCCTGCTCTGTGTCTTCTCTAGAACTTGATGTTAGTGTTTGCAAGCACAGACTTCAGAGACGCTTGTCATGGAAGGAGAAAATAAAGCTAATTAGAAGCAACTCAAAGGACATAAACTAAAAGTCTTCCACAAGTAGTATTAGGAAGCAGCTTTCACATCTGAGGTGGTCTCGGCAATCCCACAGCAGGGCCTTCTGGTGGGTCTTGAGTTCCTGGGCTTGGCAGGAGGCTGGGCGTTGTAGTGTGAAAGCTGCAAGATCCGCTTCTGTCTGCATGTCTGAGCCACTGGCTGCTGTGCACACGTTTTTACCCAGATTTGCTCATCAGGCTGATGGAAAGTCTTATGAACATTTCAAGCATAGATGTTAAGCATAAGTGAATAGGACTATCAGTAGGATAAGAGTTTCTAGATGACCTTTTCAATAATTATGTTTTATTTTATATACATATATATGTATATGTACTTAAAAATAGTTTCAAAAATCTTTTTGGTAAGTTTTAACCTTAAAGTGAAATCAAGTATTCCCATTAAATGCCTCAATCATTTCTTTTTTTAAAATATTTATTTATTTAATTGAAAGAGTTACACAGAGAGAGGAGGAGAGGCAAAGAGAGAGAGAGAGATCTTCCATCCGATGGCTGCAACGGCTGGAGATCCACCAATCGGGAGCCAGGAGCTTCTTCCAGGTCTCCCATGTGGGTGCAGGGGCCCAAGGACCTGGGCCATCTTCCACTGCATTCCCAGGCCACAGTAGAGAGCTGGATTGGAAGTGGAGCAGCGGGGTCTCGAACCAGCACCCATAAGGGATGCCGGCGCTACAGGCCAGGGTGTTAACCCGCTACGCCACAGTGTCGGGCTCTCAATCATTTCTAAGTAAGTTAAAACACTGAAACATTAATAAGCTGAAGTTTATATATACTGGCATCTGTTTTTATGTGGTTTATTTGGGCCTGTTAAATGCGAAAATTGGTGGCCGCTTACATGAAACAATTCACAGTGCTTCTAGTCAGGTTCCGAGCACTAGTAGTTAGGACTGAGCCATGTGACTGAACCACTGGAAACAGCTGTGTGCAGGCAGTGAGACGTGTGTCATGGGCAGAGCTGTGCGGACACGTTTTGTTTGGACGGGTTGGTCATACAAGTTTGTGGAAATACTGCATGGTCAAGGCTGACTGGAGATTAAATCAGCTGTACTGGTGCGCTGATGCAGAAATAGAATTTGTGTTTTTCCCTTTATTGGTCTTTTTTCATTTCTTTTTATTTTTTGGTCTTTTATGTTAAAATGCCAGTTTTCTTATAGTATTGGTCAAGGACGTAAATGGGTTTTGTTTTGTTTTCCTCTCAAGTAATGGGCCTGGGGAACAAAACACATTTTATTGAGATTTTTTTCTTGTGCTTTGTGCTGTCCTGTGCTATGTCTTTGATCACTTAGGTAGAGTGAATCTTTTCAGTATTTACAGCTAAGTCAAGTCCCTCTGCTTCAATGAGTGACTGTTTTTCCTTGGTGGACTTGATCTTTTCATTTAGATGTCTTCAACTTTCTTGACATTTTTGGCTAATGTCCCTAAGTCAAATTCTATATTAAGTCTTTCTGACCTTGACCTAACCCTGGCATGTTCCAGAAGACTTCTGGAACACCCACAAAGGACATTCTAAACCACTGGGGCTCTCTTGGTATGTAAATTAATTATATGGGAAGCATTGTGAAATAAATGGTGCTAAACATTCTTTGAGCTATATTTGTATGAAAATGTTATTACTATGTTTCCCAACAATTGTATGAAATTCCTAAAAACGGATATTAGCCACAACTTTGGTCATGTTAAATTGCTCTATGCCATGGGGCCGGTGCTGTGGCTCAGTGGGTTAACGCCCTGGCCTGAAGCACCAGCATCCCATATGGGCGCCGATTCTAGTCCCGGCTGCTCCTCTTCCAATCCGACTCTCTGCTATGGCCTGGGATAGCAGTAGAGGATGGCCCAAGTCCTTGGGCCCCTGCACCCATGTGGGAGTCCCAGAAGAAGCAGACAGCTCCGGCCGTTGCGGCCCTCTGGGGAGTGAACCAGTGGATGGAAGACCTCTCTCTCTGTCTCTACTTCTCTCTGTAACTCAGCCTGTCAAATAAATAAAATAAATCTTAAAAAAAAAAAAAAAGCATGTGTGTGCTGCCAAAGTGAGCACACTACTTCTCCTTTTAAAAAAAATTTGCTGTATGCCATAGAAATAATCAGATTTCCCTGTCAATTTTTCTATAATTATAATGAACTTTTGTCAGATCTTTAATTGTGAGCATTCAAGTCATTGTTCAGTTACTTTGTTTATTTTTTTAAAGATTATTTATTTTACTTGAAAGAGTTACACAGAGAGAGAAGGAGAGGCAGAGAGAGAGAGAGAGAAATCTTCTATCGCTGTTTCACTCCCCAATAGGCCACAGCAGCCGGAGCTGAGCCGATCTGAAGCCAGGAGCCAGGAGCCAGGAGCCAGGTGCTTCTTCTAGGTCTCCCATGCGGGTGCAGGGACCCAAGGACTTGGGCCATCTTCTACTGCTTTCCCAGGCCATAGCAGAGAGCTGGATCGGAAGTGGAGCAGCTGGAACCCACACCAGTACCCCATGGGATGGCAGCACTGCAGGCGGTGGCCCTACCCACTACTCCACAGTGCTGGCCCCTTCAGCTACTTTAATCCCATCCTTTTCTGGACGTTTTTTTCTGCAAGCAATGATAATTGTGAAAGTGTTGAGACTTCAAGGAGATGGATAGGTGGGATGAAGTGCAGGTTTCTGACAACTCTTGAGATTATAGCATTGGACAGGGTAAGAATTGAGAGTCCTAATGGAAAAATCTGACTCGTGAGACTCCTAACCTACACGTCAAACAGAAGCTGACTACATGAGACTGGTGAAGAATTGTGGGTTTTTATATTTTTTAAAAAAAATTTATATTCTTGGTCCTTTTAATCTTGGGTTTTCCATATTTAAGGGTTTTCTTTTTCTTTTAAGTGGTCTGTAGCATATAACAAGTTGGTAAAACAGACCTTTTTGAACAAAAATGTAAACATTTGCTTTTTCTCCCCACCTAGTGTCTCCGGAATTCAGAACTATTGATGATGGGCATTCTTGTTTTCATGGAAGCATAATTATTCGCATAAACTGTACATGAAGCTGTGTGCAGTGGAAGCACAGGTGTGCAGGGTCTCAGGCTCCTGCTGGGATGTTGTTTGCTGATGCACACAGGGCTGGTACCGTCTGAAGCCTGTGTTTTGGCTTCCTGGCAACGGAGAGGTTTGACAGTCCAGCCTGAGAGCCCTTATCCAAAGTTTCAGCCAGAGTCTATGTGGCTGATTGCCATTCTTGCTGAACTTTTGTAAACAAACAGCCTAGATTGGATGTGGCTAAGCCCATTTTGCTAACAAATTATTCTTACTCTGATTATTTTTAGTAGAAATGCAAGTGGCTTGTAAAGAGAAAGATTATGTGTGAAGGAGAAATATAGCACACCTGTTACTAGAGGGTATCTCAGTTCACTGCTTTCAGGTTTTTATTGCGTGCCTGGAGACTGGACTGAATCCTGAATTCTTCCATCTCCAGCTGTGGACAGGAGCTGCTCAGTTCCTGAAGCGTTGTAAGCTGAAGCTGGACATCGTGGGGTAAATTCCAAAGAAGTCTCATGCCTGCTGTGTGGGCCACAGTGTCCAGGCGAGCCACCCAGTGCCACAGCCCGAACACTGGAACCGCACACCAGGATGGACAGCTTTCCCAGGACACTGCCAGGAGGCTGGACTCCAACTTCTTAGCTGTTCCTTGGGTATGACTACCTTTTCCATTGGCAGGAAAATCCCACCGCCAGTCGCTCTTGCAGGCTGACGAAATGTTGGCTGCTCTGGCCAGACCCGTCTTTACGTGGCCTAAGAGGGTCTTTGGCTCACCTGGTGGGAAGCTTTGTTTGTGAAGACATGCAGACCACTTGCTTTCACTCCGTACCCTACCCTAAGCTAGCTCTAGGTGGCTGAGCAGGGAGAAGACTGGGCCGTGGCTGAAGCTTGTCACAGATGGGTGAATACACTGGGCCTTGTAGAGGCTCATTGCAAGCGTCAGTGGACAGGCTGCCTGGTTAGAGCAGGTGGACTTCACCTCTGGCTCGTGGGTGCCCTGGCTATGGAGCACACTCCAAAGTCTGTCGTCTCCCTGGTACAGTGTATTCTCAAGCCTACAGTTGTCCATCAAATGTCTGATGGCTTCTCATCATCTGGGACAGAAACTGAAACCGTGTGATGACAAGGGTGCGTGACCGAGGGAGGACACCCAGAATGATGGCACCTGCTGTGCCAATGCCCTTATGTTTTGGTCACATCTCACCTGGGCAAGAGCCTGACCAAAAGGGGGGAACTTTTAAACATTACAGGGTGGGGTGGCGGGGGGGGGGGCTTGCTCTGGACTAAGCCACTGCTTTCACTCGGCCTAACCAGAGTGGAATTGCTCGTGCTAAATGCGGCAGATCCCAGAGCATGCTTCTTCTGAAAACAGGAGACTGCAGTCTGTCTGGGTCGGCATAAGGAAGTCCTCGCTGCTGCACCTGATGCTGACCAGAACCTGTTTCCTGCTGTTTGCCCTGCTCACAGTGGACTGTCTGCTGCCACCCACTGGGAACTGACGTCAGGGTAGGCTGGTGAGTGCCATACCAATGCCAGTGAAGTCCTGTTACGCTGTGAGGTTGACTGAGAGGGAGCGACTGTTGCGTCTGGCATCCTGAGGCGGCCCTACCCGGATGTTAAGCAGAGTGTAACCTATTCTTGAAGCATGTAGACAGTAAGGCAGGCTCATGCCAACCTCCCCATGTGGTGGAGCAGGACACCCTGACATATTTTTAAATTTATTTATTTGAAAGTCAGAATTAGAGGGGAGAGAGAGGGAGAGGAAGGGAGGTCCTTCTGCTGGTTCACTCTCCAGTTGGCCCAAACGGCCAGAGCTGCACTGATCCGGAGCCAGGAGCTTCTTCCGGGTCTCCCACGTGGGTGCAGGGGCCCAAGGACTTGGGCCATCTTCCCTTGCCTTCCCAGGCCATAGCAGAGAACTGGATAGTAAGTGGACTTGAACCGGCGCCCATAAGGGATGGTGGCACTGCAGGCAGTGGCTTTACCCACCATGCCGCAGCGCTGGCCCCCCACCTCCCGAAGTATTTTTGGTCCAGATTGGGTGTTTCTAGATTCAAAAATAAAGCCAACTGAGATCTGCAAAACAAGGCTGGTTGTAATTTTATTTAAGATTTATTTATTTATTTGAAAGGTAGAGTTAGAGAGGCACAGAGATGTCTTCCATCCACTCGCTGGTTCACTCCCTAATGTCTGCAATGGCTGCAGTGGGGCCAAACTGGAGCCAGGAGCCTGGAGCTTCTTCGGGGTCTCCCGCATGGGTGCAGGGGCCCAAGCACTTGGGCCATCCTCTACTGCTTTCCCAGGCCATAGCAGAGAGCTGGATCAGAAGAGGAGCAGCCAGGACTCAAACCAGCACCCATATAAGATGCTGGCACCGCAGGCAGCAGCTTTACCTGCTACACCACAGCGCCGGCTCCCCTGTAATTTTACTTTTTACTTACTGGGAACTGCCCTGTGCAAGCCACCTGCAAGTACAGCAGTCCCAGAGCTCATGCCGCTGTACCCACGTGTCAGAGGGAGCAAAGATGCCATGGGGAAGGGGAGAGGAAGACAGCCTTGTGAGGCACCAGGAGTCCTGGGCAGCCGCTGGGAAAACCGCACCCTCGGGCTCAGCCTGAGGAGCCGGGGGAGGGGCTGCGTGCTGCCTGCTCACCAGGCAGCGGCTCCTGCGCACGGCTGAAGTCCGCTCTCTGCACCTCCCGCGCCCAGGGCTGTGGGTCCGCGTCCTCAGTGGGCAGGTGGGCTGGTTTCTCAAAAACTTGGGGCCTCATCTGGATTCTGTGCTTGTGTAAAAGAAAACACCCAATAATAATAAAAAAAAATCCCACCCAACTTTAAATGATCTACTCCTCCCCAAACACCCTGTGTCTCCCCACAACAGACACAAAAAACTCAGAATTTACTTAAAAGACAAACATCACAACACAAAAAAGCTTTGTATCCAATAAAAACCAGTGCATAAACAATAAAACAAGTTCTGGAAAGCCTCTTTCTACAGCAAAAATAAATATACCTCACGTCACAAAAACATTCTATAAGTTATAAAACAAAATTACAAATAGGCCCACGAAACAAGCCCCCCTACAAAACGAATTAAACTAACATAACGCCAGCCATCCCTAAAATAACATTAAAACCCACCTACTTTAAAAACTACAAATAAAACCACCCAAACTAAAAACAAATCCTAATAAAAAAACCCATATTAAAAATATGTAGATTACATAAAAAAGCCACTGAAGTCTCCAAGTTACATGTAATACTTAAAAACTATAAATGCATAAAACTATAACATCAGGCCGGCGCTGCGGCTCACTAGGCTAATCCTCCGCCTTGCGGCGCCGGCACACCGGGTTCTAGTCCCGGTTGGGGTGCCGGATTCTGTCCCGGTTGCCCCTCTTCCAGGCCAGCTCTCTGCTGTGGCCAGGGAGTGCAGTGGAGGATGGCCCAGGTGCTTGGGCCCTGCACCCCATGTGAGACCAGGAAAAGCACCTGGCTCCTGGCTCCTGCCATCGGATCAGCGCGGTGTGCCGGCCGCAGCGCGCCAGCCGCGGCGGCCATTGGAGAGTGAACCAACGGCAAAAGGAAGACCTTTCTCTGTCTCTCTCTCTCTCACTGTCCACTCTGCCTGTCAAAAAAAAAAAAAAAAAAAAAAAAAAAAACAAAAAACAAAAACAAAAAAAAAACTATAACATCACTAAATAAGGAAAAGGTATATAACATACCAAAAAATAAATTTAAAAAATTTTTAAAAACTACCAAAAAACCCCCCCTAGGTTAAAGCCATTTCAAAATATCCAAATAAATACAAAAACTACCTACAATAGGAAATACTTAATAGTAGTTAGAAGTCATTTTTGACTAAATAACTCCCTCTCACAAGCGCCATCACCAAAAATATCATCAAAATAGAACACATTTGGCCTGATAATAAAACTGTCGCCCTGCACCGCGCTGACGCCGGCGACACCGGGCCCTCCCGGATCAGAGGACCTCTCGGTCTCCCTCTAACTCCGCCTTTCAGGTAAATAAAATACATCTTTAAAAGTAAACAGAAACTACGCGGTCAGACTAATTCATAGGGATAAAATTCAACTCCCCACACTGCTTAACGCCTGCTCTCACACAATCTTTGCCCTAAAGCAAACACGTGCTTTAAAAGGTCATACGCTAATTAAACTACAGTACCAGAGTCAAGCAAGCTCTTTCCCCACCGACAGGCCCTTATTAATAAAATACTGTATGAGAAGTGCCCCACCCAACCGCTGGTCCACAGCGCAACACGGGCCAGAAATACCAACCCCGAAACAGTCCATTTAACCTCCAAGTCCTAGGAACATCCCAGTTCGCCAAGTAACTCCAAAAAATAAGATAAGACGCCTTAGCCCTTAGAAATTACAAACACCCAAGTCAGGTAAGTGCAGTTCTCAGTCCAAGCCTTCAATCACCGCGCTGCCCGTGGACTGCCGGACGGCCGCCGGCAGACAGGAGACGCCCGCTCCCGCGAAGTCTCCCGCGGGGCCCGTGCCAGAGTCAAAACGCGAGGAAAGTCAGACCCACGAAGTCAGCCATCACTCCTTCCCACCCTGGAAAACTCAAATCCGAGACCAGGGGTGACCACTCCCGCCTCTGGGCAGAACTCGTGGCTTAATTCAGCCCCGAATGCCGCTCGCCAGACACCACACACGTCCTTCCCAAAGCCCAACAAACTCTTTCGACGCCAGCGCGGCGCCCCCGCCGCCCCGTCTCGAGCGCCCGGCTCCAGGACGGCCTCCGCCGCTCGGCGCGGGCGGGCACGCGTGACGTCACGAGCGCGACGCGGCTGGCGCGCGGGAGTGACGCGATTCGCGGCGGGGCGGCCGTGTGACGTGGCCCCCGGCGGGCGGAGGCCACGGGACCTCGGATGCTGCGGCGCCCGCTGGCGGGGCTGGCAGCGGCCGCCCTGGGCCGGGCCCCCGCGGACGGTGAGTGCGGGCGCGGGCCGTCCTGGCCCTCGAGGGTGCGGCGGCGCCCGTCCCGCAAGCTTCCCCTGCGTCCCGGCGTCAGAACGCGGAGCGCCGGGCCGGCGGGGGCGCCCCGAGCTGCGGCGACCCCAGGGACGGCGAGCCCGTGTCGGGCTCAGCGGCCGCCCGCGCTGCCCCGCAGCACCGGCCCGGGGGCGTGGAGAGCGCAGTGGAGGCGGGGTGGTGCGCCGGGCGGGGCGGGCGCGCGTGCGGGCGCCCTGGTCAGCCCCGGGAAGCGCGGGGCCGTGCGGGCGGCTCCTCGACTGGGGCGGGGGCTACGCGGGGTGCGGGCGAGGAGCAGCCCTATCTCCCCGCCGTTCCCGAATCAGCCGGGAGGCACGTGGGACGTTTTGCGGGGGACGGGAAGAGTGGCGCCGTCCGTGTGCTGCCGGCTCCGGACTCCGTGCCCACGTGTCCCACGTGGCCGGGTTCCTGTCCCCCAGGTCGCAGACGCGGGCTGCGGTCCAGGCCTTGGCCCAGGCCCAGCCCCAGTCACGATGGGCATCTGGGCAGTGGTTGGATGATCTGTCTCTCAAAACAGATAAAATGAATAAAAACACTTCACAAATAACGTAAAAGGTATCCTGAGGGCTGGGTGGTTGCAGTCTGCCCTGGACAGTGGACCCATGCGGCCCTGCGCCAGGCCTTGCCCTGCCCAGAGCCTGTGTGTGAGAGCCCTGTGTGTGTGCTCAGGAGGGGCGGGGGCCAGACTGCAGCAGACTCCCCAGTCAGGGCTGCTGTGGAGATGGCCTCCTTGGCCACTGCCCTTGCAAGTTGCCCTGGGCAGCTGGGTGGGGAGGAGGACCGGTGAGGGGGCTGATGGGGTGCCCTGGGGCCCCCGCTCCCTACTGGGAGATGCTCTGACCTGTCCCCGCCAGTCCTCCCAGGCTCTGGGACCCATGTCAGGTTGGCGGCTTCCATCCCACTGAGGATGGCTGGAGCTGTGAGGCCTGGGCCCCGGCTCTGTGGCCCAGTGGGTATGCTGCTGTGGCAGGTGGTGCCGTGACTTCCTGTCACTGGTCACTGCGTGGAACACCCCCCCACACACACACCTTCCAGGCTGGCAGGGGTCTTCTGGGGTATCTGTGGCTCCCCCAGAGCTCTGGATGGTGAGTGGGAGGCAGGGCCAGGCTGGGCCCTTCCTCTGTGGCCCTCTGCCGGTCCTCAGTGGGCTGGGCTCCAGGGAGGGCAGGAACTCAGGAGGAACACCCACAGGGTGGAGCAGGCTCTGACTTAGGCTGTGTGCTTGTCACAGCTGTGAGTGAATGGATGTACCTGATGCCCACTGCGTCTGTGGGCTCCCCCGTTCCGTGGGGTCCAAGGCGAGTACTGGTGCTGACACTGCATGTGCACACATGTTCCATGTGGGTTTGTCATTACGCGTGGTGGGTCCAGATCTTAGGAGCCGAGAGCCAGAGAATCTGGGGAACAAGGGGAAGGTTGAGGACAGTGCACACTGGGCTGGGGGCAGGCATTGGAGTGGGGCTGGCGGTCGTACTTAGGGTGAGGAGTGCAGTGGGTGGTCTTTCAGAGCCCTGCCTCTGTTCTGAGGGAGCTGCAGTGGGGTGGGGGTGGGGAACAAGTGGGCCTCGCCTTGGCGCCTCCTCCCCGGGGTCTCCTCTGAGCTCCCAGTGGAGTCTTCCAGGCAGGCACTAAGCTCAGGTTTTCCCCACATCTACGCCTGCACGTCACGGTTGCCAGTTTCTGGGCAGGCACAGGTCTTGTACTCTCTGGGGCCCTGGGGTGGTCTCCACACTGGTCCTTGCTGCACAAAGCAAATGTGAGTGAGCACGGCCCTGTTTCCCATCCTCACGGGCCCAGGACAGGAGAAGCACCTTGTGCTGGTGGCGGCACACAGGAGTTTCCAGGTCCACTGTGTCTGTGTTCTCCTCAGGGACTTGGGGACAGGCAGGGTGATGGTGATGAGCCCTGCAGAGCACCACTCTGCTCCTGCTGGGCCGGAGAGTCAGGGATGGCCCCTCTCCATGGGGAGGTGCCGAGTGCTCAGGACTGGGACCGGGTCTGTGCCCTAGGAGCCTCCTGTGTTGACCAGCTTGAGCACAGACCGGACAGAGAACCTGACCCTTGTGGAAGCCCCACACGGTGACCTAGAGAGGGGCCAGTAGCCTGGGAGCTGCTGCGGCTCAAGACCAGAGGTGACACTGTGAAGTGCCCAACAGAGCAGGGGGGACAGAAACCCACTGAATCAGGCACTTAGAGTTTTCTCAGGCTCCCAGGCCAACCTGCACCGTGCAGCACATGGGGCCCCTCTCACTGTTCCCCAGCATGTGGGGTCCCCTCTGCTCCCCAGAATTTGGGGGTCCCTCTCACTGCTCACCAGCACATGGAGTCCCCTCTGACCCTCACAGCACATGGGGTCCATCTGACTGCTCCCCAGAACGTGGGGTCCACTCTGACCTCCCCCCAGTACATGGGGTCCGCTCTGACATCCCTCCAGCACATGGGTTCTCTGTTCTCCAGAATGTGGGGTCCCCTCTGACCCCCCCAGCACATGGAGTCTCAGCTCCCCAGAATGTGGGGTCCCTTCTGACCCCCCTCTAGCATGTGGGGTCTCTTTGACCCCCTCCAGCACCTGGAGTCCCTCTGACTCCCCTCCAGCACATGGGGTCCCTCTGACCTCCCCCAGCACCTGGGGTCCCTCTGACCTCCCCAGTACGTGGGGTCAGTAGCTCTGCTGTGTTGACTCCTTTCACAGCACACTCAGCTCCGGTCCTCTTGTATCCCAGTGTTGAGGCTCAGTTCCCTGGGTTTGCAGGTGAAGTGCGGTGTGTGCTGTTTCCTCGGATCCGTGTGTTGAGCCTAGGAGGCTGCAGAGGCTGAACACTGACCTCAGCCCCTTTAACCTGGAAGGGAGCCAGGATTGAGCAGTTCACCCACATCGTGGGGCTTGCTGATCCTGCAAGGCCCTGGGGGGGCCGGGTCATGCAGCATTGTGGAGCAGTGGGGACAGCAGTGGCAGAGAGCAGGGTCAGGAGGGTGGGGGCCTAAGTTGAGGGCAGTGGTCAAGGTGAGGTGAAAGCTGTGTGTTGTGTGGGGCAGCCGTGAGGCTGCAGGAAGGAGCGGGTTGTGACTACTGAGGGCTCCCCTGGTCCCCTTCTGCCTTCAGGAGGTGGTGTTTGTCAGTGTGTGTGCCCATGCATGTGTGTACACTGCATGCACATGTATATTTGGTTGTGTGTATCATGTTTATGCATTGTGTGTGCATATGTTCATGTAGCCGTGTTGTGTGCACATGTGTATTCATGCATGTGATTTGTGCACTGCATGTATACATCCACTGCTCATTATGAAGGTGTGTTTATGCATGCATACAAACATGCATTGTCTGCATATCTGTAGGATGCATACATGAACAGTGTGCACGTGCACACATGTGTGTTGTATATGTGCACGAGCACCTGTGTGTTGTGTGTCATGTGTGCACACTTTGTGGTTGTGCCTGCGTACATTGTGTGAACATGTGTGCGTGTGCCTGTGTGCACCATGAACCCTCAGCAGTGGTGCTTGTCTGTGATTCCCGTGTGAACATGTGTGTGAGGTGTGTGCTCCTCCTGTGTGCAGCACTCCTGTGTGCACCATGAACCCTCAGCAGTGGTGCTTGTCTGTGATTCCCGTGTGAACATGTGTGTGAGGTGTGTGCTCCTCCTGTGTGCAGCACTCCTGTGTGCACCATGAACCCTCAGCAGTGGTGCTTGTCTGTGATTCCCGTGTGAACATGTGTGTGAGGTGTGTGCTCCTCCTGTGTGCAGCACTCCTGTGTGCACCATGAACCCTCAGCAGTGGTGCTTGTCTGTGATTCCCGTGTGAACATGTGTGTGAGGTGTGTGCTCCTCCTGTGTGCAGCACTCCTGTGTGCACCATGAACCCTCAGCAGTGGTGCTTGTCTGTGATTCCCATGGTGGCCTACTTTGGGGATTAAGAACCCAGCCCAGACCCCAGCTGAAGCAGCCCTTTCTGCCCTGACTGGACATCCTGCAGCCGCCGTGCCCCTCAGGTGGCGCTGCAGGTGTTGGTCCAGGGTGCCTGAGCTCCAGGGAGTCCTCCCAGTTTCCACCTGCCCAGACAAGCAGTGTGTGTCTCCCAGCCCCTACCTCTGCCTGGCTCTTCCTTCTGCCCCCCACCCCCAGACCCTGCCCCTAGCTGCATGCCTTGTTGGCTGCCATTGACTGGGTGCCAGGTGCCCATCTCAAGGTCAGAATGAAGAATGGCCTTTTCTGCATGGTGATGGGCGGGGCCGGCTTTATGCAGGGACTGGGTGCTGGGCACTCAGGGATTTAGCGTGCAGAAGGGCAGGGCAGGCTGACTGGGATTAGTCCTCAGACCTCAGAGCAGAGCACCTGTCGCTGTGCCCCAGGCTGACCACAGAGGCTATACCCTACTGAGCAGGTGGGTGCCGTCCCCAGGGTTGGGGAGGGTTCCCACCAGAGGAATGAGGGCCTGCTTGAGGCAGGTGAAGGGCAGGTGGGGTGCATGGGCTGGCAGGGGTGGGGCCAAAGGGGGGTTGGCTCAGCTGGAACAGCTGTCACAGGCAGTCTGTCCTGGGAAGACCCCCACACGTTCCCCCCGTCCTCCCTGGCCACGCAGTGCCCTGACCTGTAGCAAATGTTAGCCCCACGCTGAGTCTGTCTCCCCCTGGAGCAGCCATCAGGGGAAACTTGAGCTCCTGCCAGCAGCCCATCCTGGGGTACAGACAGCGAGGTGGGGGTTCCCCTGATGGGCCTGGGTTCAGCGGACCTTGACGAGGCCACTCATGCAGGTCCAGGGACAGTGCCACAGTGAAGAGTCCAAGTCAGGCTCCATGTGGGCTGGGGGCCTTGGAGCTCTTGGAAAGGTTGTGAGCACGTCCACGAGGTGGGGAAGGCAGACCCTGTGTGGGCTCGACACCTGGGGGTGCGGGAGACGGGTCAGGCCATGGGATGCTCCTTGGGGGTTCTGGGCAGGGCGCTTGGCCAACACCTGTCAGCCTGGTCAGGCCTCCCTTGTTGGCTGTCTTTACTGAAGGGGTCTGGGGCAGCCCACGTTCCTCCTGGGTGGAGGGAGTTGCGCCCAAGGTCTCAGAACCCCTCCCTCCACTGCCCCTCAGTTAGGGCTGGGGTGCACTGAGACTTAAGAGCTCGGCTACTGTCTGAACATGCCGCCTCCCACAGGCATGTCAGGACCTAGGCCTGTGGTGTTGAGCGGGCCTTCGGGGGCCGGGAAGAGCACCTTGCTGAGGAGGCTGCTCCAGGAGCATGGGGGCGTCTTCGGCTTCAGTGTCTCCCGTGAGTGCCTGGGGCTGCCCTGCCCTGTGACCCCTCCTGCACCCCCCACTCTGCTCACCCCTCCCCGTGTTCCTCCCCTTGTCCCTGGGGGCTGTGTGTTTAGCCTGGGTCCTCAGGCACCCTCTCCGCACTGGGCTGGCTCCCCTATTATGGCTGCTGAGCCCCTCCTGCCTCCGTGGTGCAGCTCTGCTTGGCTTGCTGGGGGCTGGAGGATTCTGGTGTCCCCATGCTGAGTGACTTTTTTTCCTAGATACCACACGGGACCCACGGCCCGGCGAGGAGAACGGCAGAGGTTGGTCGGCCCTGGGCGCTGGCTGGCATAGGGGTGGGGTGGGAGGGGCCGGGAGGGAACCTCAGGGCCATAAGGCCGCTTGAGGCCTGCCTGATGCGTGACGCGGGAGCCCCCCAGCCCTTGACACCTGAGTGGGAGCCCCCAAGCCCCTGACACCTGAGCGGGAGCCTCCCAGCCCCTGACACCTGAGTGGGAGCCCCCCAGCCCCTGACGATGATGCGGGAGCCCCCCAGTCCCTGACGATGATGCAGGAGCCCCCAGCCTCTGACACCTGAGTGGGAGCCCCCCCGCCCCTGACACCTGAGTGGGAGCCCTCTAGCCCCTGATGATGATGCAGGAGCCCCCAGCCCCTGACACCTGAGTGGGAGCCCCCCAGCCCCTGACACCTGAGCGGGAGCCCCCCAGCCCCTGACACCTGAGTGGGAGCCCTCTAGCCCCTGACGATGATGCAGGAGCCCCCAGCCTCTGACACCTGAGTGGGAGCCCCCCAGCCCCTGACACCTGAGTGGGAGCCCCCCAGCCCCTGATGATGATGCAGGAGCCCCCAGCCCCTGACATCTGAGTGGGAGCCCCCCAGCCCCTGACACCTGAGTGGGAGCCCTCTAGCCCCTGATGATGATGCCGGAGCCCCCAGCCCCTGACACCTGAGTGGGAGCCCCCCAGCCCCTGATGATGATGCAGGAGCCCCCAGCCCCTGACGCCTGAGTGGGAGCCCCCCCAGCCCCTGATGATGATGTGGGAGTCCCCCAGCCCCTGACACCTGAGTGGGAGCCCCCCAGCCCCTGAAGCCTGAGTGGGAGCCCCCCCAGCCCCTGACGATGAGGCGGGAGCCCCCCCACAGCCCCTGACGGTGAGGCGGGAGCCCCCCCACAGCCCCTGATGGTGAGGCGGGAGCCTCCAAAGCCCCTGATGATGATGCGGGAGCCCCCCCAGCCCCTGATGGTGACGCAGGAGCCCCCACAGCCCCTGACGGTGAGGCGGGAGCCCCCCCAGCCCCTGATGATGACGCGGGAGCCCCCCCAGCCCCTGACGGTGAGGCGGGAGCCCCCCCACAGCCCCTGACGGTGAGGCAGTGGTTCCCTAGTTCCCGTGAGGATGCTGTGGGATGGAGCAGCCCCGTGCCGGGCCGGGTTGCCTGTGGCAGCTTCTGACAGTCTCTTCCTCTCCCCAGATTACTACTTTGTGACCAGGGAGGTAATGCAGCGCGACATTGCTGCCGGTGACTTCATTGAGCACGCAGAGTTCTCGGGGAACCTGTACGGGACGAGGTGGGCCAGGCCCCATGTGGGCCCATGGTCACCAGGGCCCCAGGAGTTGGGATGGGCAGTGGGGCCTCTCCAGGGTCACCAGGGCCCCAGGAGTTGGGATGGGCAGTGGGGCCCCTCCAGAGTCACCAAGGCCCTAGATCCTCTGTCCATGCTCCTGTCCATCCTGTAGAAGAATATATAGGTCTGCTGTGTCCTCACTAGTCTGTAAGCCACACAGCAACCTCTTCCCCCTGAACTGAGCAGTGGGTTTCGCTGGCCTTTCTCGTGGGGGCCAGCTGCTGGGTCCAGTCATGTCTCTAGATACCATCGTCCTGGGCCATCCTGGCACTGTGGGGACAGCACGTGACACCTTGCACTCGCTGCAGGTGCAACAGGGAGGGGCCGGCAGTGAGCAGTGCCCCCAGGTCTTCCCAGGAGCTCTGCTGGGGCTGGCCCAGCCCTGGAGACCATTGGCAGTCTTAAGGGGTAGCAGAACTGGGCAGTGCCGCCATGTGCTCCTAGGGCTGCCAGCAGGTAGGAGTTGCCATGGTGGCTCGGGGAAGTGTCCCCTGCTGACTGACTGTCCCCACAGCAAGGCAGCTGTGCAGGCTGTGCAGGCCATGAACCGTATCTGTGTACTGGACGTGGACCTGCAGGGCGTCCGCAACATCAAGAAGACTGACTTGCGGCCCATCTACATCTCCGTGCAGCCGCCCTCCCTGGACGTGCTGGTGAGTGCCTGCTGTGGGCAGATGGGCCCGGGTATGGGCCTGGGCAGCTGCTGATGTCCAGGCCTGTGTTTCAGGAGCAGCGGCTACGGCAGCGCAACACTGAGACTGAGGAGAGCCTGGCGAAGCGGCTGGCCGCTGCCCGGGCCGACATGGACAGCAGTGAGTGTCCCTGGTCCTGGTGCCCCTACGTCTTAACCAGCAGAAGGTGTAGGAAGGGGATGTTCCCAGGAGGGGTCAGGGTCCCGTGAGGGTCTCATAAGGGTCTTTACCCCTTTGACACTCAGGCTTCTGTGCATCTGCCCCCTCCCCTGTCTCCCTGTGAGGGCCAAGTGGGGGTAATGGGGCTCCTCCAAGGAGGGCAGAGTACCTGAGACCAGGTCCCAGGGATCCGTCACTCTGCAGCCCTGGGCAGCCCTGCCTGTGGCTGGGACAGAAAAGGGCCAACCTCCAGCAGCAAATGACATAGCCCAGCAGTCAGCTTTGTCCATAGTCATGTGGGAGCTCCAGGACCAGGGCACTCACTATGTGCTGCCCACCCCCACACTCCCCAGGCAAGGAGCCCGGCCTGTTTGACCTGGTCATCATCAATGACAACCTGGACAAAGCCTATGCGACACTGAAGGAGGCACTCTCTGAGGTGGGACCTGCCCCCAGGCTGTGCCCCTGCCCTACCCCCACGGACACCCCTCTGCCCAGGCCCCTTGCACCGACGCAGGCGAGGTGCCAGGAGAGGCTGGGGGCTCAGAGCCTTGCTGTGTGTGAGGTGGCAGAGGCTCAAGCAGGTGAGGGGCCACCTGTGACCTCTGGACCAGCAGGGAAGGGAGGCAGGAGTCCCCAGGCTTGTCCATGTCCCAGCTGCCCCTAAGCCCCTTCTTCCTCCCCTGGCAGGAAATCAGGAAAGCTCAGGGGCCTGGCCATGCTTGAGGACCTGGCTGGGGTGCCCAGGACCCACGCAGAAGCAGAACAGGTGCTTGCTGTGGGGTGTGTGGAGCTGACCCTGTGGCCCTGCTGAGCCGGCACCTGGGATAAGAGGGTGCTGCCTGCCTCCCTTGTCCACTGTGGCTGCAGGACCCTGGGTACCCACTGCTGAATGTGCCCTGACCTTATATTCCCTGTCCCTCATCCTGTCTTTCCCGCTGGAACCGGGGCTGATACCCTAATAAAGTAACCAGTGATGGGGTTAACGTGTGCTGAAGTGGAACACAGCCCCAGGCTGGGGGCTTCGTCCTGAGCTGAGCTGGGGCTGTGGCCCTCCATGCTGTTGGTGCCTGTCCGGAAGACAGCTGTCCAGGTCCACTGGTTGTCCAGATGCTGGCCAGGACTGCTCAGGGCCTGTCCTGACCAGCCAGGGTACATTGGGAACACAGAGTGACCCCTGCCCATGGACGGCCCCTGGTTGCTATGCCTGCCTGCTGCTCCTAAACCAGGCAGGGGTTGGGGGGAGGGCACCCAGTGACAGCAGGGCGGGTGCAGCAGCTGTAGGGGCTGCTTCCTGGGAGCTCTGGGCCAGGTGCTTGTGTGCACAGCCCCAGGCTAAGCTCCAGAAGGGGCTGGGTGAGCCCTGGTTGGGGCCCTTGTCAGGCAGATACCCAGCATTCTCTCCCTGGTTGGGGCCATTGTCGGGCAGACACCCAGCGTTCTCTTCCATGCTTCCAGACCCTGAGATCTGGAGTCCACGGGGTGTGGGGCTTCCCAAGAAGCTGCCCTTCCCCTCCTGGCCCCGAGTGGCTGTGCTGTGGCCTGTGTCTGGCAAGCCTAGCCGCCACTTGTCCCACCCGCCCCCACCTCCCGAGTACTCGCTTCCCCACCTCCACCCTGCATCCTGTCACAGGCCCAGTATTTGCTCTCAGCCCAGGGGCAGCCCCAGCCCTGGTGCCCGAGCAGGGCCACTCGTGGGGTGGATGTGGACATGGAGGGAGGAGGCAGGCAGGAGCCATGGTGGGGAGACCGGATTCTCGGCTGCATCCAGAGCCCCAGATGTGTTTGGATGTGTCAGGACGGTGAACCTGGACCATGAGCCCTGTGATGGGTAAAGGGGAGGAGGAGGGGCAGAAGGGCAGCCAGGTTGGACTGCAGGGGGAGGCAAGAAGAGGTGGCTTTAGGCTGCCCCCCAGAGGCCTGGGCAGGTGTAGCCCAGGACCCACTACTGCCTGGGGAGGCCGTGTCCAGCTCTTGCTGTCCAGCTCCCATAGACAATAAGGGATTCAGACTCTGAGACCCGAGGGGGGAAACAATGGGGCCCTTGAAGGCCCCTCCCCCAGCCCCCATTGTGCTTGGTGGTGAGAGGAGGCTCCAGCCCGGCCACACAACCACAGGAAGGACCAGCGTGCAGCCAGCAGGTGGGCTGGCTCAGAGGGAGTCTCACTTTCCTGGCTTGGAGAAGGTAGGGTGCCACTCAGGACCCCTCAGACACCTGTGGGGCAGGGGCCAGGGGTCACGCTCACTGTGGGGTACTTTCTGTGGCCTCTGTTTCTCAGGCCCAGTGGGTCTGCCCCAGCAGGGGGTGACCAGCAGGGTCTTCTGGGGCACAATTCTGGGGGTCCCAGGGGTTGCTTAGGTTCAGGAGGTGACTGGAAAAGACCTCGTGCAGCAGCTGCAGTAGGACTGGCCAGTGCACCCCTGCCAACTAGTGTCCAGAGGCTGGAGAGGGGGCCCCCATGCAGACTGCATGGCCACTGATTCAGACCAGCTCAGCCCCCCCGCCAACAGGCTGCACAGCCCCTGATCCAGCTCAGCCCCCCCCCCCACGCAGGCTGCACAGCCCCTGATCCAGCTCAGCACCCCCCCCCCCCCACGCAGGCTGCACAGCCCCTGATCCAGCTCAGCTCCCCCCCCACGCAGGCTGCACAGCCCCTGATCCAGCTCAGCCCCCCCCACCACGCAGGCTGCACAGCCCCTGATCCAGCTCAGCCCCCCCCCCCACGCAGGCTGCACAGCCCCTGATCCAGCTCAGCCCCCCCCCCCACGCAGGCTGCACAGCCCCTGATCCAGCTCAGCCCCCCCCCCATGCAGGCTGCACAGCCCCTGATCCAGCTCAGCCCCCCATGCAGACTGCACAGCCCCTGAGCCAGCTCAGTCCACCCCCCCTGCCAGTGGAGATAGCATGGCCACTGACTGAGACTAGGCACACACACCCCCACCCCACCCCCGCCCTGGGACCCAGCAGGGAACCAAGCAGACCTGCTTGCCAAGGCGCTTCCCTGGGCAGCACAGGCTGGTGCCAGGGAGGGGCCCGTGGGCTCCCTTGTGCTCAGGTTGCTGTGCCGCAGAGTCTGGCTGCTCAGGGATTGGCAGGTGTGTGAGGGGAGCCCCAGGGGAGTGCTCAGGGACCTCTGTGTGTTGAGCCAGCTGAGGGTCCGTGGTGAAGAGTCCATGTGTGTGTGCAGGCACATGGGGTGTACACCTGTGTGATGGGTGTGAGGTGAGAACCAGTGGTCAGGGCGGGCCTGAAGCATCTGGGAACTTCACCTGTAGGGCTTGTGGGTGGCACTCCCGGCTGATGGCAGGGCAGGCATTTGGAGGCAGAGGCCTAACCAAGCACCCATACCAACTGGGGGCCTGTCATGTGGCCACAAGCTGGGGCCTCAGAGCAGCTGGGACAGAGAGGGCCCCAGGTAGGCCTGAGGTTGGATCCTCAGTGTGTGAAAGCTGCACAACCCTGTGGAGGGCCAGGAGCTGTGCACGGGACGCGTGAGCTGTGGCACAGGGCTGAGGGGGGGTCTCCTATAACTGCAGTGCTGCTGCTTCATACTGGGTGCAGCAAGCAGGCTGTGGGTCCCACAGTGGAGAGACCTGGGGAGGGGCTCTGCACCCACCTTGCCTCCTCTTGGTTTGGGTCTCCATGGAGAGGGGAGGCTACCCAAGGGGGCTGGGCTCTGGTAGCCAGCAAGGTCCCCAGTGGGCCTACCTGGTGGCCTGAGCCTTTGGGTGCACCTCCTGAGCAGGAGGTGACTGGCCCGTGTGCTGCAGGCCAAGGTGGGTGTGGTCCCTGGATCTCCAGGCTGCTGCCCGTCTCTGCGGGAGACCTGGAGCTGGCTGGCCCTTGGCCTGGGGCCTTAGCCTGGGTGTGTCTGGAGAGACAGCCTCAGGGGGCCTGCTCACCCCAGAGACCCCCCCAGGAGGTAGCCCCTGCACATACCCCTGCAGGAGCCCCCAGCTCTGCCCTGCCTGCCCTGGGGCACCTCCTTCCCTCCCCCCTGCCCAGCTCCATCTTTGTCAGGGACCCCAGCCCCAGGCCCCACTGTGAGACCCTGTTAGCCTAGGCCTTTGAGCCCTCCCTGTGCCTGCTGCAGCCCTCCTCCAACCCTTCCCTGCATGACCCTGCCCAGCCACCTGTCAGTGGCCTGCATGGAGCACTCCCAGGGCTGTGCCCTCAGACTCCCCCTTGCCACCCTGTGCTGCCCCCACCAGGAGTCCATCTTGCAGGTGTTCTGAGGAGACCATGCAGAGTCGCCTTGCTGGCCTGTGGCTGGTGCACAGCGTCCACAGCCTTGGTTTTCCCCTCATGGCTTCCCCTGCGCCAGCCGCCCTCCCAGTTCTCAGACCTTCCTTGCCACGGGCACCCTGGTGGCCCTGCTGGGATTCATCCCCATTTCTGGTGGGTCTTCGAGGCCCTGGGAATGTGCTGTATTGCTGGCCACTGTCTGGATGTCCTTCCCTCTCTTGCAGTGTCCACTCTGGGCAGGTGGGCACTTATGTGAACCATTTGGGACTTGCCCTGTGAAGGGTTCACTCCATCAGACCTTGGGGTACACTCTGACCTGTCTCTGGTCTGCAGCCCTGACCCTTGCTCACATCGGTCCAGCTTCTGCCCTGTGTGCCTTGGACATGTGCCCTTCGGTGTGTGTGCACTGGTGCTGTGCACACGTATGTGTGCCAGTGTGTGGCACTCCTTGTGGTTGGGAGGAGTCTTCAGAGGACTGCAGAGCAAGGCCTGCTGGGTAGGCATTTTAGGGCACCCCTGGCTGGCGTTAGCATAGGCTCACAGGGAGGAGTGAGGTGGCCAAGGCCCCCAGAGAACAGTACAGGGACGTGGTTGGCTGGGATCAGGGCTTGCCAGTGGACCTGAGGGTGCCGGGGCACTGCTGTCCAGGGGTGAGGAGGCTGCTTGGGAGGGGAGATGAGTTTGGGTTTGTCTCCAGCTGGAAGAACCTGCCAGGCATCCAAGTGCTGCTGTCCCAGGGAGAGTCACGGGCCAGAGGTGTGGGTAGTGTGCGTCCCCCTGTGTGTGGCCCAGCCTTGGCCCCACAGGGAGCCAGGCTTGCAGAACCAACAGCTGTGAGTGCATGTGCACCTGTGAGCATGAGTGTGCATGAGTGACATGCCCCCTGGGGTGAAGCCCTGTCACCCAGCCCCCAGAGCTGAGCCACGCCTGGTCACGAGTGCCTGTGCTGCCTGGACTTGGCATTTGGAGCTGCCAGTGGTACCAGCCATGGGTGTCTACACCAGGCAGCTGGCATGCACTCAAACCAATGCTTCCCAGCAGAGCCAGTGGCTGCACATGGTACACGCAACCAGGTGCTGTAGGGATTCATGCCCTGGACTGTCCCTGGGCTGGTTTGTCTGGGCTCAGCTCCTATGATGGCACAGTTCCTGGGGGGCAGTTGGGGCTGGAGCTGAGGTGAGGGAGTCAGAGCAGAAGGCTGCAGGTGAACATGTGTTGGCACATGTGTGCATGTGTGTGTGTGCAGGCATGTTTGTGTAGGTGTGCATCTGTAAGTGTGGTCTAGTGCATTTGCAGGTACACGTGTTTGAGCCTATGCATATGAGCATGTGTGTGGGGCTCTGAGGGGGTGCACAGGTGTGAGGGAGTGGGCCACTTCCCCAGGAACCTATGCCACCCTTTTTTCCTGTTCCACTGGGAAGGGCCCCAGCTGCATATATGGCAGGTGGCCTGGCTCTGCTGCCCACCCCACACCTGCACCGTGGACTCCCAGGCCTGGCCAGAAGCGTTAGTCACTCGGGTCTCCTGCCCCTAAGCTACCCAGGTGCAGGCACTGGCTCTGGGGCAGCTTCAAGGAGGAAGGGTGTGAAGGAAGAGGCTGCAGAGCCCCTGTCCTGAGCACATGGCTGTCCAGGGCTCAGGTGGTCTGGGACATTAGCCACCTCCAGGAGTCACGGGTGCCTAACTGGCCATGTATCAGCATGTGGGAGGCCGCGCTGCACAGCCTCCTGCCTGGGGATGGCTGGACTGGGACTGAGGGGACCAGCTTGGGTCTCAGGGGACCAGGGAGCTCTTTGTGGTGCTATTGCTCTGTAGGGTGTAGAAGATGGGGCAGGGCTGCAGGGCTGGAAGCTCCGGGGATAAGGAGCTGGCCGGGGGGTGGGGGATAAAGGGGTCCAGTGGGGCTTGGAGGACTGCAGGGCTAAGAGGCTGTTGGATGGAGGACTGAGGAAGGCCTTGCTGACTGGGCATTCTGGGGACCGAGCCCTGGGAGGGTCCCTGGGAGAGCCCTGGGTGTTGGCCACGTGATCCTGTCAGATCCTCCCCAACCCAGGAGGCTAGGGTGGGGTTCTGCACAGCCCTCAGAAATCCAGTGGGGCAGCCCTGGCTTCCCTCTGCCCCACAAAGGCAGCTGACCCCCTGGCTCCCTGCCTCCCAGGGCCTGGGCAGGCACTTGGCTTTCCTGGGGAGCCCCATGGGAGACAAGACTGCCCTGGGAATCCTTGTGGGTACCCCACCGGCAGCGTCAGGACCTGGTGGAAGGTGGCACACTCAGGATTGCTAAGAGCTGTTAGCAGAGAAAACCTCCCAACCGACTTGGAGGCCTCTCGCTGACCCCCGCCTGGCCGGCAGGTCCCACCCGCCCGCCCCTATGACCAACATGAGCTGGGGCTTCCTGACGCGGCTGCTGGAGGAGATCCACAACCACTCCACCTTCGTGGGCAAGGTCTGGCTCACCGTGCTCGTGGTCTTCCGCATCGTGCTCACGGCCGTGGGCGGTGAGTCCATCTACTCGGACGAGCAAGCCAAATTCACCTGCAACACGCGGCAGCCTGGCTGCGACAACGTGTGCTATGACGCCTTCGCACCTCTGTCCCACGTGCGCTTCTGGGTCTTCCAGATCGTGGCCATCTCCACGCCCTCGGTCCTGTACCTGGGCTACGCAGTGCACCGCCTGGCGCGCGCCTCGGAGCAAGAGCGCAGGCGCGCCTTGCGCCGCCGCGCAGGGGCCCGCCGCGCGCCCCGCGCCCACCTGCCGCCCGCGCCGCCCAGCTGGCCCGAGCCCGCCTGAGCTGGGAGAGGAGGAGCCCATGCTGGGGCTGGGTGAGGACGCGGAGGAGGAGCCGGGGGCGCCCGAGGGCCCTGCGGAGGATGCGGAGGAGGAGCGCGCCGAGGAGGCGGCCACCAAGGGCGCGGGCGGGGGCGGAGAGGCGGCGGGGACGCCGGGCCCGGCGACGCAGCACGACGGGCGGCGGCGCATTCAGCGCGAGGGCCTGATGCGCGTGTACGTGGTGCAGCTGGTGGTCAGGGCGGCCTTCGAGGTGGCCTTCCTGGTGGGCCAGTACTTGCTGTACGGTTTCGAGGTGCGGCCCTCCTTCGCCTGCAGCCGCCACCCGTGCCCGCACGTCGTGGACTGCTTCGTGTCGCGCCCCACCGAGAAGACGGTCTTCCTGCTGGTCATGTACGTGGTCAGCTGCCTATGCTTGCTGCTGAACCTGTGCGAGATGGCTCACCTGGGCCTGGGCAGCGCGCAGGACGCCGTGCGCGGGCCCCAGGCCCCGGGCCCCTGCCCCGGCCCCGCGCCGCGCCCTGCGCCCTGCGCCTTCCCGGCCGTGGGCCTGGCCTGCCCGCCAGACTACAGCCTGGTGGTGCGCGCGGCAGAGCGCGCGCGCGCGCACGACCAGAATATCGCCAACCTGGCCCTGCAGGCGCTGCGCGACGGGGCGGTGGCCGGCGACCGGGAGAGCCTGCCCTGCTCTGGGCTCCCTGCCCCCTCCCGGGTGTGCCCCAGGGCTGGCGCAGCAACTTCGGGCACCGGCAGCGCCACGTCGGGGGGCACGGTCGGCGAACAGGGTCGTTCCGGGGCGCTCGAGCGGCCGGGTGCCAAGCCCAGGGCTGGCTCTGAGAAGGGCAGCACCGGCAGCAGGGACGGGAAGACCACGGTGTGGATCTGAGCACACCGGCGGGGGACTGGACAGGGCTGGAGGCGCGCGGATGCCCAAGCTTGGGCACCTCTGAGGCTTGGTGGGATGGGGAGGATGGGAGCCATGAAGGGTCCCGGCTCCAGCCTGTGATCCCCGAGGTGCGGGCAAGGCATTGGCCTCCTCTCCAGGGCCGGTCTCTGCGGCTATCCTGAGCTTTGCCGGGCTGCGGCCAGCTGCCCTTCCCTTGCAAGTCCCCTCCAGCGGTTCATATGGACGCCAGAGCCGTTTGTCCCTGCTGCCTGCAGCCACAGAGGTTCTTTGCCCAGCCTCCCAGCCCACGCTCTGGCTCCTGAAGGGCCCAGGGCGACCCCAGCTCTTTCTTGACAGAAGGGGAAGCCGAGGAGCACCCAGGCTGGGGAAAGGCCCCTGTGGCCGTCCCAGGTCTGCACCTGGTCCCGGGGACTGGGAGACTGAGGCCCTGGAGGGCTGGAGGGAGCAGGAGCACACCTTCCGGCCTTCTGTGACGGCCTCAAGTTCTGAAGATACCCGTCCTGCCTCGCAGCTTGAACCACAAGGTGGTGGTCAGGGGCTGGGGCTTTGGCCGTGCTGCCAAAAGGGCTCCTAGATTCCTCCCCAATTCTGAGCCGCCTGAGCAAATGGAGTGAAATAAAGTTCAGGAGTGTGCGTGGGCATGCATGCATTTCTGCAGGCGGACACTCATGTATGTACACATGCATGTGCTTGCCTGTGTGTGCGTGACTCTCTGCGGCACTCCATCCTAGGGACAGCAGGGGGGACGAGCTGCAGGCTGAGTGCCCACAGTTCCTCAGACACACAGTGGTGGAGTGGGGCGCACCGGTGGTGAGGCGCGAGGACTGCCTGCCCCGTGGGGTGGAGGGTGTCCTGGGCGCCAGCCTGAGCCCCAGGGCAGCAGCTGGGGACAACCCTGCTCTGCTGGAGCGCTCACAGCAGCCCTGGGGGCCTCTCTTGGGCACCCCAGCCACGCCTGGGCTGAGCTCAGCCTCGTCAGATGCTGTGGGGAGCAACTCGGACTAGACTGTTACTGAAATTAAGACTTATTCTATGCATCTGCTTTCCCACAATATGGTGCTGAGAAGGGAAAAACAGCTTCTACACAGCTGCCTCCAGTTCAACCAATAAACTGTAGGACCTGCTCCTGATTGGAGGAGAGCAGCGTACTCGGCGTGTGGGTAGCAGAGTTGGGATTGGTGGAAGAGGACTATAAAGGAGGAGAGAGACAACATGCACCAGGAACATCTAAGAGGAACACCTGTGCAGCCCCCGAGAGAGCCGGCCGGCGGTGTGCCGCTCCCCCGCGGAAGTGGGGAATGTGGCAGGGGGAACCGCCCCTCCATGGAGGTGGAAGGGTCGGTAGCCAACCCGGGAAGGACCAGCAGCCAACCCGGGAAGAACCAGCAGCAAACCCGGGGAGGGCCGAGCAGACGAAAGAACAACGCAGGGTCCTGTGTCGTTCCTCCACGAAGACGGGGAGCGACAAGATGCAGTCTGCAGGCTGAGTTCTGCCCCCAGGTGACCAGGGCCCCAGTGAGCCACACCCATAGGAAGGTGTGGCTGGTGATGCTGGGAATGGAGCTTAGAGAGGAAGAGCAAACCCCCACCCCAGCGCGCCTACCCCGGTGTCAGAGGGATGGCCCACGAGAAGGTGCGTCCCGGCTCGGGCTGTGCTGGGGGCTCTGCCACTGCATGTGGCTGGGGCCCTGTTGGGGAGGCAGGGTCCTGGTGCCCGGCTCAGCCCAGCTTCTGCTTCCTCCACCTTTTCCTACCATGCAGGCCTTCACCTGATTAGGTGGGATCTGCCCACCTGACCAGGGCCAGAGCCTTCCCGAGCCTGCTGAGCCAAGGGACCTGATGTCGGTGGGTGCACAGGACGTGCAGCACTCGTGTCAGGGCCCCGAGCACTTTTGCAGGAGGTCTGTGTCAGCTGTAGAACTGACCAGGTATCTGGACACCCATGGGCCAGCCAAGTGACCGCCCAGGCTGTCCGCAGCCTTTTTTGTGGGGAACCTCAGTCTTTGTTGATAGGCAGGTTAATGGCAGGTACACACAGGTGCCGTGTTCTACAGGTTGTTTCTCTGGAGCCCGTGAGGAAAGCACCTGTTGGGGCTTGCGTTGTGGTGCAGCAGGTGAAGCTGCTGCCCGTATCGAAGCACCGGCTGCATCATTTCCCATCCAGTTCTTTGCTAATGCACCCGGGAAAGCCACAGAAGGTGGCCTGAGTGCTCGGGCCTCTGCCATCCATGTGGGAGACTAGGATGGAGTTCCAGGCTCCTGGCATCGGCCTGGCCCCATCCCAGCTGCTGGCAGTATTTTACACAGCAAGTCCTGCCCACACCTCAGTAACTCTATAGGTGGTCCCAGCCTTCCCAGGGAGAACCCATCTCTGCCCAGTGCCTACCACTGGGCAGTATTTCACCACCCCATCCCCGGCACATCCTGCATCCAGGAGGAGGGGGGAAAAACAGTGGGAAGACCTGGGGCCCATTCCCCTGGGAGCCCTGCGTGCCCGGCTGTCAGGCGTACCCTCCCCACTAAGCTCAGCCACCTCGCTTGCCTGCGTCTGCTGGGCTCTCTCTCATTAGACCCTGGACAGTGCTTTGCGGCTCTGCCCCATGAGCCTGCTTGGCAGCTGTCCTGCAGCAGGGCTCACACTAGAGCCCTCATTTCACCAAGACACCTTCCAAGGCCTCACCTCCAGAGAGCAGCTTCTGCGGCCTGGGGCGTTACCGCTTCCGAGGGAGGACTGGGGCCCAGCGAGGACTCGGGGGAGCGCCTCAGGGCTTGGGGGTCTGTGGTCCCCGATACACTTATGGCTAGGGGGTTCTGTAGTCCCGGATACACTTGTGGCTGGGGGGTTTTATGGTCCTGGATACACTTGTGGGCAGTTGACCATGGGGACAAGTTGTCACATCTCCTCAACAGGACAGGGGGCAGCAACCGCCAGTGTCCACCAGTCCTTTCTCCATGGAGAACCTGATCACCTGGACAGCCCTGAAGCTCCTCCTGTCTCCTCCCAGAGGCCACACCTGCTGCTGACCAACACCAGCACTGGGGGCTCTGTGACCCCCGACCTAACACTGGGGAGTTCTGTGACCCCCGAGCCGGCACTGGGGAGCTCTGTGACCCTTGACCCGGCACTGGGGGTGCTGTGGTTTCCCACCTGCCCGCTGTGGCCACAGACGAGTTGATTGTGGGCCCTACCTCCCAATTGTCCCGTCTGTCTCAGAGCTGGGAGCAGGGCTCCCCTGGGCCAGGGCCCATCTCCTTACCGGCTCACAGCCACTCCTCCACAGAAGCCTGGGTGGATAGGGGCTCAGACACCCCGGGATGGGGGGCAAGTCCTCCTCCTTCCCAGAGAAGGAGAATGAAACAGGAAGCAGCCGACCAGAGCATGGTGGGGGAGTGCTGGGCAGCTCGGGAAGTTTAATCTGGCTTGGGTCAGGCAGGCACGCACCAGGTGGGAAGTCAGTTCCTCTGCTGGCTGAGGCTGGTGCAGTGTGGCCCAGCTTCCGTGGGTCCCCACTGTGACTGCCAGGGAGGTATAGGGAGGACCAGCCGGAAGGGTGGCCAGCAGTAGCCAGGCATGGGCCGTGTTCCACACGCCTGCCAGTCGGGAAGCCGGGGGCTGACACCAGAGGGGCCTCAGATGCCCAGGCCAGGGGTGTGGGGGGGTGTCTGGCCACAGCAGGGGCCACACACTCGGGCCCCTGGTGAGACTCCTGCGTGGCCAGCGCCTCCTGGATCTGCCTTCCGCTCAGCTGTGCCAAGAGCTCCTGGACATTCCCCTTGTTCGTGGACCACCCAGTTATGGCAGGAGCCCCCAGTCCTGACCCTTGAGGTCTGATGCTGGCTGGACTCCAGCAAGGGTCCTGTTGGGCCAGCGGAGGCAGAACCTCCCACCTACGGATCCTGGGATCCTGTGATGCACCGGGTTTTTCCACCTGCATCTGTGGTTTCTGGCATTTTTTTTTATTATTTTTTTTGACAGGCAGAGTGGACAGTGAGAGAGACAGAGAGAAAGGTTTTCCTTTGTCGTTGGTTCACCCTCCAATGGCCGCTGCGGCCGGCGTGCTGCGGCCGGCGTGCTGCGGCCCGCGCACCGCGCTGATCCAATGGCAGGAGCCAGGTGCTTATCCTGGTCTCCCATGGGGTGCAGGGCCCAAGCACTTGGGCCATCCTCCACTGCACTCCCGGGCCACAGCAGAGAGCTGGCCTGGAAGAGGGGCAACCGGGACAGAATCCGGCGCCCCGACCGGGACTGAGAACCCGGTGTGCCGGTGCCGCAAGGCAGAGGATTAGCCTAGTGAGCCACAGCGCTGGCCGGTTTCTGGCATTTAACACCTCCTCAAGGCAGGCCAGAGCCTCAGGCGGCCAGGCCCCACCCTGCACACTGGCAGCCGGCCTGGGTTAGGCAGCTGGGTGAGCAGAGGGTCCCCGATCGTCCAGAGCTGACCACGCACAGGTACCTGGAGGCTGAGGAGCTCGGCCCTGCACTGCCCCCACCCCTCCGCCTGGTCTCTGAACCCCGCCCGTGCCCTCTGGGACGATCTGTGGACTGGGCAAGTGCTCCCCTGCCCGAGGGCTGCTCCAGGACGCGAAAGGAGCCTGGGCAGAAGCCCGCCTCCGACTTGGTTTTGCTAGCCCCCTCCCGTTCTGGCTGCAATCCCCGCAGCTCAGCGTCTTGGCAGGAGAGCCCCTTGGGACTCTAGCCACCCGCAGCTCTGGCCACGGGCAGAGAGCTTCAGAGAGCAGGGGCCTGGGAGGTGTGGCCTCCACAGGAGCACCGGGACACCACCTGAGCCAGCGCAGTGGGGTGCACGAGACCCGGCCATGTGCGCCAAGTTCTGCCAACAGGGGTCCACCTGGCAGGTGCTCGGGGCACGGGGCCTCAGGGGCTACCGTCAGGGGAAGTTGGGGATGGAGGGTCCTGCCACCTGCAGCTGCTGTCCCTGTAATCCAGCAAAAACGTGAACTGGTGACCCAGGTGAGCTCAGGGAGGGTGATCCTCTCTGGTTATGCAGCCACGGACGTCAGAGTGGGGACCCTCCCTCATGACCGCATTGCACCCTAAACGCCTCCCACAGCCTGCACCTGCACAGCCGCGCAACACCTGCCCGTGACCTCCGGGGCGCACCTGGTAGAGGACCGCGTGTCATCCGAGCCTGCTTTGCTCCGGGTCTCTGCCCCCCCCACTTACCCCAGCAGACACCCCGGGTCCCCGGCCTGGGACACTGACCCTGCGGAGCCACGCACTCAAGCGGTCCGAACTGCCTGCCCGAGGCCGGGTCACCTGCCCTGGAGCGGTGGCCGCGGCCGAGGCGCCCGGAGTGGGCTTCTCACTGGAGCAGAGCCTCAGCGCGGGAGGACGAGCACGCTCCGGACACGCACGAGGCGGACGGTGACGCCGCACGGCCGACCCGCCACGCACCCTAAGCTGCAGGCATTTCACCACGCTAAGAAACGCAGGACGCGGTCCGGGGACACATTCACGTGTACGTGTACTTAACAACGAAAGCGGTCGCTGCGTCCACACACCGCCCCGCAGTAGCCGCGACGTCCGGGTGGAGTGGGGCGGGACAAGCGTGCTGACCGACAGCCCGAGACCGTGTCCCTCGGGCTCCGCCCATCCGCCCCGCCCCCCCACGCACGCGTCTCCCGCTGGCGGCCGCCGCCAGGGGTCGCTGTGGCGCCCCGGCGGCTCGCCGCCTCACTCTTGCCCAAAATGGCGGCTGCAGCGCTGCTTCGCGGCGCCGCTCCGGGACGCGGCTGCCCGGCCTGGCGCTGGACGCTCCATGTGGTGTCCAGGCGCCCCTTGGTTCACGGCTCTGATCGGCCCAGCTGCGGCTCTGCGGGCAGCACGGCTTGGGCCTGCTTCCCGTTGGAGGAGCGCGCCCTGCTGCGCGTGCGCGGCCCGGACGCGGCGCCCTTTCTGCTGGGACTGCTGACCAATGAGCTGCCGCTCCCGGGACCCGCGGACGGCGTGACCCCGCCTCGGGTGCGCTCGGTCTACGCCCACTTCCTGAACGTGCAGGGCCGGACGCTCTATGACGTCATCGTGTACGGGTGAGCGCAGGGCTGCGCGAGTGGCGGGGCGGGGAGAGGATCTCCGGGCGGACGCGGGCCTCGGAGAAGACTGGGCGGACGCGGACGCGGGCCGGGCGGCGGAGGGGAGCGGAGCACCGACGGACGCGGGCCGGGGAGAGGAGCCTGGGCGGACGCGGGCCGGGCGGCGGAGGGGAGCGGAGCACCGACGGACGCGGGCCGGGGAGAGGAGCCTGGGCGGACGCGGGCCGGGCGGCGGAGGGGAGCGGAGCACCCGGGATAGACGCGGGGCGGGTTGGGCACCCGGCGGGCGAGGCCAGGGCGAGGGCACCCGGGGCGGACGCGGGCTCTGTGGAGAAGGAGCCCGGCCCCTGGCCGGCGGGGACGCGGTCAGCGCTGCCCGTCGGCGCGTCCGCGGGCCCGGCCTCGCGTGCGCGCTCCCGCCTTAATTCCCTTCTGCTGCTCCTGGCTCGCCCGGCACCGCGTCAGGTGGCGGTCGTTGCGGTGTGGCGGTGCGGACAGGCCCGGCCGCGAGCTGTAGGCGGCCCTGGGACTTCGGCGCGCCCTGGTGCCGGGCAGGCAGCCTCTGTCTCTGTCACTGGGTGAGTGGCACGGTGGGGTCGCGGCCCCAGGGCCCCTCTGTGTCCGCCGTCGAGTCCGGGCAGGTTGGGTACAGCCAGAGGGCCTGGTGTTTGATCCTTGGGTTCTCTGACCGGGCCTCCTGCCGAGGGCAGCGGCCTCCCGCTGAGCCAGCCTCTGATTTAACCCGGATCTCCGGGCGTCTGACACCAGCATCCCCTGTGGGCCCGGTTCGAGTCCCCACTGCTGAGGCAACTGGCCCGAGTGTGTGGACCCCTGCCCCCAGCGTGGGGGACCTGGATGGAGCTGCAGGCTCCCCAGCCTTGGAGCCATTTGGGGGTGAGGCAGCAGGTGGAAGGTGGATCGCTCCCTCTCTGTGTCTTTGCTTCTCCCTCTGTCACTCTGCCTTTGAAATAAATAAATCTTAACAGATGAACTGAGTCTTCGCCAGGGAGACCCTGGGGTGTGGTGGCCGCAGGCCGGCATAGCGTGGAGTTCCACAGTGTTCTGGCAGTGCGTGTGTGTCTCTGTCACTCTGCCTTTGAAATAAATAAGCCTTCAGGAAAAATTGACAGACCACACTGACCACCGCTGTCGCCAGAGTCCACAGCTCGCCCGAGGATCCCTCTGGGGCTTGGACAGAGCGGCTGCAGCGGACAGTCCCCTGTGTACCCCCCTCCCCTGTGGTTCCGGGAGGCCCCTCCTCCCTTCCTGGCTCTGGTTGATACCGCGTTGTGGGTTCATCTAGGATGTGGGCTTGCTGCCATGCCTTGACGAGTAGAAGGAAGCAGGCTTTGGTGGGCACAGGCTCTCGCCTCCTTTGGTGAGCACTGAGTGTGGATGCCGGATCCTCCCGGTAGAGTCTGCTCAGCTCTGGGGGGAGCTGCACCATCTCCTTACCACCACGGTCCGCCTGAGCTCCTGTCTCTGTTCTGGGCTTCAGGCGTTCTGACAGGTGCAGTGCACGAAGCATCCTTGACCCGTGCCTTCCCAGCCTATGTGACCATCCTCACCCCTGAGGTCCCCTGTGTGACCGTGTCCTCGTCCCCGAGGTCCCCTCTGTGTGACCGTGTCCTCTTCCCCGAGGTCCCCTGTGTGACCGTGTCCTTGTCCCCGAGGTCCCCTCTGTGTGTCCGTGTCCTTGTCCCCGAGGTCCCCTCTCTTACCGTGTCCTCATCCCCTGAGGTCCCCTGTGTGACCGTGTCCTCGTCCCCGAGGTCCCCTGTGTGACCGTGTCCTCGTCCCCGAGGTCCCCTCTGTGTGACTGTGTCCTCATCCCTAAGGTCCCCTGTGTGACCGTGTCCTCGTCCCCGAGGTCCCCTCTGTGACCGTGTCCTCATCCCCGAGGTCCCCTGTGTGACCGTGTCCTCATCCCCGAGGTCCCCTCTGTGTGACTGTGTCCTCGTCCCCTGAGGTCCCCTCTCTTACCGTGTCCTCATCCCCTGAGGTCCCCTGTGTGACCATGTCCTCGTCCCCGAGGTCCCCTGTGTGACCATGTCCTCGTCCCCGAGGTCCCCTGTGTGACCGTGTCCTCATCCCCGAGGTCCCCTCTGTGTGACCATGTCCTCTTCCCTGAGGTCCCCTGTGTGACCGTGTCCTTGTCCCCGAGGTCCCCTGTGTGACCGTGTCCTCATCCCCGAGGTCCCCTCTGTGTGACCATGTCCTCTTCCCCGAGGTCCCCTGTGTGACCGTGTCCTTGTCCCCGAGGTCCCCTCTGTGTGTCCGTGTCCTTGTCCCCGAGGTCCCCTCTCTTACCGTGTCCTCATCCCCTGAGGTCCCCTGTGTGACCGTGTCCTCGTCCCCGAGGTCCCCTGTGTGACCGTGTCCTCGTCCCCGAGGTCCCCTCTGTGTGACTGTGTCCTCATCCCTAAGGTCCCCTGTGTGACCGTGTCCTCGTCCCCGAGGTCCCCTCTGTGACCGTGTCCTCATCCCCGAGGTCCCCTGTGTGACCGTGTCCTCATCCCCGAGGTCCCCTCTGTGTGACTGTGTCCTCGTCCCCTGAGGTCCCCTCTCTTACCGTGTCCTCATCCCCTGAGGTCCCCTGTGTGACCATGTCCTCGTCCCCGAGGTCCCCTGTGTGACCATGTCCTCGTCCCCGAGGTCCCCTGTGTGACCGTGTCCTCATCCCCGAGGTCCCCTCTGTGTGACCATGTCCTCTTCCCTGAGGTCCCCTCTGTGTCCGTGTCCTCATCCCCGAGGTCCCCTCTGTGTGACCGTGTCCTCTTCCCTGAGGTCCCCTCTGTGTCCGTGTCCTTGTCCCCGAGGTCCCCTGTGTGACCGTGTCCTCTTCCCTGAGGTCCCCTCTGTGTGACCGTGTCCTCTTCCCTGAGGTCCCCTCTGTGTGACCGTGTCCTCTTCCCTGAGGTCCCCTCTGTGTCCGTGTCCTTGTCCCCGAGGTCCCCTCTGTGTGACCGTGTCCTCTTCCCCGAGGTCCCCTCTGTGTGACCGTGTCCTCTTCCCTGAGGTCCCCTCTGTGTGACCGTGTCCTCTTCCCTGAGGTCCCCTGTGTGACCGTGTCCTAGCCCCTGAGGTCCCCTCTGTGACTGTGTCCTCGTCCCCCGAGGTCCCCTCTGTGTCCGTGTCCTTGTCCCCGAGGTCCCCTCTGTGTGACCATGTCCTCGTCCCCGAGGTCCCCTGTGTGCGCGGAGCAGCTGGGACGAGAACCAGGCGCTCCAGTGTGGGATGTGGGCGCCTGCCTCTCTCCTTCTAAAGCCACCGGTGTTCTCCATCCTGATACCCTTAAAACTAAAGACCCCGTCCCGAGCAGCACTCTTCACACGGTATGCATGGCTCATGTGTCCACTTTCTGGCTGCTATGGACGCAGTTGGCTGCCTTGGACATTTGTGCACAGGCATGGGGAGATGATGGGTGTGGTTATGCGGCACGGCTCCGTGCTGGTTCTGGGAGACCCGCCGGCCATGCGGGTGCGGTGTTCTGTGTCCTTGCCTGCACAGGGACCCCATGCTGGGTCTCCCTGGCAACCGCGGTGTGTTTACCCTGCCCCCGAGAGCCGTGTGCTGGGCCTGTCCCTGGCACATGCTGTGGTTGTCACCCTGTGAACCGCCACATCCCGCTCTGCCTTCTGAGACCGTGGCCTCTGGCTCTGAGAAGTGTGGAACTTTACCTGTGCAGCTCCCACCTGGGGCTGCCCTGTGGGTGGGTCTGGGTCAGCAGCCACAGCTGTTCTGGGGAAGGGCTGGGGCCCCTGCTTGTGGGCTCTGCTCTCCTGGGCATCCTCTCTGCTCCTGCTGGGCTGCTAGTCCTTGCCCCATCCACTGTGCTGGGGTCTGCATGCAGGATGTGTCCACGCAGCTGAGTGCTGCCTGCCCCTCTGTGGCTGTGGCCGTTCCAGTGGTGCCAGCCCGGGGTCCCTGAGGTGGGCTGTCCACTTAGTTCTAGGGCTCTGATAGTATTTTGGGACATGCCTTAGGCAGTGGACACCAGTAGGGTATGGCTTCACCAAGCCTCCTGCACCTGCTGGCCTCTCAGCTGCCTCCTGCCAGAACCTTCCAGAGACTGGAAGAGGCCAGTCCTGGCTGTTTATGCCTCTCGCCTCACATGGAGTGTGGGCCAGCTCTCTGCTCCACCCAGGCACTGCCCACTGCCCAACTGCTGCCTGTCATTTTTGTCCTGGGCTCAGCAGCTGCTTGGGCAGTGTCTGAGGTGGAGTCTGTTTGCACAAAGTGGATGCGTCTCAGAGGCAGAACGCCCCGGGGCCCACACTGTTCAGTTCTGCCTCTGTAGACCCACAGGTGCAGCCTTGGGCAGCTGGGCTCAGCCTCTGGCTGGCACCCTAGTGTGCGGTTTGACTGGAGGGCGGCTGTGTTCGAGCTCTCCTGATGGCGCATTTGTCTGCAGCTACTGCTCAGCGTTGGAGCCGAGGCCTCGAGGCGCAGGCTGCCTGCGGTCCAGGGCACGGACACGTGTCTGTCCCTAGGCCGCAATGCGGTGGCGCAGGGCGGTGTCTGGGCGCACTTGCTCAGGACGCGTGCGGCCCTTGCGCACCGCCCACGACCCAACTTTGTCCCCGCAGGCTCCCTGAGCGCGAGGCGACACCTGGCTTCCTCCTGGAGTGTGACAGCTCCGTGCTGGGCCCGCTGCGGGAGCATCTGGCGCGGCACAGGGTCCGGCGGAAAGTCATCGTGGAGCCGTGTGCGGACCTGCGCGTGTGGGCGGTGCTTCCCAGCACTCCCCAGGCTAGCGCGGCGCTGCTGCCTAGCACCGCCGCCGAGGCCTCCACCATCCTCACCCGAGACCCCCGGACTGTGCGCATGGGGTGGCGGCTCCTCGCCCACGACGAGACCCCGGCCGTGATGCTCAGCGGTGGCCACCTCGGGGCCCTCCGGGATTATCACCGGCACCGCTACCTGCAAGGTAGAGCGGGTGGCGAGCTGTGGACGGGGCCTGGCCGCGCGGGCTGCGCTCACCTCTGTGTGTTCTGCTTCCTGCAGGTGTCCCCGAGGGCATCCGCGACCTGCCCCCAGGGCTGGCCCTTCCTCTGGAGTCCAACCTGGCCTTCATGAACGGCGTCAGCTTCGCAAAGGGCTGCTACGTGGGCCAGGAGCTGACGGCGCGCACGCACCACACGGGCGTGGTCCGCAAGCGCCTCTTCCCCGTGCGGCTGGCGGGCCCGCTCCCTGCTGGCGGCCTCAGACCCGGTGCTTCTGTGCTGACTGCTTCCGGGCAGGCAGCCGGCAAGTTCAGGGCTGGCCTGGAGGACGTGGGGCTGGCCCTGCTGTGGTCGGAGCGGATCAAGGGGCCCCTCCGCGTCCGCACCTCTGAGAGCCAGGAGGTAGCCCTGACCGCGTCAGTGCCGGACTGGTGGCCTGTGGCCCTCAAGTAAGCGTCGCCCCTGCGGGGGACCTGGATCTCAGCTCCCTGCGGGACACCAGCCCTGCCCCGGGAGCCCACATGTGGCATCACCCGCCTGGGGGGCGCTCTGGGTAGGACTCGGGCTGTGGGGGTCGTGCACAGGTGCCGCCATGCAGAGGGATGTGCGCTGTCCCCCTGGGGCCGCGGGCTGCGCCCCCATGCACCTGCGTCTTCTGGGACAGGGATCCTGGGGGCCAGGGCAGGGGCCAGGTGGGGAAGGCGGCCTTCCTTCCACTGGTGTGCTGTGTCGGTGGGTGTCCCACGTGGCGGCCCAGAGTGAACATTAAAGTGTGGCCTGCAGCTGTCGGGAGCTGTGCTGCTTTGTGGGGCAGGAGGCTGGGACTGCACGTCTGCAGTACAGGGGCATGGAGGGGACGGGGTAGTGTTGGGAAGTGGACTCTGGACTGAAGTTGTCATTTGCTGAGGGTGGGGGTTTGGACTGGGGGAGGGAGTGTGAGGCAGACACTCCGTGGGCGGGTCAACAGCTGGAGGGCCCTGACCCCTGCTGGGTGGCTGTGCTGCCTACTGAGCTGTGCAGAGGGGGCCCTGGCTGGCATTCACTGCTGCTTAAGCAGGTGTCACTGCCACTTCCAGCCTGCTGGCCGCTGCTCTTGAAGCCACGTGGAGACAGCTGATCGGGGTTGCAGCCAGGGCCGAGTGGGGGGCCACTGGCACCCCCTGCCTCTGGGATGAGGGCTGTGCTGAGCTTCCAGCTGTTCCAGCAGCTGCCGTGAGGGAGGGACGTGGCCCTTGGCGAGGATGGGGACCTCCTGAGGGGGTGTCCAGTGTCCAGCTTGGGGAGGGGACATGAGCCGGGAAGGAAGGCACCGAGGCTGCTTATTTTAAGCAGAATGACTTCAGCTGCCGTGTGTCCCTGCGCGTCCTCAGGGCTCGGCAGGTGCAGACCGTGCTCCTGCTGCACTCCATTGCAGTGTTCGACAGAAGGAAGGGCGGCACCAGGAAAGCGCCTTGATTTTGGACAGACCAGCTCAGTTTTCATGGAAGTGACGGGTGCCGGCAGGCAGCCCCGGCTTGCACGGTCTCCATGGCCTGTGTGTGTGACTATGAGGGGCACAGAGCGTCACAGATCCAGATCTGGGAGAAACCGGGTGCGGGTTCCCAGAGTGCAGTGTGCACGTGTGCTTTGCATGATGTTTTCTTGGGAAAGGTGTGAAGTTCTCAGATGCAGGGTCGTGATTTAATAAAAGGAAAAAGCATCTGCTCTCTGCTCTCCAGGGACCTGCCGGGCAGGTGCAGCCACGAGCAGACGCAGGTCCTGAGGGTGTGGGGGCATCAGGGAAGGGGCCTGTGGAGGATTCCTTTGGGGAAAGGCACGTGGGGCAGGCGAGCAGCTTAGGGTGGCTGCTGGGCAGCTGGCCTGGCTCTGCTCGGCCAGGCCAGGCGGGGGAGTGGCCTGAGCTGGTTCGCACAGCACACAGTGTCCCAGCTGGGCCTTTGCTTCTGTGTGAGAATCGCCCGTGGAGAGGCTGCCTCTCCCCTGCCAGAAAGTTCTGGAAAGATGTGCATACGTGACGTGCAGGCCGAGGACTCGAGCACCCATGCGGCACCACGCCAGGAGCCCCCTGTGACTCCTGGTGTCAGACACGGCACAAGGTGAAAGCGTTGACCACGTCTGGAGGAGCCACGTGAGGACGTGGAATGTGAGTGGAGTGCAGAGCGGCAGCTGTGAGGGGCTGGGGTGTGGGCAGGTAAAAGCCACCACCGTGGGGAGAGCTGCGGTGTTGGGACCTGCAAGGGAGGGGCAGCAGCAGCGCTGTGTCCCGTGTTTCAGGGGAGGAGAGAGTTTTTAAACTGTTCACGTGTACCTTTGTTTCTACTTGGAAAGCAGAGAGCTCTCCTGTCTGCCGGCTCACTCCCCAAGTGCCCGCAACAGTCGGGGCAGGCCCAGGCTGAAGCCCGAGCCTGGAACTCCATCTGGGTGGCCCAGGTAGGTGGCGGGGACCCAGGTGCTGGAACCATCCCTGCTGCCTCTGTGAGCAGGAAGCTGGAGCTGGTGTCAAGCCGGGCACTCTGATGGAAGTGCCTGTCCCCCCAAGAGGAGAGGTGGGGTGTTTTCACAGCAGCAACAAAGAGGTACGAGAGGTGGTGGGTACCACGATGAACACATACAGTTGTTATTGTCAAAAGTGATGTGAGGGGCCGGCGCTGTGGTTCACCGGGTAAGGCCACTGCCTGCAGTGCTGGCATCCCACATGGGCACTGTTTCAAGTCCCATCTGTTCCATTTCCGATCCAGCTCTCTGCTGTGGCCTGGGAAAGCAGTAGAAGATGACCCAAGTCCTTGGGCCCCTGCACCCATGTGAGAGACCGGGAAGAAGCTCCTGGCTTTGGATCGGCTCAGTTACGGCCATTTCGGCCATCTAGAATCAGCAGATGGAAGACATTCTCTCTCTCTCTCTCTCTCTCTCTCTGCTTCTGTTTCTCTGTAACTCTGCCTTTCAAATAAATCTATAAAAAAAAGTGAAAATCAATGTAACACCATATTAGAAAAAAGAAAACTTTATAATTACCTCAGTAAATGCAGAAGAAACAAAGTCAAGTTTATACAAATTGCAGTGGAGGCGATGGAGCTGTGGCACAGTGGGTAATGCCACTGCTTGCATGGGGATCCCATGTGGGCACCGGCTCAAGTCCCACAGCCCTGCTTCCCAGCCAGCTCCCCGCCCATGCATCTGGGGAAGCAGCAGAGGGTGGCCCGAGCTTGGACCCACATGGGAGACCCAGAAGGAGCTCCTGGCTTCAGCCTGGCCCAGACCTGGATGTCGTGGGTGTTTGCAGGGTGAACCAGTGGGTGGTAAATCTCTTCCTCTCTCTCTCACTCTGCTTCTCAAATAAATAGGTAGGTAGATAAATAAATAAGTAGGTCGATAAGTAAGTCTTAATAAAACAAGTCCAGCAGCAGTAAAGCCAGGAGGAAGTGATTAGTGTCCTTCAAGTCCTGAGTGCAGACTGGCAGTCGACCTGGGTCGGTGGACCTGGCAAGGAGAGGGCTGGGGGCCGGGTGCTGGCCCAGGGGTGACTGGCAGGGATGCCACATTTGCAGTGCCTGGGTTGAGGTCCCACCCTGCTGTCCTTCGCAGGTTCCTGCCAGTGTTCACCCTGGGAGGCCATGGTGATGGCCCAAGGCCATAGGTCCCTGCCCCACATGGGAGATCTAGATGGAGTTCCTGGCTGTTGGATTTGGCCCAGCCCAGCTCTGACTACAATGGGCATTTGGGAGAGTGAAGAGAGTTGCAGACAGAGGGAGAGACAGAGAGGTCTTCCATCTGCTGGTTCACTCCCCAGATGGCCGCAATGGCTGGAGCTGGGCTGATCTGAAGCCAAGAACTTCTGGGTCTCCCACGTGGGTGCAGGGGCCCAAGCACTTGGGCCACCTTCTGCTACTTTCCCAGGCCATAGCAGAGAGCTGGACTGGAAGAGGAGCAGCCAGGACACAAACCATTGCCCATAGGTGCCACAGGTGGAGGCTTAACCTGTGCCACAGTGTGGCCCACTTTCTGCCTCTCAAAAAATAAGAGAACTAAAGAAAAGGATTTTCAGACAAAATTTGTTAGCAGCAGAGCCTGACTTGAAATCACTAAGGCTTTGGGCAGGGGGCAGGCTTTGGCAAGCTGATTTTCCAGCAGCTGTCGGGGAGATTTTAAAAAGGCACAGATTGGCATGAGGTGACATCTTGCTGTGGTTTATTTGCATTTTCTGACAGGAGGATCTGGAGATATGGGACAGTGGTGGTGGGAATGTAAGTGCAGCCATGGTGGATGGCCACGGGGTCGTTGTCACGTGACCCGACCGTGGTAGAGGGTCATGAGGTCACTGTCATGTGATCAGGCCACAGTGGAGGGCCACGGGGTCACTGCCAAGTGACCCAGCCATGGTGGAGGGTCATGAGGTCACCTGTCAATGTGACCTGGCCAAGGTGAAGGGCCACGGGTCATTGTTATGTGACCTAGACAGCATGGAGGTCACGGCATCGTCTGTCCCGTGACCCAGCAGTCCTGCTTCTGGCATTTATATGCAGGGGTGACATGATGTGTTGAGCAGACATCTGCACTGCTGAGCTGCCACAGCCAGGAGGCCACGCCCAGGAAGCAGTTGCTGGCAGGTGAGTGGGTAGAGAAAGCATGCATGTGCAAAGAGGAGGACCGTTCACCCCTGTGAGTGCCAGCAGCCGATGGAGTGGCAGCTCCTGTGCTGGGAGGGGAGTGGGGAGGAGTACAGGTCTCCGAGGCTGGGGGAGGGGCAGTGTCCTGGGTCTCCTCATGGGACAGTGACTGTGCATTGTGTATTAGTATAGCAGCAAATGGCTGCAGGTGTTCTCACCACAAAGAACGGGGGACGCTGAGTGATGAACGCCAGGTACTCAGACTTGACCGTTACAAGGTGGGTACACGGGTTGAGATGTCACAGGTTATCCCATGAATGCATGCACAGCTATGGTGTGTCAGCTTAAACAGATAAGTAAAAACTTGGGGACACCCTAAGACCAGGGAGGAGCAGGCGTGTCCCTCTGCTTCTGTAACATTCCTGGCTGAGTGAGATAGGGTGTTTCATCAGAACATGACAGCACCCCTATGGTTTCTTTCCTCTGGACTGTCCCTGAGGCCACCTGGTGGTGGTGGTGGGGTCACCCACGCTGGGTGGGCCCTGGCCCTGCTGCTGGAGGGGCAGCTCACTGGATGGTGTCCTGGGACCATGCCCAGGGGTGGGGCTGGGGCAGGCCTGCCCTCATGTGGGACACCTTGGTGCCCCGGCTCCCATCTCCCCGGCCCCAGTTCCCCAGCTGCCTTGCCTGTGTCCCGCACAGTGTGCGTCCTGGGAGCCCCTCCCCGTGCCTCGACGCCCCCGCACGGTGCTGCTGCTAGGACAGTTTTCCTGGGGTGAGGGGCCCTCTGCATACCCTGTGTCTCCTTGGTCACAGCCGCTCCAACAGGGTGGGGGTCTTTTGTTTCTTTTTTTAAGGATTTTATTTATTGAGAGAGTTACAATGAGAGAGATCTTCCTTCCATTGGTTCACTCCCCAAATGGCCGCAATGGCCGGAGCTGCGCTGATTCGAAGCCAGGAGCCAGGTGCTCCCTCCTGGTCTCCCATGCGGGTGCAGGGGCCCAAGGCCTTGGGCCATCTTCAACTGCTTTCCCAGGCCATAGCAGAGAGCCGGATTGGAAGAGGAGCAGCCGGGACTAGAACCAACTCCCATATGGGATGCCAGCGCCGCAGGCAGAGGATTTATCTAGTGTGCCACAGCGCCGGCCCCTAGGGTGGGGGTCTTGACCTTGCTCCTCCGGGGGTTCCTGAGGCCGAGCGTCCATTGCTTGCCTGCTGGCTGCTGTGAGCCTGCCAAGTAGCACCTGTGCAAGTCCTTTGCCTGCTGCGAGGCGGCCGTCTCCCTGTTGTAGCAGGTGTCAGCCCCTTACTGGCTGAGGTCTGGAGGCACTCCCACAGCTGCAGGGCTTCTTCCAGGGTCCCCTGGCAAGCAAGTGTGCAGAGCCTGCGTCGGGGTCCGAGGCCTGGCCTGCGACATGCTGGCTGTGGTTGCCCCTGCTGGCTTCCCCGGGGATTTGCCGACAGAGCAGGTCACCAGTGTCTTCGACTCAGCTGGGGTGGTGGCTGTGTTGCCCTTGGTGTGGTGACTGCCTCTCATAGTACACTGGCGGGAATTTTGGGGAGAGAACAGCATGGGGCTGCCCTCTATTCCCACTCCGGCCAATGAGTGCTTTGCTGCCTCCTAGTTGCCTTTGTGTCCCCCTTGCCCAAAAACCCTCAGGTTTTCTGTCACTATCCTCTTCTGGCATCTGTGATCCAACGGGATCCTGTGACCCAGGTGCATGCCTAGGGTGCATGTGCTGTGACCCACAGGGATCCTGTGACCAAGGTGCACATGTGATGACTGCATGTGCTGTGTCCTGAGGGGATCCTGTGCACTGAGGTGTGTGTGTGTGTGTGTGTGTGAGTGTGCTGTGTCCTGAGGGGATCCTGTGCACTGAGGTGTGTGTGGTGTGTGTGTGTGAGTGAGTGTGCTGTGACCTGAGGGGATCCTGTGCACTGAGGGGTGTGTGTGTGTGTGTGTGTGTGTGTGAGTGTGAGTGAGTGTGCTGTGACCTGAGGGGATCCTGTGCACTGAGGGGTGTGTGTGTGTGTGTGTGTGTGAGTGAGTGTGCTGTGACCTGAGGGGATCCTGTGCACTGAGGGGTGTGTGTGTGTGTGTGTGTGTGTGAGTGTGCTGTGACCTGAGGGGATCCTGTGCACTGAGGGGTGTGTGTGTGTGTGTGAGTGAGTGTGCTGTGACCTGAGGGGATCCTGTGCACTGAGGGGGGTGTGTGACTGCGTGTGCTGTGTCCAGAGGGGATCCTGTGCACTCAGGGGTGTGTGTGTGTGTGTGTGCCATGACCTGCGGGGATCCTGTGCACTGAGGTGTGTGTGTGACTGCATGTGCTGTGTCCAGAGGGGATCCTGTGTACTGAGGTGTGTGTGTGTGTGTGTGTGAGTGTGCTGTGACCTGAGGGGATCCTGTGCACTGAGGGGTGTGTGTGTGTGTGTGGCTGTGTGTGCTCTGACCTGCAGGGATCCTGTGCACTTAGGTGTGTGTGTGTGTGTGTGCGACTGTGTGCTCTGACCGGGGATCCTGTGCATTGAGGTGTGTGTGTGTGTGTGTGTGTGTGGCTGTGTGTGCTCTGACCTGCGGGGATCCTGTGCACTGAGGTGTGTGTGTGACTGCATGTGCTGTGTCCAGAGGGGATCCTGTGTACTGAGGTGTGTGTGTGTGTGTGTGAGTGTGCTGTGACCTGAGGGGATCCTGTGCACTGAGGGGTGTGTGTGTGTGTGTGACTGCGTGTGCTCTGACCTGCAGGGATCCTGTGCACTTAGGTGTGTGGTGTGTGTGTGTGTGTGCAACTGTGTGCTCTGACCGGGGATCCTGTGCATTGAGGTGTGTGTGTGTGTGTGTGTGTGTGTGTGTGTGGCTGTGTGTGCTCTGACCTGCGGGGATCCTGTGCACTCACGTGTGTGTGTGTGTGTGTGTGTGACTGCGTGTGCTGTGACCTGCGGGGATCCTGTGCACTCACGTGTGTGTGTGTGACTGGTGTGTTATGACCTGAGGGAATCCTGTGCACTAAGGTGTATGTGTGTGTGACTGCGTGTGCTCTGACCTGTGGGGATCCTGTGCACTCTAGTGCTCGCGTGACAAATTTGTGTGCTGTGACAACACATCCAGGCAAAGAGCACGTAAGCCCCCCAGCCCCAGCTGGGTCAGAGTCTCTGCTGTGTCGTTGGCTGTGTTGTTGACCCTGCTGTGAGTCAGATAGTCAGATGAATCTTCAGGTCAGGAAGTGCCCTGCCCACCCCGTGAGTGCGTGTGCTGTGTTCTGAGGGGAATCTGCACTCGGGCCCCTATCCGTGCTGGGTCCCTGAGTAGGTGTCCCAGAGACAGGCAGTACACATGAGGCACCAGGTGCTGGCTGGAAGCCCTCTTGCCCCCAGCTCTCTGTGTCTGTGGCCATGCTGTGGGCATGGACTTGGAACCCCTCCTTCTCTGGGCAGCGAGCTGGGTCGACAGCCAGGCTGTGAGGCCCCTCTTTCTCCTGGTTGAGGCCATTGAGGGCTGAGTTACCCATATTCAGGGTTTAAACTGGTGGAAGCATCATTGACTTTTTTCCCATTCTTCCGCTTTCCTAGACACATTCGTGGGGAGCTGATCTAAGTGGAGCAGCTGGGACTTGAACTGGTGGCCCTATGGGAAGCTGGCATCATAGGTGGTGACTTAGCCCACTGCGCTACAGTGCTGACCCAGAGTTTGCTTTTTATGAATTCCATCCCCAGAGAGTAGCTCAGTGAACTCTTTTTGGCCACAGTGGGCTGGGCCTTAAGCCAGGCCTGTGTGGTGTGGACAGCACACGGCTTCTGCCGGCTCAGTAGGTGCTGTCTCCTGCTTTCCTTAACTGGGAAGTGGGCAGGGGAGACGGCCCAAAAGATGATGGGGACACAGGAGGCAGAAAACCCGGCCGTAAGGGCTGCACGGGAGCCCAGTGGTGGCTTCCGGAGATGAGGGCCCCCACTTCCTCTAGGAGGCTGGGCAGGGTAGCACAGACACACGTGCACACACTCGCACTCACGCGTGAGCACGGCACAAGCTCAGCACTGCACGGGAACCTGTTTCTGTACTGGCTGAGTCCTCCGTGGGAATGTTTGAGTCCCTCTACATTCATGGCGAGACCCCTCACCCCCAGGTGATGGTGCGAGCAGGTGGGGTTTCCGGAGGTGCTGAGGTCATGAGGTGGAGCTGCTTGAGTGGGGTCAGTGTCCTTAGGAAGGGGCCCCGAAGACTCCTCTCCCCTCCCCTACGTGTGTGTGCTGGATGCTGGCCCTGCACACGTCAGCACTTGGAGCCTGGTCCCAGCTTGGGAGGTCACCTGCTCCCCACCCGGGTTCACAGCAGACGGTCACCTCTGACTGCTGGGCAGAGGCTGCCTCCGTGGATGGGGCCTGCTCTGTGTCCTGTCCACACTTGTACCCCGGCTGTGGATGACCTCTCCTGAGAGCCTGTGCTGTTAGCCCTGACCACTGCTGACCCAGAGGACACTACTCCCTTGCGGTGGGCCCTCGCCACCCAGTGTTCCGCATTCCTTCCTGCTGTGCACTCCAGGGTGCTGTGCGGAACAGTGGGTGTCACAGCCCAGCAGGGCCCACTGGCATGCATTGCAGGCATCCCTGTCACTGGCTATGCCCCCAGCCATCTGCCCTTTGCCTCCTGCAGGGCCCAGGGTGAAGCTGAGTCCTGGGCAGTGACACTTGCGCTATTTTGGAGCTGGGCTGGGCTGGGCTGGTGGGGGCAGGGTGGGGGCGGGCCCATCCCTCTCCAGCTGACAGCGTCTGCCTGTCCTCTCGTCCCTGTCCAGTCTGAGGACCAGCAGGAGTGTGGGCTGCTGGGTGGCAACCGTGTCGGTCCCGGGGCCTCGGAGGGAAGTGAGACCCAGCAGCCCAAAGCCACTGCCTGTGCCCCCGGCCTGGGCACTGCCCAGATCCCTCCGTAGACAGGTGAGGAGGAGACGGCGGAGCAGGGTGGAGGGCTGTCTGGGGACCCCGGAGGGTGGCTGTGCTGAAGGTCACGGCTCTGGGAAACTGAGGGCTCCAGCCAGGCTGTGCCCCTACCCGGGATGGGCTGTGTGTTCTGATTTCCAGCCCTCCCATGGGGAAGAGGCAGCCCAGCCTGCCCAGGGTGTCACACACACCCACCACCCCCCGGCGCCCTCTGCTCCAAGAAGGGCTGAGGGTCCGGCTGGCCCTGCCCCCACACTCCTGAGCTAGATGCCCGCTGACAGCTGGGGCTATTTTGGGCCTGTTTGCTCAGCGGAGGGGACAGCCAGGGGGGCACTGACACCTGACTCCAGGAAAGAATTTCCCCTGGACTGGGGAGCTGGAGCCCAGGGGTCTAAGGTGAGGGGCAGCCCTGGGTGGCTGCCCTTGGAAGGCTGATCTGGAAGGGCATGGGGGCCTCAGGCTGGCCTCAGTTCCGTCTCGGGGGTGGGGGTGGGGGAGGGGCTGGGTCTCTGAGCTGCCCCTTGGAAAACAGACTGGCCAGGAGCCTAGAACGGAGGCAGCAGTCTATAGAAGTTAGGGTGCGGGGCTGCCCCAGGGCTGTGGGTGTGGCTGGGACCCTGTGGGGTTCTGCAGGAAGGTGTCGGGGGGAGGTGGGGCTTGCTGAGACCTTGGCCTGCAGCCCAGCACAGGGAGGAGACCCCCGTAGGTGCTCCTGTGCCCGAGTGGATTTTCTGGGATCCCCAAAGTGGCCTTGGGTGGCCCTTGCCTCAGTCTCCCCTCTCTGGGAGTGAATGTGCTCCATGCACCCTTCTGTGGCCTCAAGCCTGCTGACCGTGAGGGACAGCAGCCCAGCAGGGCTCCCCATGCCCTGGCCCCGTGCAGTCTACTGTACGGACAGCGGCTGTGCCTGGGCCTGCTTGGATGCTGTGTCTGTAGTGGGGACAAGGACCCTGGGGCCTCCACAGCCTCTTGCTAGGCCTGGATCAGCCTGGGCCAGGGCCAACTTCCATATATGTGTGGGACCCAGAGCTCTCATTCCGTTCCTGTGCTGCTTTGTGGAGGGACCACCCGCACACAGCCACTCAGGTGTCCCTGGCTGGCCAGCACAGGCTGGGGCAGGGGGAAAGGGATACTCCATCCTGATTTAGGGAACACACAGAACAGCCAAATGACGCTGCGGAGTGCTGGGAAGACCTCCGAGCACAGGGGCCGTGGAGAGCTGAGGTCCAAGTGGCCTTGAAGGGGAGCTGGGGTTTTGGAGGTGCTGTGGAGGGGGCTCTCTGCCTCTGGGTGGCCCCCATCCCAGTGCCTGTGAGGGTGGCAGGGGACCGGGTGTTGATGGCATCATGAGTCAGCAGTCCCTCTGCCCAGCCCAGCCCCGGTCCCAGGAAGCCTGCTCAGGGGATTAAGGGGATTAGATGCCCGAATCACAGGACCGCTAGGTGGAGTGCCCGGAACATGCTGGCTCATCCAGGGGATGCTGCGGCCTGGCAAGTTTGCTGTGCCTGCTCCGTGAGCCAGCTGAGGTGTGGTAGGCCAGCCGCAGGCACACTGCCCCTCCCACCACCTCTGCACGTGGGGAGTGGCCTCTGCCCACCCACATTGTCCTGGGTGGGGAGGAGACTCCAGGCAGTGAGGGGACACAGCTGCTGGCTGGCAGAGCTGGTCAGAGGGGCCGATCTGTACTTGAGGGCCTTGTGACCAGATGGTGAGACTGGCTGGTGGACAGGGATGCGTGGTGTCCACCGAGTGTCCCCACTTTGACTCCAGTCCGCCCCTTGCAGGCCCCCGGCTCTGCCGCCCCCATGGAGCCCTCCTCACTCAGTGGCGCGCCCCGCTTCCTGACGCGGCCCAAGGCCTTCGTGGTGTCCGTGGGCAAGGACGCCACGCTGAGCTGCCAGATCGCGGGCAACCCCACGCCGCAGGTGAGCTGGGAGAAGGACCGGCAACCAGTGGAGCCCAGTGCGCGCTTCCGCCTGGCCCAGGACGGCGACCTGTACCGCCTCACCATCCTGGACCTGGCGCTCGGAGACAGCGGACAGTATGTGTGCCGCGCGCGCAATGCCATCGGGGAGGCCTTCGCGGCTGTTGGCCTGCAGGTGAACGCTGAGGCCGCGTGTGCTGAGCAGGCACCGCACTTCTTGCTGCGCCCCACGTCCATCCGCGTGCGGGAGGGCGCCGATGCCACGTTCCGTTGCCGTGTGCGTGGCTCTCCGCCGCCGGCCGTGAGTTGGTCCAAGGATGGGCGGCGTCTGGGCGCGCCTGATGCCCCGCGCGTGCGTGTGGAGGAGCGGGGCGATGCAAGCTCTCTGCATATCCAGGCTGCGCGCCCGCGTGATGGCGGCACCTACGAGGTGCGTGCTGAGAATCCCCTGGGCACCGCCAGCGCAGCCGCGGCCCTCATGGTGGATGCGGACGCCGACGTGGTCGGCCCGCCCGGGGCGTCCACCGCCGCGCTCCTGGCGCACCTGCAGCGGCGGCGTGAGGCTATGCGTGCGGATGACGCCCCTCCCTCGCCGCCTGGCGCAGGCACACGCACCTGCACGGTGACCGAGGGCAAGCACGCACGCCTCAGCTGCTTCGTGACGGGTGAGCCCAAGCCTGAGACGCTGTGGAAGAAGGACGGGCAGCCGGTGGCCGAGGGCCGGCGGCACGTGGTGTACGAGGACGCGCAGGAGAACTTCGTGCTCAAGATCCTGTTCTGCAGGCAGGAGGACCGCGGCCTGTACACCTGCACGGCGTCCAACCTCGTGGGCCAGACCTACAGCTCGGTGCTGCTGGTCGTGCGCGGTGAGCGCCTCACCGCGGGGTGCGGCGCGTGCGGGCGGGGTCCCTCGGAGCGCAGCGGTTGGATGCGGAGGGTGGGCGCCTCCTCCTGGGGGGGGGTGTGATGAGGTCCTGGTTCTCAGGGCGCAGGCGATGACCCTCAGCCCACGCCCCCACCCTCCTCACCTGTCCGTCCCGGCCTGCAGAGCCTGCCGTGCCCTTCCGGAAGCGGCTGCAGGACCTGGAGGTGCGCGAGAAGGAGTCAGCCACGTTCCTGTGCGAGGTGCCACAGCCGGCTACGGAGGCCGCGTGGTTCAAGGAGGAGACGCGGCTGTGGGCGAGTGCCAAATACGCCATTGAACAGGAGGGCACGGAGCGCCGGCTGACTGTGCACAACGCCTCGGCTGATGATGACGCTGTGTACATCTGCGAGACCGCTGAGGGCAGCCGCACGGTGGCTGAGCTCAACGTCCGAGGCAGGCGCCGCCAGGCCGGCTGGGCTGGGGGAGCGGAAGGGGCACTGGGAAATGGACGAGTGGTGGGTGGCATTGGGGCAGAGAGGGTGGACAGTGCAGACGGGAGTAGACGGGGCATTGGGGTGGATGGTGCAGAGAAACAGGAGTGGACAGGTCCAGGAAGAGTGGAGAAGGTGTGGACCAGGATGTGCACGGGTGCAGGCAGGAGTGGACAGGGTGTGGACAGGGTGTGCACGGGGTGCAGGCAGGAGTGGGGGGTGTGGACAGGGTGTGCACAGGGTGCAGGCAGGAGTGGAGGGAGTATGAGCAGGGTGTGCATGGGGTGTAGGCAGGAGTGGAGGGGTGTGGACAGGGTGTGCACGGGGTGCAGGCAGGAGTGGAGGGGTGTGGACAGGGTGTGCACGGGTGCAGGCAGGAGTGGAAGGGTGTGGACAGGGTGTGCACGGGGTGCAGGCAGGAGTGGAGGGGTGTGGACAGGGTGTGCACGGGTGCAGACAGGAGTGGAGGGGTGTGGACAGGGTGTGCACGGGGTGCAGGCAGGAGTGGACAGGATGTGCACAGGGTGCAGGCAGGGGTGGAGGGAGTATGAGCAGGGTGTGCACGGGGTGTAGGCAGGAGTGGAAGGGGTATGAGCAGGGTGTGCACGGGAGTGCAGACGGGAGTGGAGGAGGTGTGCACAGGGTGCAGGCAGGAGTGGAGGGGGTGTGTACGGAGTGCAGACGGGAGTGGAGGGGTGTGGACAGGGTGCAGGCAGGAGTGGAGGGGGTGTGTACGGGGTGCAGGTGGGAGTGGAGGGGGTATGAGCAGGGTGTGCACGGGGTGTAGGTGGGAGTGAAGGGGTATGAGCAGGGTGTGCATGGGTGCAGGTGTGAGTGGAGGGGGTGTGTACGGGGTGCAGGCGGGAGTGGAGGGGGTGTGGATAGGGTGTGCACGGGGTGCAGGCAGGAGTGGAGGGGTGCGGATAGGGCATACACGGGGTGCAGGTGGGAGTGGAAGGGGTATGAGCAGGGTGTGCATGGGTGCAGGTGTGAGTGGAGCAGGTGTGCATGGGTGCAGGCGGGAGTGGAGGGGGTGTGGATAGGGTGTGCACGGGGTACAGGTGGGAGTGGAGGGGGTGCGGATAGGGCATACACGGGGTGCAGGTGGCAGTGGAGGGGGTATGAGCAGGGTGTGCATTGGGTGTAGGCGGGAGTGGAGGAGGTGTGCACAGGGTGCAGGTGGGAGTGGAGGGGGTGTGGACAGGGTGTGCATATGGGTGTAGAGGGGTTGTGCTGCATGACTCTGATTGGGCATGCCCCTCCCGACCACAGGCAACCTGACTCGAAAGCTGCCTCGGAAGACGGCAGTGCGTGTGGGGGACATGGCCATCTTTTGTGTGGAGCTGGCCATCCCTGAGGGCCCAGTTCGCTGGCTGCGGAACCAGGAGGAGGTGGTGGCTGGAGGCCGCGTGGCCATCACTGCTGAAGGCACGAGCCACACACTGACCATCTCCCAGTGCAACCTGGACGACGCAGGGGAGGTTGTCTTTGTGGCTGGCAGCTGCCGCACGTCCACACAGTTCTGTGTGTCGGGTAAGGGCCTGGGCGGCACCCAGCCTCGGACCCTGGGTGCCGGGGGTGGGGGCAGCAGCCACAGACCAGGGCCCCCAGCCTCAGACCCTGGGTGATGGGTGGGAGCATCAGCCACAGACCAGGGCTTCCAGCCCTTGTCCTCAACCCTTTCTGTGGCAACCAAACGGCCCTGGGTGCCTGGACTGCTGGGGCAGGGTTCCTGTGACTCCTCTGGCTGATTCTGGGCCCAAGGGCTGGGGTGGGGCTTCTCATGACCTTGGCCCATCTTCCACCCAGTGCCCAGGAGACCACCCCTGCATCCCCCTGTGGACCCTGTGGTGCTGGCGAAGACAGAGAGTTCCGTAACCCTCAGCTGGTCCCCACCGCCCCACGGGGACCGCCCCGTAACCATCGACGGCTACCTGGTGGAGAAGAGGAGGCTTGGGACCCATATCTGGAGCCGCTGCCACGAAGCAGAGTGGGTGGCCACGCCACAGCTGACCGTGGCTGGTGTGGCCGAGGAGGGGGACTTCCAGTTCCGGGTGTCGGCTGTCAACAGCTTTGGTCAGAGTCCCTACCTTGAGTTCCCAGGGACTGTGCATCTTGGTACGTGCGTCCCCCTGGAGACAGGGCACTGGGGGCCTGCTGGCTCTAAATCGTCCAACCCCGTGAACCAGCTCAGCTGGAGTGGCCTCTCGTAGCTGCCTGTGGGTGTGGGCTCCTGCTGCTGTCAGAGCCTTACCTGTGGGAGGAGAAGGGGCTGTGGGACAGGGCCGGAGTCCCCAGGACCTGCCTGTTTACCTGTGGGGTTTGTGGGACCCCGAGGGATTACAGGCTGGCTGTAAGTGCTTCCCAGGGTGCCACGAGCCAGCTTTGTGCTCGGGATCGCTGTGTGTGTATGCGGTGTCGCCTGGGGGATGAGGATGGAAGGGAGAGCCCCCCCCTGCACCCCAGGGCTGCCTCTGCACGCTCCCTGATGTCTGCTACCGCCTGCCCTGCAGTCCCCCAGCTGGCCGTGAGGACGCCCCTGAAGGCGGTGGAGGCAGTGGAGGGTGGCGAAGTCAGCTTCTCCGTGGAGCTCACTGTGGCCTCGGCAGGCCAGTGGTTCCTGGACGGGCAGGCCCTGAAGGCCAGCAGAACGTACAAGATCCTATGCAGTGGCACCAGGCACACGCTCACCATTCGCGAGGTGCCCGCCAGCCTGCACGGGGCCCAGCTCAAGTTTGTGGCAGACGGCATAGAGAGCAGCGTCCGTGTGGAGGTCCGAGGTAGGCCGGGGACCTGGCCTATGATCTGAGGAGGGGCTGGGAGGGGGTCCTGGGAGCATCGCGGCTGACCAGGGCTGGACTGAAGTCACACACGGGGGGTCACGGGCCGTGGCGAGGGCCACCGGGCGGCTCCCCCAGGCTGGCTGGTGCTGTGTGGCCACACTCTCATCTGCATATCTCTCTTCCTCTTCTCCCCCTTTCCCTTCTGCCTGTCCATCTCGTCCTGCCCTGCCTTTGTCCTCCCTGTCTCCTGTGCTTCTCTGGTGCACTGGGCCACATGGTCCCTCCCTTCTGCTTCTCCCTTCTCTGTGTCTGTCCACTCCACGGCTCTGTCTCACACCTGCCATCCACACACATTCTGTCTGTCTGTTCCTGGCCAGCAGCGGCCCCTGGACTGACTGCACACAAGCCTCCAGCAGCAGCTGCCCGGGAGGTGCTGGCCCGGCTGCATGAGGAGGCCCAGCTGCTGGCAGAGTTGTCTGACCAGGCCGCGGCCGTGACGTGGCTGAAGGACGGCCGTGAGCTGCCCTTGGGCCCCAAGTATGAGGCGCGGGCGTCGGCGGGGCGGCGCGTGCTGCTGGTGCGTGATGTGGTACGTGACGACGCCGGCCTCTATGAGTGCGTCAGCCCTGGGGCCCGCATCGCCTGCCAGCTGTCAGTGCAAGGTGAGGACCCCCGGGCCACAGCCTGGTCTTCAGCTCTGGGCCAGCACGGCGGGTGGGGTGGGGCAGTGGAGCAGGCGCTGCCCCACAGCAGGAAGGATTTCCTGTCCGTGGTCGCTGGTAGACAGGGGGTCCTTGTGCTCTGGACCCAGCAGACTGGGCTGGCCTCGTGCTGCTCAGGGCCTCGTGGCCGCCGTCGTCCCTCCTGTGAGCCTGGGCACCATCAGCCCCTGGCCACTGTGGCCCAGCCAGTGGCTCCCTGACCGGCCTCCTACCCCGCCCCTGCAGGCCTCACATCCTTTCTGCACAAGGACACAGCTGGTGGCCGTGTGGACGCTGTGGCTGGGGGCCAAGCCCAGTTCGAGTGTGAGACCTCGGAAGCCCACGTCCCCGTGCGCTGGTTCAAGGATGGCTTGGAGCTGGGGTGCTCCAGCCAGCGGGTCTCCCAGGAAGACATGGGCACACGGCACCGGCTGGTGCTGGCCTCAGTCACCAGGCAGGATGAGGGCACCTACTCCTGCCGCGTGGGTGGGGATGCCGTGGACTTCCAGCTCCGTGTTTCTGGTGCGTGCATGTGGCTGAGTGCTGGTGGCTGGGCCTGTGTGGGGTGGGGAGCAGGTCTGGCTGCCTCCAGCTCAGCGAGCTTGGGCTCTGGGGCCGTTTCCCTCGGTGAGTGATGGGCGGGCAGGTGCAGCTCCTTGGTTTCCTGGGGAGAGCGCACGTGGACTTGATACCACCTGGGCTCTGGGGGAATTCTCTGTGTCCACTCTAGGCTTTGCCTGCTGTGTCCTGTGGCCGGGGCCAGCTCACAGTCCCGAATGGGCTCTTGCTTTTGCGTGTCTGCAGCCCTTTGTGTCCTCTTAAGATGGGGTAGATGGGGCTGGAGGATCCTGGGCACATCTGAAGAGCAGGCTGAGAATCCAACGGATACCCTGGTCATTCTGGAAGCTTCCAGGGCTCAGAGACTTTGGCTGGCAACCCACCCAATGGGGACGTCCCGAGGGCGTGGTTGCTGGACCTCCATGGGCTGTCTTGCAAGCTGTCCACACCTTAGCAGGGGCACTGCTAGTCTCTGTGCTGGGCCAGTGGGTGCCGGGAACATGCCAAGAGCTTTGCTGCCACCCTGCAGAGGCAGCACGGGGGCACATTTTGCCAGGCCACGTCCGAGGTCAGGGGTGGGGTACAGGGTGAGGTGGGAAGAACAGCACTGATACCCAGGCCTGTGAGAGAAAACGGGAATGCTTGTGAAGCTGAGCTGCCGCCTCATTTTGGTCATCATGGCGGACATATGTCCCTTTGGAAGTGGACCCCATGACAGGCAGGGTTTTGGGGACAAGAGAAAGCTCTCTGGAGTCGTCAGGGTTGCCAGGCCACTGACACTTTGATGGTTGCTGAGCCTTCCTGGCGAGTGTCGGGGATCCCTGGGAAGGGGCGACCATAGGCCAGAAAAGCCACACCTGAGAATCCCTGTGGATTGTTTTGGGATGTTTGGGATCCAGACTCTTAACCAGGAGCCAGGACTGGCAAAACTGACTAGGGTGGGGTTTCTGACCCCGTGTGTCCTCCCCGTCTGTCCCCAGAGCCCAAGGTGGTGTTTGCCAAGGGGCAGCCGGCGCTCAGCCAGGTCCAGGCCGAGGCGGGGGCCAGCGCCACGCTGAGCTGCGAGGTGGCCCAGGCCCAGACGCAGGTGACGTGGTACAAGGACGGGAAGAAGCTGAGCTCGAGCTCGAAGGTGCGCGTGGAGGCCGCGGGCTGCACACGGCGGCTGGTGGTGCAGCAGGCGGGCCAGGCGGACGCCGGGGAGTACAGCTGCGAGGCCGGGGGCCAGCGGGTCTCCTTCCGCCTGGACGTCGCAGGTGGGCATGGGAGATATGGCCAGTCGACCGTCTGTGGGTGCTGGGGCTGTAGGGCAGGATGTGCAGTGACTGTGGGTGTGTCTAGCAGGGGCCAGGTCTGCCCATGTGTACTGACTGTCCCTGCTCCTCTGCACTCACGGTCATTCCCACGTCCAGCTGTCTTTCCTTGCTCTCTACCCAGTCCATCTTGACCCTAACCTGGGCATGGGAGGCCACACACAACGTGGCCATCCCTCACCGCACACTTTGCTGGGCGCTAGGCTCCATCCTGGGTGGCCCTTAAGTGGCCCCACTGGCACTGGGCTCTCTCCTGATTGGCCACCTGCTATACTCAGCTTTCTCCTGATTGGCCACCTTCTGTATTCAGCTCTCTCGTGATTGGCCACTTTCCGTACTCTGCTCTCCCCTGATTGGTCTTCACTGGCACTGGGCTTTCTCCAGGCTGGTCACACTGAGACTCAGCTCTCTACTGTTTGGCCTTGGCTGGCACTTAGTTCTCTCCTGATTGGCCAGCACTTGACACTCCGCTCCCTCCTTATTGGTCCACACTGGCTCTCCAAGACTGGCCACAGCCTGGCCTACTGAGTGGCCCATATTAGCCCGCAGCTCTCTCCTGATTGGCACACATTTCATTAGGTTCTGCCCTGATGGCTCTGCCTGGCACTGGGGTCTCTCCTGATTGGCTCACACTGATACTCTGCTGTCTCCTGAATGGCTGTACCTGGCAGTCAGCTCTCTCCTGATTGGGCCACGGTGGTGTCAGTTTTCGGGGCAGGGCTGCGCTATCTTGACTCTGCCCACTTCCCTGCTCTCTGTGGCCCCTGCATGGTGGGAGGCTGAGAGCAGACGGAGGCGTGGGAGCCCCGGGAGGACTGAGGCAGGGAAGGGTCCCGTCCCCAGAGCGCTGGACCTGGTTACTGTGGCCTTGTGGGCTGGGGCAGCATCTGTGGCAGCGAACCTCAAAGTTGACCTGGGGGCTTGGAGCTTGGAGCGTGGCTGCATCTCAGCTTCCGCATCCACCACTGCAGCCCACACAGCTGTGTTGAGCCTGGGGTGGGGCTCCGTGCCTCTCGGGCAGTGCTCCTTAGTCACGGGCAGTCCTGCTGTTGCAGGACAGTGAGGGAGATGTCTGTCATGTCTCACGTTGAAGCTTTTCCACGTGGACAGGACAGTGCGCAGAGCACTACGTACTGAAAGCAGGGAAGCTCCTGCCCCAGCCGTCAGGAGGGGACTCCAGAGGGGGAGTTGCTGGAGAAGCTTGCAAGTTCTGGCCCTTTTAGACACAAAGTGGCCGCTCTGATTGGCCTCTTTCTGAAAAGGGAGCACCGAGTTAGCCAATCGGGAGAGGAGCAGAATAGCAACCAATCAGGAGGCCAGAATAATAGCCAGTCAGAGGCAGGGCTAATGAGCAGCCAGGGAACTGATAAGTGTCTGCTAATGAGGCATGCTCCACGAACCAGTCAGGAAGCAGGTATTGGAGTTGTTTGGCACACAAAGCAGATGGACGACGTTGTATTCCATTGAGCGTGTCTGCCCTGTCCCGAGGCTCCCCTTGCCGCAGGGTGTCTAGAGAGCCACATCCTGTGTGTTTTCCTTTCCTTTCCTGGGGCCCTAAGTGTCCTCATCACTGCCTTGGCCGTTGCTGGGGTTGGAGTAACCACCAGGCCCTAGAGATGTGCAGGCCAGGTGTGGGCTCTGACCATGTGCTGCTGCCTCTTTCAGAGCCCAAGGTGGTGTTTGCCAAGGGGCAGCCGGCGCTCAGCCAGGTCCAGGCCGAGGCGGGGGCCAGCGCCACGCTGAGCTGCGAGGTGGCCCAGGCCCAGACGCAGGTGACGTGGTACAAGGACGGGAAGAAGCTGAGCTCGAGCTCGAAGGTGCGCGTGGAGGCCGCGGGCTGCACACGGCGGCTGGTGGTGCAGCAGGCGGGCCAGGCGGACGCCGGGGAGTACAGCTGCGAGGCCGGGGGCCAGCGGGTCTCCTTCCGCCTGGACGTCGCAGGTGGGTCCTGGGTGGTGGGACCTGTGCCGGGCTGGGACAGGGTCTATGCTGTCACCTTGTGGTGCCCCTTGCCTGGTCCAGGAGGGATGTTCTGCCTCCACGCCAGTGCTTTGTCAAACATCCGTGCATTTCGTAGTCCAGATCACGTTGCTCCTTGCTTTCTGGCTCCTCATGCGTATCTGATGGCACCAGATTTCCTGTCTCTGCTTAAGCATTTGTGCAGTGCTGCTGTGTGGTCAGCGTAGGGCACTGTGGTTTATGCTGAGTGCCCCACTCCTTGGCCTTGTGTTTTGCCAGCCAGGGTAGGTTGTCCTGTCCCCTCCCCAGCCCTGGCGGCAGGAGGTCTCCATCTCTTGCACCTCCAGGCTTGGACACCCTCCTCTAGGGATGCAAGCAGAGGAGGGACCAGGAATTCCTCACTTCCTGGGGAGCTCTGAGTGATCTTTGGTCTGTTCCTGCAGAGCAGAGCAGGACCCAGCCCCACGGAGGGTCCCCCAGAGAGCAGGGAAGGACCCAGCCCCAAGAGGGTCCCCAAGCAGAGGGACCCAGCCCCACGGAGGGTCCCCAGCAGAGCAGAGCAGGACCCAGCCCCACGGAGGGTCCCCAGCAGAGCAGAGCAGGACCCAGCCCCACGGAGGGTCCCCTGGCTGTGCCTTGTGCTCTGGGCCTGCTTCCTCCTTGTCTTCTCTGCACCCTCCTGAACTCTCCCGCCGCCTGGCACGCAGTCCACTGCTGGCCCGAGGAGACCCCCCACGATCTGTTGCCCCCCCGGTTTGGAGGTGCTGGCTGATCCCGGGGCCTGTGGCCCTGGGTGGCCATCTCTGGGAGCCATCTGCTCAGTCACTTGAGTCAGTGCGCCCCCTGCTGTCGGTCACGAGATCCAGGAGGCTTCCTGGGTGTGCAGCTGGAAACAGATGTGGTCTCTGAGCTTGGGCTCAGAGTGCCCGGGCGCCCCAGGAGCTGCTGGTCCCTGAGCTCCGGGGTGGGCGGGGCTCTGAGCTCTTCACTGTCCACACAGTCTCCTCACGCTGCCACCCAGGGCTGCAGCAGTTGCCAGGAGAGGCTCGGACTCGGGACCTGTTGTTTCCCTTGGTTAGTTTTGTTGGCTCTCACCTTTTGCTGGCTTCCCAGAAGGTGTGTGGCTCCCTCTTGGTGCCGGTGCCCAGAGGTGCCAGTGCTGTCACCGTTGGTATAAACAGTAAGCAACTGTTTTAGTAATGTGTTCATTGACTTATTTGGAAGACATGGAGAGAGAGCAGGAGAGGGAGAAAGAGGTGTTGCATCTGCTGGTTCACTCCCCAGATGCCTGCCACAGCTGGGGCGGGCCAGGTGAAGCCAGGAGCCAGGAGCTGCACGCAGGTCTCCCGTGTGGATGGGAGGCCGAGCAGCCGGTGCTCCGGCATGGGATGCTGGTGTTGGCAGCGGTGGCTCACTCCGCTGGGCCACAACCCGCCACTCAGCCTTTTTTTTTTTTTTGACAGGCAGAGTGGACAGTGAGAGACAGACAAAGAGAAAGGTCTTCCTTTTGCTGTTGGTTCACCCCCCAATGACTGCCGCGGCCGGCGCACCGCGCTGATCCGATGGCAGGAGCCAGGTACTTATCCTGGTCTCCCATGGGGTGCAGGGCCCAAGCACTTGGGCCATCCTCCACTGCACTCCCTGGCCACAGCAGAGAGCTGGCCTGGAAGAGGGGCACCCGGGACAAAATCCGGCGCACCGACCGGGACTAGAACCTGGTGTGCCAGCACCGCAAGGCGGAGGATTAGCCTAGTGAGCTGCGGCGCCGGCCTCAGCCTGTTCTTAATGATGGAGTTTGTGATGCTCACTCTTTGGACTTGGACCATCCTCCACTGCTGTCTCAGGACATAGCAGAGTGGTGGATGGAAAGTGGAGCAGCTGGGACTCCCTATGGGATGTAGGCACTGCAGGCGGCAGCTTTACCCAATTCACCACTGCGCCGAACCTGGTAGTTTTATTGTAAAGAGAAGTACAGCACTTGGATCCTGAACACCACTGTGTGTTGCCGATGGCGTTCAGATTCTTCCCTGTCTGATCTTGGGCCCCGTGTGCATCCCTCTACCTGCTCAAACCTCAGACTGCATGGAGGTGGCTGATCCCAGGGCTGCCTGAGTACACTAAGAGTTTCTGAGACGTGGAGCCTGACCGTGAGCATCCTTTGTCCCCAGAGCCCAAGGTGGTGTTTGCCAAGGGGCAGCCGGCGCTCAGCCAGGTCCAGGCCGAGGCGGGGGCCAGCGCCACGCTGAGCTGTGAGGTGGCCCAGGCCCAGACGCAGGTGACGTGGTACAAGGACGGGAAGAAGCTGAGCTCGAGCTCGAAGGTGCGCGTGGAGGCCGCGGGCTGCACACGGCGGCTGGTGGTGCAGCAGGCGGGCCAGGCGGACGCCGGGGAGTACAGCTGCGAGGCCGGGGGCCAGCGGGTCTCCTTCCGCCTGGACGTCGCAGGTGGGTGATCAGGCAGATGCTTGCCAGTGTATCTGGGACAGGCCTGGAGGTACTGTTCGCTTGTCGGTCTGTGCCATTCTCGCTGTCCTGTGAGGGCTGTGTGGTTGTCTGCTGTTTGGTAATGCAGAGTCCAGAGATGAACCGTGAATTCGAGCCCCCAGGCAGCGATTCGGGCCGGGTCAATGGGCAGGTCCGTCCTGGCCTCCCCGTGTCTTCAGCTTCTGTTTGCCCTGCACTGCCCATGTCTCACGCCTTCTCTTCTGTGGGGTGCTGTCCTCCATGCGGGCACTCTAGGCTAGCCTTCCTCCCACAGTTCAGAAGCTCCAGGGCTTGTTAGGCTCTGGCCGTGGGAGTCCCTGAAGGTTCTCTCTGTGTCTTGTGCCAAGCTGTGCCAAGGCCAGCCTAGCTCTGAGGGTGGTTCTAGGGCACGGAAGTACAGGGGTGTGTGGCATTTCTCTCAAGGAGCATATGGACGCCGGGAGGCCACTGCTGGAGGCCTCAGGCAGTCTTCACTGGGACGTGGACTCCCAGTTTGAGGTGTGCTGAGCACATTTGTTCTCCATGTGCTGTGTACTCATGTTCACAAGGTGGCATCCAGCGCTACACTGTGTTTAGACGTGAAGAACACGGAAGGGCTGTGTGCTATCGCACGTGTAGTAGCTCAGGAGTTGGAGCATGGAGGGCTGTGTGCTCACTGCTAGGGAAGAGGGATCACACGTGTAGTAGCTCAGGAGCGTGGAGGGCTGTGTGTGCTCACTGCTAGGGAAGAGGATCACACGTGTAGTAGATCAGCTGGAGGAGCTGGAGGGCTGTGTGTGCTCACTGCTAGGGAAGAGGATCACACGTGTTTAGCTCAGGAGGAGGAGCGTGGAGGGCTGTGTGTGCTCACTGCTAGGGAAGAGGGATCACACGTGTAGTAGATCAGGAGGAGGAGGGCTGTGTGTGCTCACTGCTAGGGAAGAGGATCACACGTGCAGTAGATGAGCAGGAGGAGCATGGAGGGCTGTGTGTGCTCACTGCTAGGGAAGAGGATCACACGTGTTTAGCTCAGGAGTTGGAGCGTGGAAGGCTGTGTGCTCACTGCTAGGGAAGAGGGATCACACGTGCAGTAGCTCAGGAGCGTGGAGGGCTGTGTGTGCTCACTGCTAGGGAAGAGGATCACACGTGTAGTAGCTCTCAGCTCTGGAAGGCAGGAGTGCTTGCATGGAGTGGCTCAGTCCTCTGTCCTGGGTGTAATGTTGAAGTGGTGGGGGATGCTGTTGGGATCTGCTGGCTTCTTCTTTGCAGCATATCAGGTTGTTGCAGAACTCAGTTCCGTGTGCTGGGGGCCGTGCTCTGTGGTCTCCTTGCTGCCTGTCAGCTGGGGGAGGAGAATGCTGTCGGCTCTGTGCTTGTGAGGTGAGGTGGGGCAGTGTTGCAGGAACTCTGCAGTTGCAGCCGCTCAGGCCTGTGGGTCATCCCCAAGAAGTGGGTCAGATTCTTCTTTCCAGTGGATGTTTCTTTATCTTCTTTTTTTTTAAGATTTATTTTATGAGGGGCAGAGTTACAGAAGAGTGTTTGTGGGTGGGAAGGAAAGAAAATCTTTGACCTGCTCGTTCACTCCGCGGATGGCTGCATGGCCAGAGCTGGGTCAGGCTGAAGCCAGGAGCCCAGAGTTTCCTCCAGGTTCTCCCACCTGGGCAGGGGCTCAAGCACGTCTGCCGGTTCTGCTGCTTCCTCAGGCGCATTAGCAGGAGCTGACTAGAGCTGGAGCAGGCGCCTGTGTGGGATGCTGGCGCCTCAGGCAGGAGCGGCTGTGCCATGCACTGCACCTTACTGGGTCCTTTAGAAACGGCAGCGCCACGACCCAGCTGTTGGGCTTGTACGAGAACTTCTGTTCACGGTGTGGTTCTTATCTCAGCCACAGGCAGCTGGTGTGGGGTGGGCCAGGACTTCCTAGCTCTGATTCTTACCGGTTTCCAAAGGATAAAGTTTGCCTTAGGGGTCAAAGTCCATGCTAATGAGGTAGTCTATGTGAACAAATCAGGGAGTAGGTAGAGCCAGGGACCAGTCAGCAGGGGCCTAAGATGGAGCCCATGTTACATGGGGAGGTTAGGTGTGCTCAGACAGGTCCACGGTGGGTGGGGCTGGTGAACAGCAGAAGCCAATCAGCATGGCCACGTGAGATGCTTATAGCTGCAGGAGGCTGTGGATCCATCACAGTGTGGAAGTTCTGGGCCACTCGGCTGGGTGCCTGGGCCCTTTGGGAACCCCACAGGCTGTCATCTATATCAGTGACAGCCGTCCCCTGTGTCTCTGTCTGTGAGGTGGGGTGATGGTGACAGCCGTCCCCTGTGTCTCTGTCCTCTGTGAGGTGGGGTGATGGTGACAGCCGTCCCCTGTGTCTCTGTCCTCTGTGAGGTGGGGTGATGGTGACAGCCGTCCCCTGTGTCTCTATCTGTGAGGTGGGGTGATGGTGACAGCCGTCCCCTGTGTCTCTGTCCTCTGTGAGGTGGGGTGATGTTGACAGCCGTCCCCTGTGTCTCTGTCCTCTGTGAGGTGGGGTGATGGTGACAGCTGTCCCCTGTGTCTCTGTCTCTGTGAGGTGGGGTGATGTTGACAGCTGTCCCCTGTGTCTCTGTCCTCTGTGAGGTGGGGGTGATGGTGACAGCCGTCCCCTGTGTCTCTGTCCTCATCAGAAAGGTGGGGGTGATGGTGACAGCCGTCCCCTGTGTCTCTGTCCTCTGTGAGGTGGGGTGATGGTGACAGCCGTCCCCTGTGTCTCTGTCCTCTGTGAGGTGGGGTGATGGTGACAGCCATCCCCTGTGTCTCTGTCCTCTGTGAGGTGGGGTGATGGTGACAGCCGTCCCCTGTGTCTCTGTCCTCATCAGAAAGGTGGGGGTGATGGTGACAGCCATCCCCTGTGTCTCTGTCCTCTGTGAGGTGGGGTGATGGTGACAGCCGTCCCCTGTGTCTCTGTCCTCATCAGAAAGGTGGGGTGATGGTGACAGCCGTCCCCTGTGTCTCTGTCCTCTGTGAGGTGGGGTGATGGTGACAGCCGTCCCCTGTGTCTCTGTCCTCTGTGAGGTGGGGTGATGTTGACATCCGTCCCCTGTGTCTCTGTCCTCAGTGAGTGGGGTGATGGTGACAGCCGTCCCCTGTGTCTCTGTCCTCGTCTGTCAGATAGAGGTGATGTTGACAGCTGTTCCCGTGTGCCTGTTCTCTGTGAGCCATGGGAGCTGTAGTATCAGTGGGCCTCTCCCAGATCCTCCTTTTGAGTTGGGGTAATAATATTGCTCAGGCCTGTATCAGCAAATTGTCTCTTAGTTCTCTGTGATTAAATGAACAGCGTTTGTGTTTCCTGTGGTGAGTGAGTGGCAGCTGTTACTAGAACCATGGGAGCCCACATGCCGTGTCGGTGCCTGGGTTCAGTCCTAGCTGCAGCTGCTGATCTCAGCTTCCTGTGGTGCAGTCTCCGCTGGTGGCTCAAGTGCTCGGTGAGGACTCGAGGTCAGGGTCACACACGCGTTAGGGGCCTGAGGGCAATGGAGACCCACGGGGACTTTGTAAACCAGGAAAGTCAGATCCTCTGAACCACCCAACCCAAGCCTTATGCATCTTCTAAGTGTGAACGCTCTGTGTTGAGAAATCATGGACAGGCTGGCTTGGGGATAAGACACCAGTTTTGGGGGCAAGAAGGTGAACCCCCAATGAACTATCTCTGTCTGACCCCGTGTGTCCTCCCCATCTGTCCCCAGAGTCCAAGGTGGTGTTTGCCAAGGAGCAGCCGGCGCTCAGCCAGGTCCAGGCCGAGGCGGGGGCCAGCGCCACGCTGAGCTGTGAGGTGGCCCAGGCCCAGACGCAGGTGACGTGGTACAAGGACGGGAAGAAGCTGAGCTCGAGCTCGAAGGTGCGCGTGGAGGCCGCGGGCTGCACACGGCGGCTGGTGGTGCAGCAGGCGGGCCAGGCGGACGCCGGGGAGTACAGCTGCGAGGCCGGGGGCCAGCGGGTCTCCTTCCGCCTGGACGTCCCAGGTGGGTATGGGGTGGTGGGACCTTAGGGGAGTGGCTGTTGGGTGTGAAACAACACACTTGGGCAGCAGGAGGTGCTGTGAGGCCTCGGTGTCCTCCCTTTCTGGGAGCCTCATATCCTGTGACCCCAGCTCTGCCCACGGGCTCCCAGGCCGGTGCTGTCACATCTGGAGACCAGAGCAGGCCCATGCACTGAGCCGACCTTCCAGTGGCTGACGTGGGGTGGTGATACAGTGGGTGACACTGGCAGATGTGTGTGGGTGATATGGCCTGATGACTGTCAGTGGGTGCTGGGATGTGCAGTGACTGTGGGTCTGTCTAGCAGGGGCCAGGTCTGCCCATGTGTACTGACTGTCCCTGTGTCTCTGCAGCCATGGTCATTCCCACGTCCAGCTGTCCTTTCTTCCTTTCCACCCAATCCATCTTTTGTCCCTAACCTGGGCACGGGAGGCCACACACAGCATGGCCACCCCTCACTTCACACCTTGCCTGGCACTGGGCTCTCTCCTGAGTGGCCCCTCTGGCACTGGACTCTCCGAATTGGCCAGCACTGATGTTCTGCCCTCTTTCGATTGGCTCATACCTGGCACTTAGTTCTCTCCTGATTGGCCAGCACTTGACACTCTGCTCCCTCCTTATTGGTCCACACTGGCTCTCCAAGACTGGCCACAGCCTGGCCTACTGAGTGGCCCATATTAGCCCGCAGCTCTCTCCTGATTGGCACACATTTCATTAGGTTCTGTCCTGATGGCTCTGCCTGGCACTGGGGTCTCTCCTGATTGGCTCACACTGATACTCTGCTGTCTCCTGAATGGCTGTACCTGGCAGTCAGCTCTCTCCTGATTGGGCCACGGTGGTGTCAGTTCTCGGGGCAGGGCTGCGCTATCTTGACTCTGCCCACTTCCCTGCTCTCTGTGGCCCCTGCATGGTGGGAGGCTGAGGGCAGACGAGTCATGGGAGCCCCGGGAGGACTGAGGCAGGGAAGGGTCCCGTCCCCAGAGCGCTGGACCTGGTTGCTGTGGCCTTGTGGGCTGGGGCAGCATCTGTGGCAGCGAACCTCAAAGTTGACCTGGGGGCTTAGAGCTTGGAGCGTGGCTGCATCTCAGCTTCCGCATCCACCACTGCAGCCCACACAGCTGTGTTGAGCCTGGGGTGGGGCTCCGTGCCTCTCGGGCAGTGCTCCTTAGTCACGGGCAGTCCTGCTGTTGCAGGACAGTGAGGGAGATGTCTGTCATGTCTCACGTTGAAGCTTTTCCACGTGGACAGGACAGTGCGCAGAGCACTACGTACTGAAAGCAGGGAAGCTCCTGCCCCAGCCGTCAGGAGGGGACTCCAGAGGGGGAGTTGCTGGAGAAGCTTGCAAGTTCTGGCCCTTTTAGACACAAAGTGGCCGCTCTGATTGGCCTCTTTCTGAAAAGGGAGCACCGAGTTAGCCAATCGGGAGAGGGGCAGAATAGCAACCAATCAGGAGGCCAGAATAATAGCCAGTCAGAGGCAGGGCTAATGAGCAGCCAGGGAACTGATAAGTGTCTGCTAATGAGGCATGCTCCACGAACCAGTCAGGAAGCAGGTATTGGAGTTGTTTGGCACACAAAGCAGATGGACGACGTTGTATTCCATTGAGTGTGTCTGCCCTGTCCCGAGGCTCCCCTTGCCGCAGGGTGTCTAGAGAGCCACATCCTGTGTGTTTTCCTTTCCTTTCCTGGGGCCCTAAGTGTCCCCATCACTGCCTTGGCCGTTGCTGGGGTTGGAGTAACCACCAGGCCCTAGAGATGTGCAGGCCAGGTGTGGGCTCTGACCATGTGCTGCTGCCTCTTTCAGAGCCCAAGGTGGTGTTTGCCAAGGGGCAGCCGGCGCTCAGCCAGGTCCAGGCCGAGGCGGGGGCCAGCGCCACGCTGAGCTGCGAGGTGGCCCAGGCCCAGACGCAGGTGACGTGGTACAAGGACGGGAAGAAGCTGAGCTCGAGCTCGAAGGTGCGCGTGGAGGCCGCGGGCTGCACACGGCAGCTGGTGGTGCAGCAGGCGGGCCAGGCGGACGCCGGGGAGTACAGCTGCGAGGCCGGGGGCCAGCGGGTCTCCTTCCGCCTGGATGTTGCAGGTGGGTTCTTGGGGACAGCAGCTGTCTTGTGGGGTAAAGATGGACGAAGCAGCCTGTGTGGACCCTGTGCCCTCCTGAGACTGTGCCTCAAGCTCTCATCCCCACCTGTGGGGTCGGGGTCGTGGTGCAGCGGGGAAGGACCAGGAGGGCTGACTGGGAAGGGAAGGGCTTCCCCGTGGAGACTTCTGTCACATGCTGCAGCAGTTGGACCTCCCTGTGGTCCTGGTGCTGGCCTGTGTCTAGCAGGGCCTTGGCTGGGAGGAAGCCCACATAGCTGTGGGAGGTGTGCACCCTCGTGCCTGGAGTCTGGGTGCTCCTGCACTCACACCCCAGCAAGACACAAGGGTGCTTGCATTGCACCGTCCTGAGTGAGAGTCTGGCATTTCCAGTGAGGGTGGCTGCACCTGCTCCCAACCTCAGCCCTCCCTGGCGCAGGTGCACAAGGACACCGTCTGCCCCAGCCTGGAGCAGCCATGTTCAGCGGTGGGGTGTCCACAGGTGTGGTGCTTGTGCTCAGAGCCCCAGGGCTGCTGCAGGCCACATGGCGCAGGCAGGGCCTGGGAGGGCCTGAGCCCCAGCCTTTCTCTGGGCCCCATTTGTGTAGGGCTGCCTTCCTGACCTGCACGGTGTCTGACCCCGTGTGTCCTCCCCGTCTGTCCCCAGAGCCCAAAGTGGTGTTTGCCAAGGGGCAGCCGGCGCTCAGCCAGGTCCAGGCCGAGGCGGGGGCCAGCGCCACGCTGAGCTGCGAGGTGGCCCAGGCCCAGACGCAGGTGACGTGGTACAAGGACGGGAAGAAGCTGAGCTCGAGCTCGAAGGTGCGCGTGGAGGCCGCGGGCTGCACACGGCGGCTGGTGGTGCAGCAGGCGGGCCAGGCGGACGCCGGGGAGTACAGCTGCGAGGCCGGGGGCCAGCGGGTCTCCTTCCGCCTGGACATCCCAGGTGCGTTCTTGTGCTCTACCCTGGTTCCCTAGCATCACTACTGGGAGGTTGCTGGGGAAGTTGTCCAGCTCTGTCCCCTGTGAGGAGGTGTCTCACGTAGATGCAGGTTTCTCTGCCTCCGAGTTGCTTGGTGGCTGCTCAGCTGGTTCAGGGGAGAACCACATAGCAGAGGTGTGAGATAAAAGGGCCGTGATTTGGGCTTCAACAGCCATGGCGTGGCCCAGGTCAGGCTCGGGCTTGGCTAACCACTGGCTCCCTGCAGAACTCGTTCCTGGAGACCACAGTGCTGCTGGGGCAGGACCCATTGTCCTGCAAGTCAAGCAGCTCCCACATTGCCGCCAGAACCAGGCCTCTGCCATGTGAACCCTGGGACAAACCATTTCCAGCCCACTGTGGCGAGTTGGGGTGTGTGCAGCTTCCACGTAACAGCTTGTTTAAAAGTATTTTTTTTTTTTTTTTCATTTTCTTTGGAAGACAGAACTTCCATCTGACGGGTCATTCCTCAGATGCCTTCAATAGCTGGGGTTGGGGCAGACTGAAGCTGTGAGCCCAGAACCCAGTGCAAGTCTCCCCGTGGGTGGTGGAGACCCAAGTACTTGAGCCGTTAGCTGCTGCCTCCCAGGGTGCACGTTAGCCATTGGCTGAGATGTGAAGCTGGTGGCATATGTGGGGTGCAGTCTCCCCGTCCATGTCTTAACTCTGGGCCACACACCCACGTCCCCGCCCTCCTGCCGTTTACTTGTTAGTTATCTGGCCACCGTTTCTGGCTTTTCTGTCTTTGGTAATGGCGCCTGTCGGCTGTTGGTTTCCTTGGAGGAGCCGAGTGTCGTTCCTGCATTTCCCAGTCTGGTGGCGTTGCAGAGCCCTCGCCCCGCAGGCCGTGTCTCTCGCTGCTGTCTGTGCCTCTGCCCCTCACCCTGCTTCCGTAGCTGCATCTGGGCGCTTCCCTTCCACTGCCTCTGGTCCTTTCCTGCTCTCTCACCCCAGCCCCTGCCGTCCGTCTCACAGGAGATGCCTGCCACTCACCATACTTTCAAGTTTTGTCATTTCTGTCTTGATTCACTTTTTGAGATTTATTTATTTATTTGAGAGGCAGAGACAGAGAAAGAGAGGCAGAGACAGAGAAAGAGGTCTTCCATCTGCTAGTTCACTTCCCAAATGGCTGCAATGGCCGGAGTTGCACTGATCTGAAGCCAGGAGCCAGGAGCTTCTTCCAGGTCTCCCACGCAGGTGCAGGGGCCCAAGGACTTGGGCCATCTTCTGCTGCTTTCCCAGATCATAGCAGAGAGCTGGGTCAGAACTGGAGCAGCCAGGACTCGAACCAGTGCCCATATGGGATGCCAGGGCTGCAGGCGAAAGATTAACCTACTGCACCACAGTGACCCTCCCTCTCCCTCTCCCTCTCCCTCTCCCTCTCCCTCTCCCTCTCCCTCTCCCTCTCCCTCTCCCTCTCCCTCTCCCCCCACCCATCTTTCTTATTTACTGAAAGGCAGAGTTGTAGAGAGGCACAGAGAGAAAGGTCTTCCATTCACTGGTTCACTCCCCAAATGGCCGCAACGGCCGGAGCTGGGCCAGTCTGGAGCCAGGAGTCTCTTCTGGGTCTCCCATGTGGGTGTAGGGCCCAAGTACTTGGGTCATCTTCTGCTTTCCCAGGCTATAGCAGGGAGCTGGATCAGAACCGGAGCAGCCAGGACTCACGCTAGCACTCATATGGGCTGCCGGGGCTGCGGGAAGAGGCTTCACCTGCTACGCCACCGCACCGACCCCTTGATTCATTTTTATAGGTTCCCAAGGCCACAGTCATTCTAAGAATGGACTCACTTTCTTCCTTTTACGTCCTGGGGTGTTCATTCTGGCTGTGCCCTGGTGTGATGCCATGAGAAGTGGGTCCTGACCTGGCCTTGTTTTTGTTTTCTAATTTCGCAGCCGTCTGTGGAACGTCAGCAGCTTTGCGTGGCAGCAGGCCCTGCATGGGGAAAGCTGTTGACAGGGCTGGTGAGAGCGTCACAGAGGGGCACTCTGTGCCCTGCTGGGTGGGCGCAGTCTGGTCAGGGGCCTCGTCTGCTCAGGTGCCCGCAGAGACTGGAGTGTGAGTCGATGCCCCCACCTGACCCCCCACTGGCATCCTGCACTGAGCTGTCAGCCCTGGAGGTTCCCAGGCTTCAGGGTGGCGGAGCTGTAGGTGGGGCCGTGGAGGGTGGTGCCCGGTGGGCCACCCTCTGGTGTGGATGGCTGCTGCTTCCTGGTGGGTGTGTGTGAGTGTGTGTGTGTGAGTATGTGATGTCTCGGGGGTCTGGGGGAACTCTGTGACCGACTGCCCGAGGTGAGAGTGAGTGACGCCGTGTCACTGCATTTCTTGGGGCTCAGGTTCCAGTGTGTTTATTGGAGCATTTTACAGACAGCAAGATTTTCAGCGATGCCTGTCAGTCACCCCCTAAGTCTAATCTGATCAATCTTTTAATTTAAAAAACAACTTTGGCAAATTCTGAAATAGAAGATGAGGGCATCTCAGGGAAGCAGAAGTCAGGAGAGACACAGGAGCCAGAGCCGTCAACGGGGCTGGGCTGAGCTGGGTGAGCCGTGTGCCATGTAGGCAGGGTGGTGTCTTGGAGCCCCTGGCAGCCCTGGCTCCTGCAGGGTCGCTCGTCCCAGGGCAGGGACCACCTGGTTGAGAGGACAACTGTGGTGTCACGCCCCAGGGAACTGGCTGCAGCACTCTGCTCAGCAAAGGAGGCCTCGGACAGTGCGCCGGTCAGTCCCCTGGCACCAGACGGGGCGGGAAAGGTGTCGCCAGGCGGTTTCTCCTGGTGGGCACTGCACACTAAGACCCACAGTCTGAGCTCCAGTCTCCCCCTGATGGTGGAGGCCGGAACCGTGGCCGCTTGCTCAGGACCAGCCATGGGGGCTGGGTGCTGCTCTGGGAATGGGCGCAGCCTCCTCAGGGGCACTGGCCTGCGTAGGTGAACGGGCACTTTTCCAGCAGACCCCACCTTCGTCTGTTTGCTGATGGCGATGACCACAAATCGAGAGAGTGACCAGGAAGGGAGAGCATTGTGGCCCAAGGTTGTGCTCTTGGGGACAATCTCGTCCCATAGTGACGGTCTGAGCGTGCACGCGTGTGTGTGAGTGGGCTGCGTGTGCATGTGTGTGCGTGTGTGTGATGCTGCGCGTGCATGCCTTTGTGTGCCATCATCACCCTCCTTATATAAAACCACCTGGTGTGTGATGCGGAGCCTCACCCTGACCTCAGAGACCATGATCACGCCAGAGACAAATTTCTACCATGGGGCCTGGATGTGAGTACAGGGTAGGGGCAGACGTGGGGCCTGGATGTGAGTGCAGGGTAGGGCAGACGTGGGGCCTGGACGTGAGTGCCGGGTGTTGGGGGGCAGACGTGGGGCCTGGATGTGAGTGCAGAGTAGGGGCAGACGTGGGGCCTGGACGTGAGTGCAGGGTATTAGGGAGACGTGGGGCCTGGACGTGAGTGCAGGGTGTTAGGGAGACGTGGGGCCTGGACGTGAGTGCAGGATGTTGGGGAGACGTGGGGCCTGGATGTGAGTGCAGGGTGTTGGGGAGACGTGGGGCCTGGACGTGAGTGCAGGGTGTTGGGGAGACGTGGGGCCTGGACGTGAGTGCAGGGTGTTGGGGGGCAGACTTGGGGCCTGGACGTGAGTGCAGGGTGTTGGGGGGCAGACTTGGGGCCTGGACGTGAGTGCAGGGTGTTGGGGGGCAGACTTGGGGCCTGGACGTGAGTGCAGGGTGTTGGGGGACAGACTTGGGGCCTGGACGTGAGTGCAGGGTGTTGGGGGGCAGACGTGGGGCCTGGATGTGAGTGCAGGGTGTTGGGGAGACGTGAGGCCTGGATGTGAGTGCAGGGTGTTGGGGAGACGTGGGGCCTGGATGTGAGTGCAGGGTGTTGGGGAGACGTGGAGTTTGGATGTGAGTGCAGAGTGTTGGGGGGCAGACGTGGGGCCTGGATGTGAGTGCAGGGTAGGGGCAGACGTGGGGCCTGGATGTGAGTGCAGGGTAGGGGCAGACGTGGGGCCTGGACGTGAGTGCAGGGTAGGGGCAGACGTGGGGCCTGGATGTGAGTGCAGGGTGTTGGGGGGCAGACGTGGAGTTTGGATGTGAGTGCAGAGTGTTGGGCAGACGTGGGGCCTGGATGTGAGTGCAGGGTGTTGGGCAGACGTGGGGCCTGGATGTGAGTGCAGGGTCTCCCAGGGAAGCCACACCCTTTGCCCTGCTGCGTCACACTGCACCTCCCAGAGGCTCTGACTGCCAAGACAAGCGACCTGCAGGTCAGATGCCAGCAGTGACAGCTGGTTTCTTTCAGCCTTCATTTGCTCTTGTCCCATGACATCCCTGCATCATGCCCCTGGGTCTCCAAGACAGGACACACGTGTGTAAACATGAAAAGACATGCGTGTGTGAGCCTGAAATGTCCTCCCACAAGACCCTTGGTGTCCCTGGCCTCAGGGAGAAAATGCCCAAGCTTGGTCCCTGTGAAATTTCAGTGCCTGCGCAACGTCTGACCCCGTGTGTCCTCCCCGTCTGTCCCCAGAGTCCAAGGTGGTGTTTGCCAAGGGGCAGCCGGCGCTCAGCCAGGTCCAGGCCGAGGCGGGGGCCAGCGCCACGCTGAGCTGCGAGGTGGCCCAGGCCCAGACGCAGGTGACGTGGTACAAGGACGGGAAGAAGCTGAGCTCGAGCTCGAAGGTGCGCGTGGAGGCCGCGGGCTGCACACGGCGGCTGGTGGTGCAGCAGGCGGGCCAGGCGGACGCCGGGGAGTACAGCTGCGAGGCCGGGGGCCAGCGGGTCTCCTTCCGCCTGGATGTTGCAGGTGGGTTCTTGGGGACAGCAGCTGTCTTGTGGGGTAAAGATGGACGAAGCAGCCTGTGTGGACCCTGTGCCCTCCTGAGACTGTGCCTCAAGCTCTCATCCCCACCTGTGGGGTCGGGGTCGTGGTGCAGTGGGGAAGGACCAGGAGGGCTGACTGGGAAGGGAAGGGCTTCCCCGTGGAGACTTCTGTCACATGCTGCAGCAGTTGGACCTCCCTGTGGTCCTGGTGCTGGCCTGTGTCTAGCAGGGCCTTGGCTGGGAGGAAGCCCACATAGCTGTGGGAGGTGTGCACCCTCGTGCCTGGAGTCTGGGTGCTCCTGCACTCACACCCCAGCAAGACACAAGGGTGCTTGCATTGCACCGTCCCGAGTGAGAGTCTGGCATTTCCAGTGAGGGTGGCTGCACCTGCTCCCGACCTCAGCCCTCCCTGGCGCAGGTGCACAAGGACACCGTCTGCCCCAGCCTGGAGCAGCCATGTTCAGCGGTGGGGTGTCCACAGGTGTGGTGCTTGTGCTCAGAGCCCCAGGGCTGCTGCAGGCCACATGGCGCAGGCAGGGCCTGGGAGGGCCTGAGCCCCAGCCTCACTCCGGGCCCCATTTGTGTAGGGCTGCCTTCCTGACCTGCACGGTGTCTGACCCCGTGTGTCCTCCCCGTCTGTCCCCAGAGCCCAAGGTGGTGTTTGCCAAGGGGCAGCCGGCGCTCAGCCAGGTCCAGGCCGAGGCGGGGGCCAGCGCCACGCTGAGCTGCGAGGTGGCCCAGGCCCAGACGCAGGTGACGTGGTACAAGGACGGGAAGAAGCTGAGCTCGAGCTCGAAGGTGCGCGTGGAGGCCGCGGGCTGCACACGGCGGCTGGTGGTGCAGCAGGCGGGCCAGGCGGACGCCGGGGAGTACAGCTGCGAGGCTGGGGGCCAGCGGGTCTCCTTCCGCCTGGACGTCGCAGGTGGGTGCTAAGCTGCTAAGCTGGGTGGCATGGTGGTGGGACCGGCCAGAGCTTTGTCACTTGCTGTCGCTCTTAAGTTTCCCATCCTTGCTTCTCCAGTGTCTTGCCTGTGGTTGGGCACAGGAAGCTGGAAGGGAAATGTGTGAAGTTGGGTAGAGGGGCTGAGTGTGTGACCCTGCATACGTCCCACGGGTACCCGACAGCCGCACGTCCCGGGTCTCCTGGTCCCGAGAGCCTGCCTGCTCTCCCGTGGCGTTGGCCGCTCTGGCTGGGCCTTCTCCTCTGGCTTTGGGCTGACCAGGTGTCTCACCCTGGCACACGTGCGCACCTCCAGTTCCTGAGGCGGCGTCAGAAAGTTTGTGGAAGCATGGATGAGAAAGAAGCAGATTGCCCAGGAACCGCTAGCAGCGCCCCAGTGGGTTCTGCTGCCAGCTTCCCCCAGCAGACACCGGTCAGTGTGAGGCCGGCGTCCTGGCGCTGTCTTGTCAGTGTGAGCCCAGCGTTCAGGCGCCATGTGGTCAGTGTGAGGCTGGCGCCCAGGCGCCGTCTGGTCAGTGTGAGCCCAGCATTCAGGCGCCATGTGGTCAGTGTGAGGCTGGCGTCCAGGCACCATCTGGTCAGTGTGAGCCCGGCGTCCAGGCGCCGTCTGGTCAGTGTGAGCCCGGCGTCCAGGCGCCGTCTGGTCAGTGTGTGGCCGGCGTCCAGGCGCCGTCTGGTCAGTGTGAGCCCGGCGTCCAGGCGCTATGTGGTCAGTGTGAGGCTGGCGTCCAGGCGCCGTCTGGTCAGTATGTGGCCGGCGTCCAGGTGCCGTCTGGTCAGTGTGAGGCCAGCGTCCAGGCGCCGTCTGGTCAGTGTGAGCCCGGCGTCCAGGCGCCGTCTGGTCAGTGTGAGCCCGGCGTCCAGGCGCCGTCTGGTCAGTGTGAGCCCGGCGTCCAGGCGCCGTCTGGTCAGTGTGAGGCCGGCGTCCAGGCGCCGTCTGGTCAGTGTGAGGCCAGAGTCCAGGCGCCGTCTGGTCAGTGTGAGCTTCGGTGTCCAGGCGCCATCTGCTCAGTGTGAGCCCGGTGTCCAGGCGCCGTCTGGTCAGTGTGAGGCCGGTGTCCAGGTGCCGTCTGGTTAGTGTGAGCCCAGTGTCCAGGTGCCGTCTGGTCAGTGTGAGCCCGGCGTCCAGGCGCCGTCTGGTCAGTGTGAGCCCGGCGTCCAGGCGCCGTCTGGTCAGTGTGAGGCCGGCGTCCAGGCGCTGTCTGGTCAGTGTGAGGCCAGAGTCCAGGCGCCGTCTGGTCAGTGTGAGCTTCGGTGTACTGGCGCCATCTGCTCAGTGTGAGCCCGGTGTCCAGGCGCCGTCTGGTCAGTGTGAGCCTAGTGTCCAGGTGCCATCTGGTCAGTGTGAGGCCGGCGTCCAGGCGCTGTCTGGTCAGTGTGAGGCCAGAGTCCAGGCGCCGTCTGGTCAGTGTGAGGCCAGAGTCCAGGCGCCGTCTGGTCAGTGTGAGGCCAGAGTCCAGGCGCTGTCTGGTCAGTGTGAGGCCGGCGTCCAGGTGCCGTCTGGTCAGTGCAAGCTTGCTCAACGCCCTCAGCCCCCTTCCGGTCAGTGCAAGCTCAGTCTCCTCAACCTGGTCGGGGTTCGGGAGCCCAGTTGTGCGTGGAGCTCTCTGAGCAGGAGTCTGGGACATTCTTCCTCCTCAGTGGGTGTGGCTCTCCGTGACCGCCAGGCAGCAGGTGCAGCCCCCAGTTCTGTTTGGATGGCTGCATGAGGCAGAGGGACTAGGGGCCTGGCAGGTGCCTGCCTGTGGCCTTTAGAGTTGTGGTTTTAAAGCAGATATGATTTTGCTTTTGTGTTCCGTTTGGTGCTGCATGTCACAGTTCCTCTGGAGTTGGGTTAGAAAGTTTAGGGGTGGAGGAGGAAGCTTCTGCCATGTGGTCTGCTGCATTCAAAAGCAGCAGCACAGGGAGGAAAGTGCATCTGGCTCCATGGCACGTCCTGGTGGCCAATGCATGTAGCTCTGTGGTGTGTTCCAGTGGCCAGTGCGTGTGGCTCCATGGAATGCCCCAGTGGCTAGTATATGTGTGGCTCTGTGGAATGCCCCAGTGGCTAGTGCGTGTGGCTGTGTTGTGGCCCAGTGGCCAGTGTGTGTGGCTCTGTGGAATGCCTCAGTGGCTAGTGTGTGTGTGGCTCCATGGCATGTCCTGGTGACCAGTGCCCCCATAGCAGTTTGCAGTTGGGTCACAGGTACTGGGCCATGGGTGTCTAGACTGTGAAAATCCCACCCTGTCTCTGTGAAATATTTTGAGAGAATGCAACAAAATACTTTGTGCTGATGAATTTGAGAAACTGTGACAATTTGGCCAATTCCTAGTAAATTGTACAAAAGCTGAGGTAGGGCATGGGAACCTTAAGTCTTCCTGTATCCTGTAAGTGGACGATCCCCATAGTCAACAGCAGTCTGCTATGTGGGCCAGATGCCCTGGAAAACAGTGGTTCCGTGTCCTTGGGGATTCTTCTAGAGGACAAAAGGCAGGCATGGCACACGAATCACTGAGTGCTGACAGGAAGCAGAAGGATGTAAATCAAGGTGCACAGATGATGGGCAGTGAGGGCAAAGTCAGGGAATACCAGCGGCCTGTGTTCCCCCATGCCTGGGGGTTAGTGCTGTGCCTGGGCTGCTGTCCGGGTTGCAAGACCAGTCAGTGTGATAAAGGCTCGTGCTGCTTCCTGCCAGGGGCTCTTCCTCCGTGTGATGAACAGTGCAGAGTCACAGGTGGACACTGGACACAGGGGAGGGACCTGGGAAGCCCTGAGTGGGGAAGAACAGCAGACGTTGTGAGGAGGGTGGCAGAGGCCAGGAGAGGTGGACTTGGCCTTGCAGGTGGTGGGGAGTGAGTGTTGGACTGCGTGTTGCTGTGGGCAAGGCTAGCATGGGGCCGGCTGATAAGCAGAAGTTTCTTGGATAGGAGGGGCGTGGCCAGGTTTCTGAAGTTGTGTTCGCTTATTAGAGAGATGGAGAAGGATAGAAAGAAGGGGCTGAGGGGGAGGGCACGTGAGCTAACCGCCCCTCCCCATCCAGTGGTCTACTCCCCAAGTGCCTGTATTATTGACCAGTGCTGGAGCCAGGAATCAGGAACTCGATATAGGTGTCCCATGTGAGTGGCAGGAACCCAATTGCTTGAACCATCACCTGCTGCGGCCGGGGTGCACCCTGAAGGAATCTGGAGCCTGGAGGAGGAACTGGGTCTCAAACCCAGGGAGCTGAGTGGACTGTGAGCATCTTAACAACTCAGCCAAAGGCCAGCCTCAGAAGATGAAATGCAGCAAGCTTCCCAGTAGCTAGCGCCAAGATGATCACTTCTGACTCCAAGTGTAAAAGAGGTCTGAGCCTGGAGGGAGGGCTTCCTGTATGTTGTGAGACAATTCAAAAATCTGCACAACAGCCTTTGATGGAAGCAGGTTCCAAAGGCAGCACAGAGCAAGCATGAACCCTGCAGCCCCATCGTGAAGACACAGTGACAAGGATGGGGTCTCAGTGTGGGACATGAAGACCCCTGTTACCATGGGGACACAGGGACAGGGACAGGGTCTCCGTGTGGGAGGTGCAGACCCCTGTTACCATGGAGACACAGGGACAGGGTCTCAGTGTGGGAGGTGCAGACCCCTGTTACCATGGAGACACAGATGAGGATGGCGTCTCAGTGTGGGAGGTGCAGACCCCTGTTACCATGGAGACACAGGGACAGGAACAGGGTCTCAGTGTGGGAGGTGCAGACCCCTGTCACCATGGAAACACAGGGATAGGACCAGGGTCTCCGTGTGGGAGGTGCAGACCCCTGTCACCATGGAGATGTGATGACAACAGGGTCTTGGTGTGGGAGATTCTGAGATATAGGAGGGGATGGTGGGCCTAGACACACACCTGTGCATGTGTACAAGTTACCACCTTTTTCTCCTTTTGCTCTTCTCCTGGCGTCTAAGCAAGAAGTAGAAAAGGATGGGGTTTTCAGGGGCAGTCTGTGGACACGAGGACACTGGGCTTGTGTCACAGAGGACATCCATGGGCAAAGAAAAACCCAGGAGGCACACAGGGATGAACACAACACAAAAATTGAGACTCACCATGCTGTGGTGGACAGAACACTAGGCTCCCCGAGGCACGGCACGTGGCCAGTGCCCTCAGGAAAGCGGGAAAGGAATGTCTGTGCATGAGAGGACTCACACGGGCCTAAGAGGAAGCCGCGCAGCGAAGGGAATCCAAGAACACAACACGCAGGGACAGGGAAGGACAAAGAGCTTAGACGGGGAAAGGACACCAAGTCCGGTCATGGAAAAGACGTGCATGCTGAGATGGCAGGGGAGCAGGTGCCCAGCGAGACTCAGCAGGGGCAACATGCAGATCAGATGGGCACTAGGAAGCCAAACAGGCACTGACTGGGTAAGCTGGCTGTCCCAATGAGAGTCTGGCATTGCCAGTGAGGGCAGCTGCACCTGCTCCCAACCTCAGCCCTCCCTGGCGCAGGTGCACAAGGACACCGTCTGCCCCAGCCTGGAGCAGCCATGTTCAGCGGTGGGGTGTCCACAGGTGTGGTGCTTGTGCTCAGAGCCCCAGGGCTGCTGCAGGCCACACGGCGCAGGCAGGGCCTGGGAGGGCCTGAGCCCCAGCCTCACTCCGGGCCCCATTTGTGTAGGGCTGCCTTCCTGACCTGCACAGTGTCTGACCCCGTGTGTCCTCCCCGTCTGTCCCCAGAGCCCAAGGTGGTGTTTGCCAAGGGGCAGCCGGCGCTCAGCCAGGTCCAGGCCGAGGCGGGGGCCAGCGCCACGCTGAGCTGCGAGGTGGCCCAGGCCCAGACGCAGGTGACGTGGTACAAGGACGGGAAGAAGCTGAGCTCGAGCTCGAAGGTGCGCGTGGAGGCCGCGGGCTGCACACGGCGGCTGGTGGTGCAGCAGGCGGGCCAGGCGGACGCCGGGGAGTACAGCTGCGAGGCCGGGGGCCAGCGGGTCTCCTTCCGCCTGGACGTCGCAGGTTCGTCGTTGGGGACACTAAGTCAATGTATTTGTTGAGTATTCCAGGCTGTTGGCCCTGGTGGTCAGTGGTGCACTCTGTTAGACTTCCCCCAGGGCTCCTGTCCCCTAGGTCTGCCCAGGCTCCGGTGCTTACTGGGCAGCGTCTGAGCCCTGTGTGTTCAGGAGGCACAGGGGCTCTGTCCCTGTCACAGCTCTATTCTCCCATTCTCTGCCTCTGTGACTTGGCTCTGCGGCTCGCGTGGGAGATCGGCAGCTCACGTGTGGCCCTATGGCACATCTGTGGCTCCCCTCAGGGAAGTACGAATCCATGGGCCCAGGATGAGCGGTCTTTGTCCTGCTGTCATGCTTGAGGGCCTCCTGGGACTGAACGGGGACGAGCAGGTGTACTGGAGCCTCTGGTTGTACTGCTTGTCATAGCACCTGAGGGCGGTGCCGGGCTCGCAGGTGCGGGCCTGGACTCCCTGCTCTTGGGTGCGTTGCCACTTAATGTTGAGTTGTGACAGCATCTCAGTTTCCCCTGCGGTTTGATTGGATGTGTTGAAAATGGAAAGGCGCGGCAGATCAGGCTGCACCAGCACACTCGGTACAGGGGCAGCGGCTGGCAGGTGGGCGTTCCTTCACCCTTGTGACTTATGTGTGGGTGGTCGAGCGGGAGAGCGCTGAGCCAGCGTTGCTCTGTGCCAGTGTTTGTGTCCGTCTCAGAGGGGTTGTGGCTCAGGTTGGCCTGTGTGTTGGCGCTGCCGGGGAGCCGTGGCTGTGGCGGTGCACGGAGTAGGCACACTGGTGTGGCTGCATCCAAGGTGTTACTGGCTGAGAACAGGTCAATTTTCATGCACGTACGCTTGGCATTGCTGCATCCCTGGAAAGCAGTATCAGAACTCGCACACGACGGGGTGGGCGCCCCTGCTCTCCTAGAGCCTATTGAAGATGTGGCAGATCTCACAGCCCCGGGCTCTGCTCATAAACTGTGCCGCTCACAGCACCTTGGAGAGGCGGCTTGTTCCTCTGCCTGCTGTGTGTAGCTAATGTGCACCAAGATCAAAAGCTGAACAGGCAGGTTTGAACTGGGCAGTAGCCTCTTAACAACATTGAGAGACACGTGTCCGGAGCCAGAGTTCAGCGCCTCACCAGGTGGGGATGACACTGCAGTGCCAGGTGGATTTAACACGGGCTGAGTGGCATGTGCAGGAGGCTTGATGAGAAGACTGAGGGAGAGAACAGTATGTCCCCAAGGGCGGCACCCCAACTCCAGGCGTGCCTGCTGGACCAGCGGCTTGGCGGACCCCTTGATTCACCAAATGGTGGTGTAGGACAATTGGCTCACGTCGCAAGGGCAGGGGCCCCTTGGAGGAACTCTGCTGCGACCACAAACAGCCAGCACTGCCCAGTGTTGGAGGAGCAGGGAAACACATGAGATGCAAAACACGAAAAACCCAGGCTGGAATCACAGACAGCTTGACGGACGCTCACGTGAGATCCGCTGAGGGTTACCCCAGAGAAACCAGGAGAAACTCTTCTTCACCCACTGGCAACGGCAGGTGGCAGAAGACTAACACACGGCTTAGGGAAGCTCAGGAGAGCTGGTGATGGTGACGGCTGGCTGCAGGCTTTGCAGGAGAGATGGGAAACACTGTTGCAGCCACAGGAGGGGCTGAGCTGCAAGGGAGGTGCTCCTGGCACCCCACAGGCAGGTAGGGAGGGCTAGGGAGGGCTCGAGATATTTTCCGAAGCAGGCAACAGCCAGCTCAGAGGCAGCTCTCTGAACAGGCAAGGTCTCTTGCCCCTTGTTTTCCCTGGTGCCAGGTTAGCTGGGGAGGAAGGGCATTGAGAGAAGGGGTGGTAAGACAAACCATGTGGGGAAGTCAAGCGGGTACCTGCCTTGTCAAACCGGAGTGTGGAAGGGGAACCTGGGGAGTGAAACCACACAGGAGCAAGTTGCCGACCACAGTCAGCAGGAGGGACTCCAGCGTGTGGATCAGGATGGGCGCCCAGAGGCCACGGCAAGTTCAAGCTTCCCCACTCGTTGCAGCAGCTGCCCGTTCCAAGTGAGAGTCTGGCATTGCCAGTGAGGGCAGCTGCACCTGCTCCCAACCTCAGCCCTCCCTGGCGCAGGTGCACAAGGACACCGTCTGCCCCAGCCTGGAGCAGCCATGTTCAGCGGTGGGGTGTCCACAGGTGTGGTGCTTGTGCTCAGAGCCCCAGGGCTGCTGCAGGCCACACGGCGCAGGCAGGGCCTGGGAGAACTGAGCCCCAGCCTCACTCCGGGCCCCATTTGTGTAGTGCTGCCTTCCTGACCTGCACGGTGTCTGACCCCGTGTGTCCTCCCCGTCTGTCCCCAGAGCCCAAGGTGGTGTTTGCCAAGGGGCAGCCGGCGCTCAGCCAGGTCCAGGCCGAGGCGGGGGCCAGCGCCACGCTGAGCTGCGAGGTGGCCCAGGCCCAGACGCAGGTGACGTGGTACAAGGACGGGAAGAAGCTGAGCTCGAGCTCGAAGGTGCGCGTGGAGGCCGCGGGCTGCACACGGCGGCTGGTGGTGCAGCAGGCGGGCCAGGCGGACGCCGGGGAGTACAGCTGCGAGGCCGGGGGCCAGCGGGTCTCCTTCCGCCTGAATGTTGCAGGTATTTGCCCTGGTTGGGCAGTCGGGGGTCAGTGCCTAGTCCTCTCACTGGACGCGAGCTCCCTGCAAGGCTCCCCGTGCCCTGGGCTCCTGGCCTGGCTGGCCCCAGAGTCTGCAGCTCATGTGGCCACTGCTGCTGTCTCGTTCTGGTACCTGCAGGGAGAATCCTCAGCAGAGGGTCCCTCCGGCGGGGGCGTCTCTGTGGCCTGGGCCTGTGGGACAGGCCATGCCGGGCTGGTGCCAGTGAACATTGCAGCTGTCCCCCAGCCCTCCTCCCTGTAGCAGCAGCTGGAGAGGGAACTTGGCCTGTGTGGGCCTGGGATCCCTTCCTCCGGCCATCGAGTCCCGACAACCTACTGTTCTGAGGTGGGCTGTGGGACAGCCCCTGCTCAGAATTCCACTGGGCCGTGTCCTGCCAGGCTCGTGTGCCCCTGCCCTCAGCTCCTCCTCCTGGGCTGCCCTGTTCAGTGTCCTCTCTACTCACACACCTGCAGGGCTGGCACGATGGTCCCCCAGCAGACCCTTGGGAAGCCTGACGCACTGTCTCCCAGCAGCCCCTGTGCCCACCGCCTGGGTCTGACCCTGACCTCCCACAGCCTGCACCCAGCCCCCTCAGTGTCTGCTGCTGCTCTTCCTCTGTGTCCAGTGCTGGCCATGCATCCCTGGGGCAGGGCTGTCCACTCCTGGTGGGACCACAGCTGGGGCCCTCAGGCCTGCAGTCCAAGGCGGGTTCTTGGGGGCTGAGTGCCGTGGCCCAGTGTGGGCATAGGTGGGCCTTCTGCCTGTAGGTAGCCCCGCCCAGCACACCTGGATCCCTGCTCCCACGAACTCACCTGCCCCAGAGCCCCAGCCTCGCCCAGCATACTCAGGGCCCTGCTGTCAGCTGCTCTCCTCCCCCAGAGCCGGAGCCCGGAGCCGCTGGGAGCCGGGGCCGCAGGGAGCCTGTGGTGGTCAAAGAGCATGAGGACATCGTCTTAGTGGCCACGCTGGCCACGCCGTCCCGCGGCTACCGTGAGCTGGCTCAAGGACGGTGTGGAGATTCGCCGCAGCCAGCGGCATGTGACAGCCAGCCAGGGGGACACCCACACCCTGACGGTGCGTGGTGCCCAGGTGCTGGACAGTGCCGTCTACAGCTGCCGCGCAGGTGACAGGGGGGAGGACTTCGCCGTGCAGGTGCAAGGTGAGCACAGGTGTGGGGACGGGGGGCGGTGGTGGGTATGGGGCCGCAGCCCACTGAAGCCTGCCCTGCCCACAGAGGTGGCCGCCATGTTTCTCCGGCCGCTGGAGCCTGTGAGTGGGGAGCTGGGCGGCTCTGTGACGCTGGCCTGTGAGCTGAGTGTGCCCCAGGCCCCAGTGGCATGGCGCTGCGGGGACATACAACTGCGGCCTGGCCGGCGCTTCCAGATGGAGGCCACGGGCCCTCTGCGTATGCTCACTGTCTTGGGGTTGCGTGCTGAGGACGCAGGCGAGTATGTGTGTGAGACCCGTGACGACCGCACCAGCACACACCTGTCAGTTCACGGTAGGCACAGAGGCACAGGGCAGGGCGGGCACTGCCTGTCCTGGACCCCTTCCCGCTCTACTCAAGCCTACCTGCCCGCCTACCCACAGTGCCCCGTGTGGTCAAGTTCACGTCCGGGCTGAGCGCTGTGGTTGCCGAGGAGGGCCGCGAGGCCACCTTCCAGTGTGTGGTGTCCCCGGAGGATGCGGCAGTCACCTGGTACCGTGACGGTGCCGAGCTGCAGCCGGGCAAGAAGGTGCTCATTTCCCGGAGTGGCGCTGGCCACAGCCTGACCATCTCCTGCCTGGCCCTGGACGATGCGGGCCAGATCTCTGCCAAGGCGGAGGGCGCGTCCACCTCGGCCACCCTGCGGGTTCGCGGTGAGCAAGAGGCCCCGGCCCTTGGGGCGCACCCTGGTTTGGCCGAGTCCGGGGTAGTCCTTGCCAGTGCCTGCCCATGTCCTGCTGGCGTAGATGACCTCATGGTCCTTGGTGGGCTGGAGGGGCTGGGCTCCTCTGTAGTGGACAGCAGGTGGCCATGGTGAAGAGCCACCCAGAGAGGCAGAAATGCCAGAGCCTAGATTTCATTCCACAGCCAGTGCCTGTGGCTGGGAGCTTGTGCGGGTGCAGGAGCTGGTGCCGTGGGTTTGGGCTGGAGTCCCGTGGGTGATCCTGCCTCTCCCCTTGCCCCAGAGGCCCCAGTGCTGTTCAGGAAGAAGCTGGAGCCTCAGACGGTGGAGGAGCGGACCTCGGTGACGCTGGAGGTGGAGCTGACGCGACCGTGGCCGGAGGTGAAGTGGACACGGAACGCGGTGGCCCTGGTGCCTGGTGAGAACGTGGAGATCCACGCCGATGGAGTGCGCCACCGCCTGGTCCTGCACAGCGTGGGGTTTGAAGACCGCGGCTTCTTTGGCTGCGAGACACCTGATGACAAAACGCAGGCCAAGCTCAGCGTGGAGAGTGAGTCTGGGCAGGGGTCCTGGCCTCGGGATTGGGGGAAGGGCTCCCTGGAGAGTTAGCAGGGAGGGGGCTGAGGAGGGGTTAGGGTGGTGCACATGCAGGGAGGGCCTGTGGGGCGGGGCTCTGCAGGCTCACCCCTCCCCCACTGTGTGTGTGTGTGCTATCTGCAGGGGGTGGGGCTCTGCAGGCTCACCCCTCCCCCATCACGTGTGTGCAGTGCGTCAGGTGCGGCTGGTGCGTGGCCTGCAGGCGGTGGAGGTGCGGGAGCAGGGCACGGCCACCATGCAGGTGGAGCTCTCACACGCCAATGTGGAGGGCAGCTGGACCAGGGATGGCCTGCGCCTGCAGCCGGGACCCACCTGCCACCTGACCGTGCATGGCCCCACTCACACCCTCACGTTGTCGGAGCTGCGGCCGCAGGACAGTGGCCTGGTGGCCTTCAGGGCAGAGGGCGTGCACACCTCGGCTCAGCTCGTCGTCACTGGTGCGTTGCTGAGGGCTGCAGTGCCTGTCCTGTCCCCGAGTGGCCCAGGGGGGTGGTGGGGGCGGTGGAGCCTGCGGGGGGCTCCTTCCCAGAGCTGGCTGTGCCTCTCCCTTGTCCCCGCCTGGAAGACGCCCTGAGCCCTGCTTCTCCCCACACCGTCCTTGCCCATCTCCCCAGAGCTGCCGGTGCACTTCCGCCGCCCGCTGCAGGACGTCGTGGCCACAGAGAAGGGCAAGGTCACCCTGGAGTGTGAGCTGTCGCGACCCAACGTCGCCGTGCGCTGGCTGAAGGTGCCTCTGCCCTCACGGTCCCCTCTGTCCCCTGCCTCTCGCCCGGCTGGCCCCGCTGGGACCTGACCGGGCCTTGTGACCTCCAGGATGGCGTGGAGGTGCGGGCGGGCAGGACTGTGGGCATCACAGCCCAGGGCGCTTGCAGGAGCCTCACCCTCTTCCGCGTTGAGCCCGGGGACCAGGGCATGTACGTGTGTGATGCTCGAGATGCTCAGACCTCCGCCTCCCTGACGGTGCAAGGTGAGAGCAGGGCAGGTGGCTGGGTAGCGGGGGGCTTGAGGGCCTCGTCACCCCAGTGCCCCCAGCCGGATCCTGGCCGCCCTGGCTCAGGCTTCACAGCGCTCTGCAGACAGGCCAGGCGTAGCAGGCCCCCTGTCTCCACCCCAGGCCGCGACATCCAGCTCCTGCGGCCCCTGGAGGACGTGGAGGTCATGGAGAAGAGGGTGCCACCTTCTCCTGCGAGGTCTCCCACGACGAGGTGGCCGGCCAGTGGTTCCGGGAGGGCACTAAGCTGCGGCCCAGTGACAACCTGCGCATCCGCCAAGAAGGTAAGGGCGGCGGGGCGAGGGGCGGGGTGAGGGGTGGGGGCTGCCCCTCCCCTGGTAGACACTTAGCTTTACACTGTGTCCCCAGGGAGGACACATACCCTCATTTACCGGAAAGTGCTGGTGGGTGACGCAGGGGAAATCAAGTTTGTGGCAGAAGGAGCCGAGTCTCGAGCCCAGCTCCGAGTGAAAGGTACGGGGCCTGGCGGTGCCGGGGTCGTGGGGGGTTTCTGGCGGTGCCAGGGTCATGGGGGGGGTTTCTGGCAGTGCCGGGGTCATGGGGGCGTTTCTGGCGGTGCCGGGGTAATGGGGGGGGGTTCTGGCCGTGCCGGGGTCATGGGGGGTTTCTGGTGGTGCTGGGGTCATAGGGGTGTTTCTGGCGGTGCCAGGGTCGTGGGGGGTTTCTGGCGGTGCCAGGGTCATGGGGGTGTTTCTGGTGGTGCCGGGGTCATGGGGTGTTTCTGGCGGTGCCAGGGTCGTGGGGGGGGTGGTTTCTGGAGGGAGCCTGTCTCCTCCCTGTGGGAAGCTGGGCTGTGGTCCCCGGTGTGCCCCCTCGTTAGGAGCAGATGGCAGAGTCCTCTCTCCTGGAGACGAGGAGTGTGTGGCCAGCTGCTGGGGTGCTCTGCCCTGGCCGGTCGGCGAGGGGTCTGTGGACAGATGTGTGTGGCGGCGTTGGGTGGGGGAGGGCTGTGTGGGAGAGGGGACAGCTGGTTGGAGGCCAGCGCAGCGGCTAAGCAAGCCATCCTTGTTGGTCATTGCTGAAGACAGCTGTGGGGGACACTGATCTAACCAGCTGCTGTCCCGTATGGCTGGCTGGGGCCCCCAGCCCTGGGCCCTGACCCCACCGTGCCACCTGCAGAGCTGCCGGTGACCCTGGTGCGCCCTCTGCGGGACAAGATTGCCATGGAGAGGCACCGCGGCGTGCTCGAGTGCCAGCTGTCCCGGGCCAGTGCACAGGTGCGGTGGTTCAAGGGCAGTGTGGAGCTGCATCCCGGGGCGAAGTACGACATGGTCAGCGACGGGGTCTACCGCAAGCTGGTCATCCGGGACGTGCAGCCCGAGGACGAGGACACCTACACCTGCGACGCTGGCGACGTGCAGACCAGCGCCCAGTTCTTTGTGGAAGGTGTGGGGTGTGCACGGGAGGGGTCTCCAGCAAGCTCCCTGGCACTCTTGGGGGCAGCTGTGCGTGACGGGCTGGCCAGGGGCAGGTGTTAGCTCAGGAGTGGCTGGGAGAGGGTTTGTTTGCAGACAGGGGCCTGGAGCCCAAGGAGGGGACCCCCATGACCGCCCCTCCTCTGCAGAGCAATCCATCAGCATCGTGCGGGAACTGCAGGACGTCACGGTGATGGAGCCCGCCCCAGCCTGGTTTGAGTGCGAGACCTCTATCCCCTCGGTGCGACCACCCAAGTGGCTGCTGGGCAAGACAGTGCTGCAGGCTGGGGCGGACGTGGGGCTGGAGCAGGAGGGCACTGTGCACCGGCTGACTCTGCACCGCACCTACTCCACCATGACGGGGCCTGTGCACTTCACCATCGGCAAGGCCCGCTCCTCCGCCCACCTCGTGGTCTCGGGTGAGTACAAGGCTGCTGCAGGTGGATGGGGTGGGGGTGGGGCTTCCTGTGGCTGCAGCCTTGTCCCTCCATTCTGCAGACGTCCCTGTGGTGCTCGTGCGGCCGCTGGAGCCCAAGGCGGGCCGTGAGGGGCAGTCGGTGGTGCTGTCCTGTGACTTCAGGCCGCCCCCCAAGGCCGTGCAGTGGTACAAGGAGGACACGCCCCTGGCTCCGTCCCACAAGTTCAAGATGAGGCTGGAGGGCCAGATGGCAGAGCTGCGCGTCCTGCGGCTTACACCTGCTGACGCCGGCGTCTACCGGTGCCAGGCGGGCAGTGCCCAGAGCGACGCTGTGGGTCACTGTGGAAGGTAGGGAGGAGGAGGCAGGGCCCCCGGGAGGGTCTCGGGGGCAACGGTGCTGAGGCCCTATTGTGCCCCTCGCAGTGCGGGAGGTGACTGTGACGCAGCCACTGCAGGATGCCGTGGCTACCGAAGGGGGCCGGGCCTGCTTCTCGCTGGAGCTGTCGCATGAGGACGAGGAGGTCGAGTGGTCGCTCAACGGGACGCCCCTGTACAGTGACAGCTTCCATGAGATCAGCCACGAGGGCCGGCGGCATACGCTGGTGATGAAGACCGTGCAGCCAGCCGATGCCGGCACCGTGCGCGCCGCCTCCCCAAGGTGTCGGCCTCTGCCCGCCTGGAGGTCAAAGGTAAGCCATCCCAGGGTCTGTGGGCCCCTCCCATCCAGTGATGTGCAGGCTCCTCACTGGCCCCGGCTGTGCCCCCAGGGAAGCCAGTGGTGTTCCTGAAGGCGCTGGACGACGTGTCGGTGGAGGAGCGTGGCACGCTGACCCTGAAGTGTGAGGTCTCCAGCCCAGAGGCCAGCGTGGTGTGGTGCAAAGATGGCGTGGAGCTGGTGCCCGGTGACAAGTGTGACTTCCTGCACACAGCGTGCATGCGTGGGCTCGTGGTGCGTGACCTGAGCCGTGAGGATGCTGGCCTGTACACCTGCCGGGTGGGCACCGAGGAGACCCGGGCCCGGGTCAGTGTGCACGGTAGGTGCCCGGGGCGTGGCCTTCCTCTTCTGTCCTAGGCAGCCCACTCCACTGCCTGAGACTGGGGGGATGGGTCGGGGAGCCTCCTGCAGCAACCCTGTGGGGCCCAGGTGCAGGCAGGAACCAAGGCTGCAGCCACTGTGGCTGGTGCCGGTGGTCCCCTGTGGGCTGGAGACGGTGGTCTATGCCTCAGGATGTCAGAGGCAAGGGGGCGGGGTGCAGAGCCTGGTGGTGAAGGGGTTGGGGACTCACGAAGGCCCCCGCAGGGTCACCTGGCTGTCATACCCAGCCCCACCCCCTGGAACATGCCTTGGAACCAGGGCTCCCTCACCTGCTGGGCGGCCACCTGGCCTCCCCTGTGCACCTGCTGTGCTGGCTCCACCATTGGTGGCCCTGCTGTCGGTCCCCAGAGCATGTTTGGCACACGGCCCCGCCACCCTGTGAGGGGGCCAGCACAGTGGGTCAGAGCTGGACTCACCCTCGACACGGTCTCCTCCATCCAGGCTCCTGTCTGCCCTGTCCATCCTATGTTGTGAGCCAGTGCCATGGTAGGCGGTCCTTGAGTTCTCAGCCACCCTGATTGGAGCTCACAGCTGTTGGTCATCCAGACTCCAGGCCGACAGTGCATGTGGCAGTGTGGAGCTGCCATCGGGCTGGGGCTGGGGTGGATGGTCTTTCCCACCCTGGCCCCTGGACAGGGCTGCTGCTGGTGTAGGTGCTGTGGGGCAGTCCGCAGCGGCCAATGTAACCCATGTGTCCCCCGTGGCTCACAGATCTGCTTGTGGCATCACCAAGAGGCTAATCCGTGGAGGTGCTGGCTGGAGACAGCTGCAGCTTCGAGTGTGTCCTGTCCATGAGAGCGCCGAGGACTCAGCTGTGTGGACAGTTGGCGGGAAGACGGTGGGCACCTCCGGCCGCTTCCAGGCCACGCGCCAGGGCCGCAGATACACCTTGGTGGTCCAGGAGGCCAAGCCCAGTGATGCCGGGGAGGTGGTCTTCTCGGTGCGGGGCCTCACCTCCAAGGCCTCGCTCGTCATCAGAGGTGGGTACCATAAGCATCAAGGGACTTGCTGCCACGGGCTGGGACCCCTCGTCGGCTCCCCTTCTGCAAGCAGTGGAGGCTGGAACTGCCTGCCGGGCCGTTCCTGGCACCTGGGGGATGAGCCGCTTCAGACCTCTGTGCAGCTGCTCCATGTGCTAGCTCCCACCTGCCCAGCCAGTTGGCTGCACTCAGCTTGATGTCGCTGTCGCTGAGGCACCAGCACAGCCTCACTTGGAGTTGAACCCGACTCCTGAAGAAGCAGAGAGCCTGAGACTTCTTGGTCTTAGCCCTCCACCCCTAACCCCCCGCCATCCACTGGTGCCTTTGTGAGAGCAGGCATCTGGTGTCTTGGGGCCCTGAGATCCCGGAGGCCTGGGGTGGTAGGGCCTGTGTCCCAGTCTCTCAAGGGACAAAACACTGCCAAGTACCTCTCCTTGCCTGGCCCTGGCTGGGTGGTGGTGGGGCCATGGCTGGGGCGGGGCTGTGGCAAGCCTACAGGTGTCGTCTCTGCTCCCTTCCAGTAGCGGCCGGTGGCTATCACCAAGCCCCTGGAGGACCAGCGGGCAGTGCTGGGGGAGGACGTGGTGCTGAGCTGCGAGCTTGCCCGCGCCGGCAGCTCGGTGCGCTGGCTGAAGACGGGAAGGCCATTCGCAAGAGCCAGAATATGACGTTCCTCAACGAGGGTCCAGGGCATGCTGGTCATCCGGGGGGCCCAGGTCAAGGATTCCGGTGTGTACCACCTGTGAGACGGAAGCTGCCAAGAGCACCTGCCAGCCGGCGCGTGGAAGGTCAGTGCCGAGGCCCCGTGTTGCAGGCGGGGCGGGGGAGGGCCGGCATGGGGCTCGAGCTCACACTCGGTCTCCACCTCGCTGCCCCAGAGAAGGCACACCGGTTGCACCAGAGGACTGGCTGACCTGCAGGTGGAGGAGCGGGCAACGGCCGTGTTCACCTGCAGGACAGAAAGCCCGGCCGCCCAGGTGACCTGGCGCAAGGGCCTCATGGAGCTACGGGCCTCAGGGAAGCACGCGCCCGCCAGGAGGGCCTCACCCTGAGGCTCACCATCAGCACCCTGGAGAGGGCAGACAAGCGACACTACGTCTGCGACATCGGCCAGGCCCAGACCCAGGCACGGCTGCTTGGTGCAAGGTGAGAGCGGCAGGCGTGGCTCCCTCAGAGTGCCCCTGGAGGCTCGGGCGAGCCCAGCTCTCCCCAGCTGCCTTCTGGAACTGGCTGACGGCCCTGGTCGGTCCAGGCATGCATTTCCTGCCGTGCAGGCTTGCGCCAGACTCTGGCGTAATCTCTGATGTGCACACATGATGGGGGCTCCCTGACCCCGATGTGCTGGTGGCCAGGAGACCTCGGGTGCTCCCGGGAGAACCCACGTTTGGGTGATGATGATGATGACGTGCGGGCTTTTCGTCGTCATGTTGGGTGCAATTTGCACCCAGGACGAAGGCTGAGGGCCGTGGTTCCAGCTTGCTCCTGCAGATGAGCGGCACAGAGCCAGCACCACAGGGTGCTCCTGCAGCTCCTGGGGCTTTGCCCACTCTGGAGTCCTGTAGCAGTCCCGGGCCGAGCGTGCTGGAGGTCTCTCCTGGGGTCTGGTCCAGGGAGTAGCAGCTGACAGCTCAGAGGGCTCGGCGGTCAGCAGAAGTAGGTTGGGGGGACTTCAGAGACTTCATAGGAAAATGGATTTCGTGCAAAAAATGTAAAAACCCAGCTGTGGGTCTTTTGTTGTGTGCATTTTCCATGGCACGAATGTCCCATTAACTTCTCGGAGGCTCCTCTGTTGTCAGTGCCTCCTCGGCTCCACAGCCGTAACTGCAGAGTTCTGAAAAAGTTATGGAGCTGAGCACCAGCAGACAGTGTGACAGCTACTGACACAGCTTGTGTTGTCAGGAGTAGCTGCAGGAGACTTACATGCGTGTAGGTGCGTGTGCGTGTGTGGGGGTGTGCATGCGTGGAGGCGTGTCCACAGATTCTGTGCAATGCAGCTCCTTTCCTGTGGCAGCCAGGAGCGCCATGGGGTTCGGCATCTCCAGGGGTCCTGGCCCCATCCCTTGTGGACGCGAGGGGCCTGGTGGACAGGAAGCCTCACTCTAGTTTTCCCTCCTGGCTCAGCGAGCCCAGGGAAGTGTTTGTAGCATCGTGAAGGTATCAGCCTGTGAAACTGGCACTCGGTGAATCGGACAGGGCTGAGTCAGCGTGACGGGAGGTGACCTTGCAAACTCAAGCACACAGATGTCCGCCGGCTGGTCGCCAGGCCACACCAGTCTTGTGCTCGCTGGAACCCACTCCGGCATGGTGGCTGCGGTCCTCTGGCCCTGGGCTTTAGACCCACCGGCCACGGAGCACAGGGTCTGAATTCAGCTTGCTCCTAGGTTCTTCCTAGTCTTTTACTGTCCCTGACTCACGGCAGACACATCTGCCTTCGGGAATTCACGACTCCCCCCACCCCCACCCCCAGCGCCTGATTTGGGTCTCGAGTGGTGGCTGCTCTGTCACCTTTGTGGCGTCTGCTGTGTCTGCGGGTGCCTTCCTTGCGTGGGGAACCTCCAGCCCCTCTTGTCAAGTCTCCCTGGAGGAACTGAAGGAATCGCTCCTGTCTGGGGCTGCTGAGGCCGAGGGGGAGGTGGTGCCCCCGGGAGCTGGGGGGGCCTGGCAGGGGCCAGGAGGGGTGGCCGTGACTATTCTCCAGGCTTCTGTTGGTACGCGAGTGAGCGTCACAAGCGGTATGGTGGCTGGCACGGCGTGTTGGGAAGCACAGTCCAGTAGGAGGGGACAGCAGAGGGCATCAGCTGTCACACTGCACCCAGGTGGCCTGTGGTGCGATTTGCATATGGAGCATCACAGAAGGGTTGCAGAGGTGGAAACAGGAAGTGGCTCAGGATCTGACCTAGGACCATTTAGCGCTGGCCCACCTGCTGTTTTCTTCCTCTCTCTTTAAAGATTATTATTCATTTATTTGAAACTTAGAGGTCTTTCATCCACTGGTTCACTCCCCAAATGGGTGCTAGGCTAGGACTGGGCCAGGCCAAAGCCAGGAGCCATGAGCGTCATCCAGGTCTCCCATGAGGTTGCAGGGGCCCAAGCATTTTCCAG